AGCCATGATTATTCTGTTACTTTAGATTGCTTTAGTCCGTTTTATGGTATTAGCCAACACGTGTATATTTGAAAGTAACTTAATGAAGCAGTGCGAAGGTCTCAATGAGCCTCAGAAGAGAAACACTGAAGGAGCTCTTATCCGAGCTTAGAACAAACGTTAGCTAGCTTGCCTTTGGTTAGCTCTTCATGTCACACATTTCACCTCATTCGTCGGGTTTTCACATTAATAAAATATGAGGCTGCTAAGACGAGAACAGCAGACTGAAGACCGTGTATTAAACGAGTCTTTAAAAAGTATTATTTGGGTATTTTACCTTCAACACTGAACCACCAGCTAGCTCACAGTCGGCTAGCACCGCTTACTAAATGACCCTTGATGCTGATTATCAACCAAACAAACGTACCCAAATGTCAATAACCGCCTTGTGTGTGTACGTTTTGTCTATTAAAATAAATTGTCAATTGCTTTTCTGCCCTCTTCGACGTCCATGTAATAAAAGTTTGTAGATGGAGCATGATGCCCGCGACGGGTTTCGTTTCTACGCAACGGGGACGCCTGAAGGACCTCACCTCGTCATGGCTCTTTGCTGTCCGTTCAAAAGCCTGTACAAAAATAATTAATAAATAACCTGCTCACAAAACTAGACCAAGAAATAGGAATATATTTTATTTAAACAATCAAAATAAATATACTGTCACATTTTAATACAATCTGATTAAAAGTGGCCTACATACATTAATCAATTCAACAGCTGATTAAATTGTATTTTAAAATGAAATATTCTTTCACATTTAAATAAAATGGTAGCAACAGAAAGCCCCAAAGGTTGCTGTGTAAATGTATTTCAAAGTCATTTAGGAGTTTTTATTCAGTTTTAAGATAAATGAAATGAGTTAAGGATGTGTCCCAGTGTATTTAGGGTTATCACTTCTTCAAATGGCAGTGAATATTTTTTTATCTGCAAGACCAAATCATTTAATGAAGCATATTAAATAAATGCAATCATATCCCCCGAGTATTTTCAGCAAAGAAATGCAAATTTCCAGATAAGTTTGCAGCATTTACACCAATAACCAAATGTTTATATTGTGAAATGAAAAGCCACCAAGGTGACTGATCATCACAGTGTATAGAGGTAAGGAAACTGCACTTTGGCCCCTTGTTTACCACTTGTTATTAGGTTTTATTTTTGCGAGTCTATTGAATTATTATTTAATAACTAATAAATATGTGTTCCTGTCTGATTTTCCAAACGACTGTGAATATATGTAGACTGACACAAATAATATAAATATTATGATTGACTGTTAAAAGCGCGTTGTTTTAATGTCAGTCAAAGTAAAGAGTCAAGCGTCGTCATGGTTACAGCGTCGTTCTGCGCGTGGGGGCGCGGTGCATCATGGGGGGAAATAAAGTTGTTTGGGAAATCAGTTGTAACGTGGAAAGCGTCGGAGCTAAACCTTTCTCCAAATACTATCACTAAGGTAGGTTACATGTTCCTTTAGAGTTAGAGACACTTTGCGCACACCATTGGGTAAACAACGTGTTGGTAATACGCATTTAACGTTTTAAGAACGTTATTGTTTGTAAAAGCTAGACAAGCTAACAACGCTAACTGTTAGCTTACGTTAGAGTAAACACAAGAAAGAGCTGAACATCTACAGCTCAGTAATCTTTACATTTAACAAGTCGCACACATTGTTGACATTTGTTAAACAATGATTTTACATAGTTTATTTGAAATATTGTTTTATTTCTTTGATTTTATGGTTTATTTGACAGGGACAGATACAATATAGACAACAGAGAACAGCAATACAATGCAGGTATCATTGTCATTATAGCGGCTGCTAATTTGCACCTAATTTGTCCTGTGTTTGAATTTTCGAAGCAGACTTCTTATGTCTGGAGGAAGAATGCCGAACTGTCCTGCTTCTGCGTCCAAGGGTTTCAGCTCTACCCCGGTTAAAGCTAACCCGAGAAGAGACTACCGCACATCTCAGGACAACGGCGTCCTATCCGACGACGAAGACACCTTTTCGTTGCTTTCTCCAATCTATCATGACAGTTTTGACAGTGAAGAAGACCTGGAGCACAGTCCGGCTCAGGAGACTTCACCCAGGCAAAGCGTTTCACCAGTCCGGTACTGCTTATATTGTTATGCAGATAAAACTTTATGAACCACCTATTGCATTGATTCATAGAGACTCATTGTAATTACTCCAAGGTACATTTGTAATCTGTTTTTTTTGTTTTTTTTTAAATAGATGTGAACTACCAAGAACACCCTCGGAGCAGATGGAGCCTGCATGCTCACCTTCTCACAGTGCATGGGAAATGTGGCTGGTAAACAAAGCCAAGGAGGAACGGCTCAAATTGGAAAAGAAAACAGAGGAGGCAAGGAACACTTCTGCGCAATTGTTACTTAACTATTACTTAAATTCAAGTAGTGTGGACTTTCATTTGCTTTGTGTGTGTTTATAATTATATAGTTTCCAGCCACTCATCCCCCCTTCCCCCAAAGTATTTTTTTCTACCTAAAATATGTATTTCATCATGTTTGAGTCTTTGAGTAGTTGTATACTTTGATTTAGGAGCAGTTACTTAAGGAAAACCAAGAAAAGCAACACAGGGAGCAAGAACAAAAAAAGATTGTGATGGAGGAGAGAATCCATGGATGGTTAAAGATGAAAAGAGAACAGGTAAACACCTGCTACAAAAATAAAACCACATATAAATCATTATTGGTTGCTGGTTGTATTATTGCTCCATGACATTTCTGTTATTGTTTTCTTTGTGCAATCATAGGAGAAAAATAAGCAATTTCTAAAACAGTGCAAAGAGGAGGAGGAGTTTCAGAGGCAGCGGGAGAAGCAGAAGGAGATTGAACAGAAAGCTCAACAAAAATACAAAGACTGGCTTCAGAAGAAGAACCAAAGAAAAAAGGAAATGGAAAACAAGGCAAAGGTAATTTGGATCTTTAAAGTTATTCTGTCTTCTCTTCGTAAGATTACGTTATTGATGTGCCGCAACAGAGTGACCCTGATTGATCCTTTTTGACTTGGCAGGAGGAAGCTGTCCTGAAGGAGGAACAGGAGAGAGATCGCCGCTGTAGAGCAGAGGAGAAGTTCCAGGAATGGCTAAAGAAAGCTGATGAAAAAAGCAGAGCAAGTCCCAAATCACCTTGCTTCATAACAGGTAAGATTATTTCAGTCATCTTGGAAATATTAAGTGTGCTTTATAGTTTTTGCTGTAGCTATTAAATTGAGAAATGTGTTCACGGTTTTTGATGTATTTATTGAATCCAGGAGCAGCAGGAATACAACGACTTAAATATTCCCCTGACTTTATTGCGTCTCACTAAATTTCTTCACCTTGATGACGTTTGAAATGTATCATTATCGTCTTTGTTTTATTTCTTTAAGGTCCCTACGAAAAATTCCTTCCTTCACCAGGCTTCTACAATCCAATCCCCTGGAAACCGATTCATGTCCCTCCTCCAGAAACATCAGTAAATAAGACATCTGACAAGAAGAATTTGAAACAAAGAAAATGTCAACAGAGACTGAGACACTCTACAAGTGCAGCACAGTTGCAGCAGAGAAGATGACACAGCAGATTGGTGTCTATGACTGAATTATGGAATCTTAGCCAGTACTCAAACATGATTACATCATAACTCACTCATCCTCACCTCTATAGCTCCGGAGATGACTCTGCTGAATGAGACAAGTGTTTCTGTTCTCTTAAATAGCTATGGTGAAAAGGCATACATAGTTGTTACATTTGGTTGTACATTGCATAAATTCTGTAACAAGGCACTAGCTCAAGTTAGTTTGTACTTTAGCATATATGAATTCTTTGGGAAAAAATTCTGATGATTTCATAAAGATGTTTATTTAATGTCAAGCACAAATGCTTTCATCACTGTTCCATTAAATGCATGTATTTCATTTGGTTTTATCCTTAAATCAATCGATCAATTTGCTATCAGGATAAATCAAAGATTTTCTCCCCTCCTCCTCTTGTTTGTTTGTGTTTGTTTGGTCAACAAAAGCCAGCTTTATTGCTTTTGATGAGGCATCAGCCACACACAACCACACCAACGAAGGATGGTGGCCACAGCCAAAGATAGACCCAGCTTGGTCAAGTGCCCCTCACACTCACACATTGTTCTGTGTCCAGCTGTGCCTTGTTCTTCTGTGGGCTGAGATGACGACAGAAACGAGTGAGGGGGTGGAGAGAGAGAGAGCGAGAGAGAGAGACACTGATTCAGATTCAGATTCAGATCGGTATGCTCATTCTGGGTTAACATCTCACTGTGATATTGATGTATGCAGCATGAGGTAAAATCATTTCTATTACATTTATTTAAGATTCTCTTAACTAAATACTTTAAATTTGTGGGCTGTGTTTTGTTCTTTCTCACTCTTTGCTTCTCCCCTCTGTGTTGTTCGCTGCTGTGGAATGTGTTAGTTGACAGGAGACAGTGAGGAGCTAACAGTGTAGGAGGCTCTTAAAGGAAAAAGAAAAACATTCTGGGGTTCAAAGGACAACCTTTTAAGAAAGAATTTAAGGGTTTACATTCGTTTGAGCTATAAAATTGCAATTTAAGCTGCTTGTTCATGGTTATTTGGACACTTAGCCTTTTGAGCGAAACCTTTCTTAATAAAGATAGGAGGTTGTGTTCAAAATCTACCTCCGGCATTTTGGCTCTCTGTAAACCTCCAACATGGTGAAATGGTAAGTTTTAACCAATAAAACCCTCTACACCTAAGTTTGTCTAAATCTATTTAACCCTATCTTATCGATATATTTATGACAGAGCCATGACTTTTGATGTTCCCGGTCAGTAAGATTGCATTCTGTCCTCCAGGTATTGTGTCTCAGCTTAAGACATAAAATCCACATCCCAAGATGCAGTGGTGCAGATGGGCTGGCAGTTGGAGATCACACCTGCATAGACAGGTAGGAGGCGTGTCTGTAAGACTGAAAGTAAGGGTGGGACAGGTGTAGAGTGCAGAGAGAGTGTAAGTCTAAAGGGCAGAACTACTGACTTGGGTTTAAGACTTCAACAATGCGACTGAAAGTGTTACGTAGACATGGAGACAAGAACAGGATGAAGAACCACAACTTCTGACAGCTTACCCAGGAAAACTACTATGGGATACTAACGCTAAACTTTTGTTTTTTTTTGCAAATCAAAGCGAGCTGTAAAGAATGGCAAAAGAAGCAACTGGTTGGAATACAAACTGGATTAAAAATTGAGATCGATCATAATTTAGACTGGCATGGGCAGCTTTACCTGTGGTTCTCACCGGGTATAAGCCTGACCTGATGTATCAGTTTGTGTAAATAGTCCTAGTTTTTTATTGACACAACTTGGGAGGAACCAGTTTTTGTTGCACACAGACGTCTTGGATCAGCTGTTTCAACCTCAAAGTTCGTTTTGTGTGTATTTATATTCCTGCCTTCACCATGAAGTCTGTAGGGCCGGAGACTGAGACTCTTTCGACTTCCTCTTTAAAATCATCCTGGTTGGGGACTCGGATGTGGGGAAGACCTGTGTGGTCCAGAGCTTTAAGTCTGGCATATTTATAGAGAAGCAGCAGAACACTATCGGAGTCGACTTTACTGTTCGTACACTGGACATCGATGGCAGGAAAGTGAAGGTAAGTTTCCCTTTTTTTTACTGTTTATTTCAGCTCATTTTCATTAGATATATTCCTAGATTGTACACATGTATTTTCATTATGATTATTATGGAATCAATTTCTATATATAAAAAAAGATATGTCTGTGTATTTACTCTTAAGAGTTGACAATCCCTCCTCAAGGTTTTTTCCCATGACAGAAAAACCTGCAGCAAATGATATCATCTTTTTAACTTTCTGTTTGTGTGTCTACCTCTTACCTGCATGGATGTGTTGTTATGATAGTTAGACTGGAGTTCAGTACACACTAGTTTGTTTAACCAAGACGGATCATTTGTCAAAGTTTACAGCATGTCTCAAAACCTGAGGTTCATGCTTTAGAGACACATAGTCCTCATTCTGTAAACACTGAAGTCAGGCTGTATCTGGTTGTGTTTTATGTTGTTGCAGATGCAGGTGTGGGACACAGCTGGACAGGAGCGTTTCCGCACCATAACTCAGAGCTACTATCGCAGCGCCCACGGGGCCATGGTGGCCTACGACATCACACGACGCCCCACTTTTGATTCTGTTTCCCACTGGATCAGGGAGGTGGAGCAGTATGGAGCTGCAGGAGTGGTGCTGATCCTCATTGGTAAACAGAATTTAAACTCACTTCTAGAGGTGTCATGATTGTCAGTAAATAACTCTTTCCTAAAAAAGATCCTTAGGATTGAGTTGTTGCGAAGCAAAGCGAAGGACACAATTAGAAGTTAAAAAACTGAAATAGGTATAAAAAAATAATTTAAAAAAGACATATAGACTGTTCAGTTTCCAGTGTTAAGACTGGATCACTTTTGAGTTAGTGTTTTTTGTCACTAGAGTGACAGGAAGAGGCCTCTTTATTATGAACTATGCTTTTTAACATCTTTTCTTGATGTATTTAGAGTTCACAGCAGATATTGCACAGAATTATTTGCTGTATCAGATAGAACTTTGAACTCATGTTCTGTTATACATTGAAATTTAAAAAAATGGCAACACCCACAAATAAAGTGCAGAACAAAGACAAAAGAAACACATCATTTTTGGACCAAACATTGGTTCAATAATTGACCACTGAGAGGGGTTGTCTGTATCCTGTGCAGCTGGAATTTCATGGCTATTGTGACAATCAAATGATTGTCAAGCCTCACACCAGTGTTACTTATCTTCTTATTTGTGTTTTTATATTTATGTGCATGTTTGTTTGAAAGGAAATAAATGATCCATTAATGACACAAAATAAATAAGCAAAAATGCTGATTAATAGTTAATCATTTAAGTCCACATTGTCATGTAACTATTTTAACATTTTCTCTTTTTCTCGCACTCCTTTCACTGACCACCTGATTTTGGCTTTAAAACTTCCAGGAAAAATACAGCACTGCTTTATGGCAAAAAAAATCCTGCAGACCAAACTCTCAGCACAAACATCATGCAGATGGGATAAGTTAGAGACTTGTATTATAAGAGGCAGTAGGAGAGAAAATCTTGAGTGACTTTGATTCCTAAACTGTAGAGAGGACACATTGTGAATAATATCAATTCTTACAAAATGTTGCCTTGAAATATTTTTCAATGTTACATGTATGCTCAGTATTATCTGTCAGAATGTTAAACTTCAATATAGTATACAGATATTTTCTCATCGTGTGTTTTCTTCATACCTGCAGGTAATAAGTCAGACCTCCATGCTCAGAGGCAGGTGTTGTTTGAGGACGCGTGTACTCTGGCAGAAAACAACAGCGCTCTGGCTGCACTGGAAACCTCGGCCAAGGAGGCGCAGAACGTTGACGCGGCCTTCGTCCTCATGGCCAGGGAGCTGCTGGCACGCAACGGCATGGCGATCACAGATGAGCTTTCGCAAGGTTCACCTCAATTCATGTTGAGTAACAGCTCCCACCCAGTCGATGGCACTGTGTCTTCAGAGAAAAAGTGTGGGTGCTGAGCAGACTGAAGAGGGGACAAGTTGTTTGAACTTTTTTGAAAAAATGAGACTAGCCTCGTGTGTATGAAAACTCCCTCCATTAGACCGAAGGTTATTCATGTATGCACGTTTAGGAAAAAACTCCATACAGTATGTTGTATAGTGTGTTAATATAGGTTTTTGAATTTACATTATTATTTACAGTCCATGGTCAGTCACATGTATCTCATGGAGATTGCTTATCACAAATCCTGCTGATGAATGTGAGAGTGACTCCGTCATCACACACTGCAGCTCAGCTGGAGGACGGACTGAACATAAACACAAACAATGTTTACACTTCACAAGAAACGTTTTGAGCCTGTCATCCTTTTTAATGATCTTTTATACAGTATGGCTTTTACAATGCATCAGAAGAGTTCCACAGTTTGAACCTGCATTTTGACAAACACTATCTGAAATGTACACTTTGGCTGCAACTGTTATCACATTGTCTATCCCCCAGATACAAAAAGACATTCAAGCTAACCCTTGTAAAGATTTTATAGCGAAAACTTCAAGACAGTAAAATGGTACCCTTTTAATCCCTCATACTTGTACAATTTAAAGAAGTTCACAAAATAACATTTAAAATGACTCTAAACTTGATTAAGGCCAAAAAAAAAATACAAACAAACTGATGAGGTACTTAACTGAAACCAAGTAACTTAATAATGCCAGTTGTTAGGCATTCTCCTTAACTTAACACAAAGAAGCTGAAATATGAGAGCGGTCAGAACAAAGAGGAGAGCCGGTCTAGAAGAGAGCTGCTGGGAGGTCTAAAGTATGTGATACTGTACATCTGAATGTCAGCATGCTTTAGGTGGAACTATACTTAGACTCTTATCAACAAACTAACAGATACAGTATAAAACTCTGAGTGCAGTAGAAATGAATGTAACTCAACACATAGACATGTGTACCCAAGTGTGCGTTAAAAAAGTCAAGGGCGAGAGAGGACAAAACAAAATTGCATTAATCCTTGACACAGTAACATATATGCCCAAGTTAAAATGTGTGTTACTTTTCTATGTTTAGTGATAAAGCTGCAATTTGCTGCTTGTTGCTTCCATTGCACTTCACAATATCTTTCAGGATTAGCATCAGTAACAGCTACATCTCCCATACGATAATTCAGGGGGAAAAACACACACTGCTGCTACCAGTTAAAGGATGTTAGCTATTACTGAATGGCTGAAAGATGAATCCAGACCTGATCTTAGTCCTACTCAAGAGGCCAGCCCTCCTGCTCAAACACCAGCTCCACCGCCTCCTTCACATCCTGGACCACGAAGGATGGCTGCGTGAGGGTGGGGTCAAAGCGGAAGTCCCTGTGGCCGTGGAAGATGTGCTGCTCTGTGACGGTGTGATCTGGATCGGAGGGGAGCTCCTGCTGGTCTCTGCTGTACACTCCTGTGCAAACCAGGATGGAGCTGCATCCTTCAGGGAGGTCCTCTTCGGCCCCGTATGCACCTGATGCTCCACCTAACTCTGCGGATGTCATTTTAGGGGCGTCATCAACAGTTTCCACTCCTCCAGCTTTAGCCTGCATCTGCGCCTTCGTGCGCCGAGAAGCCTGGAGGTAGTGGTTGTAGAGGTTGGCACCATAAATGTCAGCCATGGGGTTATCGCTGTGAAAAAAGGTAATACGACATTTGTAAAAGCGTACACTTCAAAACTAGGAATGCACCGATGTATAGGTTAAACATCGGTAACCAACATCAGTCCTGTGGACAAACACCGGCCCATCAGCAAATAATGTCAGTGGTCTATGTTTATCTGTTGAGTTGCATCAATGTAATGCTGGCTAGGCAGTAAGCCTAACTGCTGATTCATAGAAGAAGTCTGCAGGATAAATATTCACCTGTTTGACACACTTATTTGTTTTCATGGTCAAATATGAAAAAAAATGTCAGCAGTGTGCAAGTCTGTAATGGTCTCGGGGAAAGATCAGCAACTTGCAGTTTGGAAGACATGTTCCAGTGACATTACAAGAGGAGGGATGATAAACAATAAAAAATGAAAAACAGGCACAAATAACAATAAAAAGTAATAAAAACAACCATTAGTATTTGTATTGGCACTTATTTTTGCAATTGGTGCATCTTTATTAAAAATAAATCTTTTCAGATACAGAATCATGCATAACCCTTTTGGACTTTTCCACATTTTACAGTGTTACAACCCGGAAATGAAATATTTCTATTTATTTTTTTACTGATTAATAAACAAACAAAAGCAGTCCTCAAACAGACAGCTCTGAAGTTAACTTTAAGGCCTCAGATTGCGTCTGTTAGTGTGTTTAAATCTTTACTGATCTATAACAATTTCAAATACTATATAATATTTCCCCTTCCCCACTTTCGATTACTTTAGTCTACTTCCTGCTGGTCTGTAAGAAACAATCCCAGTATAATCCATTTCAATTTAAAGTATTGGCATGTAAACATGTAAAAGTTCAAAGGAGCTGAAGACAGTGTAATTTAGAAGTGTCAAATGTGGGTCACTCACCCTATAGCGTACAGCCTCTTCACAGGGGCAGTCCAGCCGAGGCCCTCAGCCTGCTGTCTGATCAGCAGCTCAGCATAGTTATAAGTCACCACGCTGGGTTTACCAATCAGGGCCTCATACTTCAGATCGTAGCCTGTCACTTTCTTGTACAGACTCTCTAAGCACACCAGGAACATACCGTGACCAAACCTGTAAGACGGGGGCCCATATTATAAATATATTGAAATTAAATTCAAAACTTTGGAAACTGTTTCAGCATGTCACGTTTATTCTGTTTTTGTACCATACTGTACCTGGGATTCTTGGCCTCGGCCATCCACAGCAGGTCCATGTTACAGGCCAGGACGGGGATGTGAGGGTACTGCCCTGAATTCCAGTTATTGTCTGGGTTCCCGTTAGTTAGAAGCACGTCAATGATCAGCTGGAGGTTTGTCTCCCATCTGATCGGCTCACCAAACAAAATGACAGCTGTAGAAGCACACAGGTAAAGATGGAAGTCTTCTAAAGCCTATTTTAACTCTGAATTATATATAATTATACATTATACAAGTATAACAACAGAGTTGATTGTGTGTGGAAACATACCGTCGATTGGCTGTAAGCCTTTGGTAGGAGGAATCTGTAAGACATTTGTACAGCTGCTTAGATGTCCATCTTATCTACAACTGAACATAGACCCATGAAGTTCAACATCAGAGCTACTTACGCTGTCTTTGGGCCGTCTGCTGTGATCTACGACATCTAGAAGAGGATATGCTTCTCTGAGCATGTCTATTGTGACAACATCCTGAAAGCCCAGGCTGGAGTTTGGTTGGTTAAAGTGAACAGTTTATAACATAGAACAGATATTTCTCACAGATATAAAACTGCGCTGGGAGTCAGCATTGCTATTCTATATCACATATTGATGGCTTATTTTGGTATGAATTACCTTGCTGGTTGAGAGAAAAGAGGACAATGAAATCAAAGGCTTCAGATTTGTCCATGGCATGACTTAAATATGACAAAAATAAGGATCTACCACATATACAGGATGAGAATTAGAACTGTTAAGAAATCTGTGTTAGGCAGTCATTGAGACTGCAATGATGCAAAGAGTTCAAAGATGAATCATGATAACAGAGAGTACACTCGTTTAAGGTAAACATCCAGAGGAGAGTCTCTGAATTATAGACAGGATACTTGTGGGCGACCTCCTCTACAGGACCCTGTCCGGATACCAGCACACGCATTTTGTGAAACTGGGTAAACATTCGCAAAGGGCTGTGGGACAGCATGACCTGGTCTGGAGACACCTGAGAACAAGGTGAGAACCGAGAGAAGGGGTGGATTTAAAAGGCTTTCACAGCAAGCGGATGACTTTTAAATATTTAAAAAGGTGTAGTGTACAGTTTACCTCCACATCTAGCAGGTGTGACAGATGCTCAGCTTTGGTCTGTCTCATGCAATTTCCAGCATTAGTGACAAACACCACCGGCACCTTGTATTTTCCGCTCCGGTCCACCAGGTTCCTGAAGCACTGCTTGGCTTCAGGGATTAGTGTCCTGCCTCGCACCAGAACCCCATCGATGTCAAAGAGGAGCCCGAAGGAGTTGGGCCCCTCAGGAGGACGCTGGGCCAGAGAGAGGTGCATGTGCAGTATGAAAACATGGGATTGTTCATTAACTTGCTGTGTGGTATCACTTTCTTGACACAACCTCCTCACTTTAAACTCGGTTAACTGTCTCAGAGTTGTATCCTCAGTGACACATCACAGTGTTACTGGAGCAGATCACTCACTCAATGAATATGCAGTGTACTTCAACACATTATAGTAATTCTCTGTGTGTGGAGTGATTAGCTTCAGCATAGTGTTCAATGAGTTTCTGTCCTGCTTTGGCACCCCCCCCCCCACACACTTTACAACAGCCCAGTGTCTGAAGACAAATACTGTGATTTGTTTCAGTCTTTACTCAAATTCTAATAAAATGGGAATAAAGCATCAACTTACATGGCTAAAACTTCGTGCGATTGCCTGCGAGATGTTGACTTGTTTAGCTGCCCCCCCACAGCTTGACTTCAGCAGCTGCCATGCAGTTTTAAAGGAACTTATTCTCTGCATTTCTTCAGGCACTTGAGTGTAAAAGCCGGTAAACAGCAGACAATGTGATACAAACTTCAGCTAGCGTTATGCGAGCGAACAGTCACTGACATGTAGCAGATCCAAAGAGTAAAGACGTGGGGTCATGGTTTCTCAATCACTGAGAGTCAATAATACTCAACTCTGCGCTATCTATTCATGCTGATAGTAATACTCTGCGTACTACACGCAGCGAGTTAGCGCTGATGACAACTACTGAGCATGCGCAGATCCACAAACAGAGGACATTACATCCGGGTACATTATTACGTCCCACGTTGTTCTGAAGAAACACCTAAGTTGTGATTTTGCAGAAATGAATGTGATCACTCCTGTTTCACTATTACACTTTCAACTTAGCATTTCAGTGAAATTTGTATTACTTTATTCTTCTTGCGGTGATGTCAAATAAATTGCATATTTGAAAAGAAAGAAAAACAATTAAGTAATGTACTAATATTGGGGATATTGTTTATAATAAACTGCCGTTTTTGGACGAGATTACTAATGCATTCCCTTTTTATATATACATATATTTCATATTGGTGGAGTTATAAGAGAAGCCCTTCCATGTAGGTTTTGACTCGTCTGCTGAGCTGAATGTCTCTGAGTGGAAAACATACCTTAACAATTTTTAGAGTCGTTTTTAACAGAAGATATCTTATCACATCTGGAAACTCACCAAATTTTGGCTGCATTTTAGCAATCAGCCAACTTACTTTCCTGAAACTGTGCATACTAGCTCACTGTGCAAACTTACCGGAACACTTGTTTACAAGAGCCATTTTGAATGTTATTAGAAACATTAGTGCTATACAAACTTTGACAAGTCTAAATCACTGCTGAGAAAAAAAAGAATATTTTGCTTTCATAGTTAATATAGTAAGTTGTAGACGGTGTACATTGGTTTAAATCTTTGTAGCAAAATATCTTTATTGTTATAAGAAAAAAATAGAATAACATAAGCTCTCAGACTAGTGATCAACACAGTAGCACAGACATTCATGAATTTAACAATCAACCTACATAGATTCTCCTCAACAGTCAGACAACAGGACATCACGGTTTAATCTTCAGCTGAATCTCAGCTCATTTTCCAATCCATAGATTTTAGCCTTCAGCGTCATCAGCTCACCCTGAACCTTCTTTGTCCTTGTGTTGGTCTGACGTACCTCATGCAGAATGGCTAAATCCTGGTTGGGCCCGACATTCAAAGTAACCTGAAGCAGTTGAGACATAAACACCAAGTGAAACACTTATATCAACAGTGTGGACGGCTAGATGTTCTAAAACTTATATTTTACATCTTTCAAAAAACAATACTAAACTAATTATCTGACATCTCTTGTTTCTGTGTTTATGATTTAAAAAGCCCAAAATATGCTAATATAGCTAGATCATTCTTTATGATTAAAATCAAACTTAAAAGGGGAAAAACCACGATACCCTCCAGAAAGACTTTTTTTCACCTTGAGAAGTTGTTTTTCAACATCTTTGAATTTCTGCCTAAGGTGCTTCAGGTCTGTCTTGAAGCCCTCCACCTCCATGGCCCTCCTCTTCTCCAACGCCTCATATCGCTGAGTCATCAGCTGAAGACGCTTGGCCATTTTGTCTGAACGGTCCTGCACACAAACAAAATTGGGCAGTTGAAAAATATCAAGTAAACTAAATCTCTGGGGTTGCATTATGTTGGAACAATTCAGAGGCTTGTGTGAGGATCAGTCTTTCTATGGTACCTTAAATATTTCCCTGCCAACATCCCCTTCCTCTCTGATTTGGGACAGTTCTGTTTCCAGAGTGATACACTGCTCCCTGAACATCTCCGCAAGGCGATGGGCTTGCTTCAAGTCCTCCTGCAGTGCCTAATGAAACAGGTTTGTTTAAAATGGGTTTATGAAAACCTATTACTGCAAAAAAAGCTTTTATACACTACAGATCTTAGAGTTCTTTTTTTCACAATGAAACGATATACTTTACCTTTATCTGCTCTTTGTGTGTCTGCTGTGACTCTGGCTGAGGCCGGGGGAGGAGCAGGGCTGTGCTGCTGCCAGGCTGTGATGCTCTCCCCAGCTCTGCACCCACAGCAGACACCCCCCCCTTCCTCAGACGGTTGTGGCACGAGTCGAGCTCCCTCAGCAGCCGGTCCTTCTCCACCATGAAGCTCTTCTCATGAGCTCTTGTTTCAAACTTTAGCTGTAAGAAATCTTTGGTGCTCTCATGCAACAGGTTCTGGGTTCGCAGCAGTCTTGGGTGACAAATGTGCATGAAATGAGAGTTATGATGGTCTGGCTGAAGAATGTATGTATATTATCTTGTGTGTAGAATTACAAAACAAGCAGGAAAACTGTCTTTCACAAGTGACTAATATGAAACAGTATCTTGAGTAGGTCATACATGTGTAGGAGGAAACCAGTTAACAATTTTAAGAATCAGACTCACTTGTCATTCAGAGCAGTAATTCTCTCCTTATCTCTCTGCTGTTGTGCCTGGGCCTCCTCTGTTTTAATCCGCCGGTCCTCCAGCAGAGACTCCACCTGCTCTTTAACAAGGCGGGTTTGTTCCTCCATCTGAGCCTGCAGAGCCTCCACCTGGAAACATGAGCAACAATAAAGACATGGTGCACTCTCTCACTATGGCTACAGGGGGAGACTTTGTTCCCCTAACATCATTACTATGTAAAAGCATCCTTGGGAGCCTTGGAAGGTGCTTTATAAATCAATCTATTAAAAAGTGAAGGTCAATAATGAGGGGTGCTGTGTAGGTGTATATGTTAGGGTTGTAAACGAAAAAATTAAATGTTCAATATTCAGAAGAAGAGAATTAAAGATAAGATCTAGACTTACCTGTAGTAACAACGTGTGGTTATCACTCCTGTATTGTTCCAGGCTCTCTCCATTTAGCCCATCTGCTGGTTTTGTTCTCCTGCCGCTCTCTGTTAGTAAGACGAGAAATACAATTGGTTAAGTAGTCATTCATCTTTTTGTTTACTTAAAAAGAGTTCACATACAAATTCTGAAACACTGACTTCTGTGTTTGACTTCCACAAACATCAAAACAGATGTTTTCAAACCTTTTCTGGCCGCAGGAGGTCTTAACTTTGTCGGCCTGAGATTTAAATTGTCTTCCAATCTGGACTCAGCGTTCCTCTGTGTGACAGTGACCTAAAACAAAATCATTAGACTGATTTTAAAGTGTACTGAATTACATCTATTTAAATTCACATAAAATCAAAGAAAATGAAGTTCTTAAAATATATGAAAGAGTAACAATATGCAAACCGAACCACAATTTCAAAACGGCGTTGAAAAAAACAAGCAACGGTGACAATGATTTTATTTTTTATTTTTTTAAGTCATGTGTTTTAAAAAGAAAGAAAGAAAATGAATCTATAATAAAGTAAACATATGTACCCTGTGAGGGGGCTCCCGGTGGAAATATGTGATCTCTCCTGCATCAGGACCCACCAGAGCAAGAAGGTGCTGGATTTTCTTTCTGTCCTCCAATTCTCTGAATAACAGAGAGTAAATGAGTAAATTAGTTTTATGCACAAAAATGCTGAGAAACAACAGCATACCAGACTGGTCAAATGCCGAAATGGAAAGAAACCCTAAGTAATATATCTCATTACACATGTGCTTTCTTATCATGAAAAAAAAAAAAGAACTAATGTTTATTTATGGATCAGTGTTTCACTTGTTCCCACCTGATCTTAAGTCTGTCATTCTCTGCATAAAGCCGCAGAGATTGTTCCCTCTCTTGGAAAAGGTAAACCTGCATGTCACTCAGAGCGTTTTGCAGCTCTGTGATATCTACTTCACGCTGTCGTACCTCCCGCTGTAGCTTATGCTAGGAGGGTAGAGGGGACAGAGAGAGGGCAAGTTAAAACAGAAAAATATACCCATATGTCACATATGAGTCCTAGCTGTGTCCCTACCTGGTCCTCTGTGATGCCTCTGTACTTCTCCAACATCTGCAGCAGCTCCTCATGTTCCCCGTCAAACTGGGCGACCTTCTCTCTGTAGAACTCCAGTAGCTCCCTGGAGGGTCGCAGGTATGCCAGCCGCTCATGGATGGGGGGAAGTGGTGATTCAGGCTCTCGACCAGGAGTACGAACGTTGGTTCTGTACAAAGAAAAAAGGCTTCCTTGGTCAATATGGAAGAAGATATTTATGAATACATTTTCATTAGCATACACATGGTTCGATAATGAGCTGTCAGTGCTGCACTGTGTTTGTGCTAGCTACTTAAGTATAAAGCCTGTGTCTTGACTTGATAAATTTAAATATAGCCTTTGCATCCCCTTCCATGTCAGCAGCATGTAGCGAAAATGAATGACTGATTACCCAAGCATTTTTAATGACACCAAAATGAAGACTAAATCCTTGTGGATGTCTTACAATGTGTGTAAATAACATCTTACCTGTGTGGTGTTGCATCTTTTGTTGGGGATCCCATCCCGGTGCAAAACCCTGAAGACAGAGGATGTTATAATACTGAAATATTTTAAGAAAAAACATTGTTTAAAACATTTGCATCTTATAATGTATTAAATGGTTATGTTTCTTTTTTGGTTTCTCACTAACACAGCTAACTTCATCTTACTATACAAACAAATCCATGGTGTATGGGCTTACATGTAACAAATATTCATTCAAACATTATCAAATGTAATTGGCCCTAACCATAGACTACCATTAACACATTAACACAGTCGTGTGGTGTGTCCCTCCTCGGTTACCGTGGCGCCAGGGGGAGCGGGACGCTTGAGACCTCTTCTGTTTAGAATAGTATTCACATTTTAAAGGTTTGAGTATTTAAAGAAAACTTTGACTCGACACACTGAAATCGTTGTTAATGTGTGGGAAAAAAATGATAAGCCTTCCTATTTCTGTTGCGAAGCATGATGTAAATAATGTTTGTTTGTCCATAAAAACGTCAACATTATACCTACAGGTGGAGAAAACTTCAGATTTAGGGAATTCATTAACAGTAAAACTACAACAGACGTATCTCTAGCGAGTTTGCCAAAAATATAAAGATATTAAAACACAAGATATCACACAGACATAGTATTTAAAAACTCACAACTCTGTGGTGGCCACACGAAAGTGATGATTCGTTTGTTGCTACCAAGCTTTTGAAAGCCGGAAGTCACGGCTCTATTTCTTCTTCGTGAGAAACTGGAGCGCAAATGATGGTACTTCGCCAACTAGCGGCATGTAGGTGAGACAAACCTATCCACAGTCTCCACGCTGACAGTAGCGTTTCTTTTGGAGTGATCTGAACAAAATAGACTATTTAAACATTCAAATAAAAAATTAAAACAAAACATTACAAGGACAGTTATTTGGCAGTAGGGAAGGTGGAGTTTCTTTTGTAACAAAAGCAAGAGTGGATTTGACTAATAATGCTCCTGAAGTCACGAGACGCTTTCCACAAATAACACGTTATAAGGAGACATTTAAAAAAAAAAAGATTAGAAGCTACACAGACACAATTATTACCTAAAGAAGACTTCTGGTCAAAATTCTGTTCAATAATAATAATAATAATTATTATTATTATTATTTTTTTTACTTGTACAACGGAAATATATATCTTTGATAGCCTACTTGTCATTGTTACCATATATTTCAATGTATCACAATCAAGGATCTCTTCTAAAAAAATCTCCACAAACATGAGTAGCTTACCAATTAATATGCAATATTAAATAAAAACATTAGTGTCGTTCTTTCAAACAACTTGAGTAATATAATGTCATAAGCCTACGTAGCCTACCATTGATATGCTGAAAAAATCCTACATTTGTTAGAATTATAAAATCCAGAGCTAGGCCTTTAGTGTTTAACTGGTAGCCTATGAGAGACAACTTTTAATGCCTTGAAAAACTAAATTGTCTTGCTCAGTGAAAAAAGTCCTCCTGCTTTTTTTCAGTCCTCCAAACGCAGATGTTTACAGTTTTGTCAAGTTTGCAACAACAACAAAAAAAATAGCACGCAGGCCTTTGTCCTTTCTAAATAAAGGATTACATTTTAAGTGTAGGGAGAAGCAGAAATACATTAAGCTGACATTTAACTTGAGACCCAAGATGAGGATTGTTTATATATTTTAAGAGTTCATCTTCGTTATTGTAGGCGAATGTTCAAAACCAGTTTATCCTTGAAGGTTGTCGTCTTACATTGAAAATCTTAGCCGGATGCTCTCAGTTTACTAGTCCAGCTTGACGTCCTGACCCCGGTTCAGCACCTCCTGTCAAACTTCACCGACACTGGGATCTCTTCTCCGTTTGCTAATACCCCTCAGCGATGGAGCGGAAAGTTGCTCGAGAGTTTAGGCACAAGGTAAGATGCAAATATTATTTTTCTCTTCCGAAATCGAAGAAATATCTCGAAAGGCTCGTAATATTTTCTTTACCTGTTGTCACTTCAGTGGCTCAGGTGTCTCTCAGTGGGATGTTACGCAGACACAGGCCTGAGCGACAGCCTCACAAAAAAAAGGAACAGTTACATTTAGCAAGACATTTCAAGTAACAGTTTTGATGGACATTTTACTGTGTTTTTCCTATAATTTCTTCATTTTCTGGCCCAGGTAAACATTCCATAGTTTAGGCTATTATTTGATCTATGCTTTGTGTAAAAGATATAGTGTTATATGGTTGGTGTTGGCTGATAACTACCTGGAAAGGTAACTATGAGTAAAAAATAACAAAGGAAGGAACATGATACGTTCAGGGCGTTTTCAACCCCAAGAGCATGTATCATCACACAGCCATCTGTGCTGCACACACACACACAGGCAGGCAGGCAGGGTCACATAGACTATTACAGGCTTCTCACAAAGGGCATCAGAGCATCAGATAATATGTCAGAGATGAGCAGTGGAGCGGAAGAGATGGGACAATTTAGAGTTTTAATAAGGGGCTGAGGGGCCAACACAGCACAATCAGGCTTTGTTTCTTTCAGGGAAGTAATCGTTACTGCATGTGCTTGAGAGTGTGCAGTCGTTCTTCATCTCTTCTTAACTGTTTTTTTTTTCATTTACAAGCAATCCCTGACTGATTCTTTGTTTTCTGTAGGCCTACTGCAATCTTTGTGCTTTGTCTTTAGGATCCATTTGATCTTCTAAACTAGACATTGCATTTTGTAAATGGGTGTCTGTTCTAACCTTACTGGTTTATGGTGCCAAAGTCTGCATGTGAGCTGACTGTGTGTCACTTCCTGAGACATTTATGATGGTTATAAACAACATGTCACACACACCCTTACAGTGACCTCATAGCATGGTCAAGGAAAAAAAAAATCTATAACATAGCAATGCAAATTGTTACTGTAGAAAAATGACTAACAAAACAACTAATGGAAATATAGATATGACTGATAATACTTTTAGCAGTGGGGTCAAGCAGATACATGGTAGCAGGCGGTCCCAACAAATGTCCACAGGAACCTGTGAGACAAGGAAGCACAAAAACACCCTGGAAAACATAAAGTTTGTATCACGACTTAAAGGGAAATGAAAGTGAAGGAGACAGGAGTTCAGTGTATCAAGTCCCACGCCTAGCATAACAAGGGACTGGTCTGAACCTGAGTCAGCCCTTACTTTATATAAAAGTAAAAATTTGAAGCTGCCTTATCAGAAAAAGAGGATGTCTGCCTCACAGACCCGAACTGGTAGATGATTCCTCAGGAGGGGTTCTGATAATTGAAGAAACTGCCTCCCATACTACTTTTAGAGACTTTAGGCACCACAGGTCTGCATTCTGGGAGCACATTGTTTAAAAGGGCACTCTGAGGGGATGACCATTGTGAGCCCTTTGTGTGTTATGAAGATTTTTAAATTGTATTCTAGTTTTTACGAGGCTAGTGCAAATAAGCTAATGAGGGAGAAATCTGATCTCTTTTCTAAGTTCTAGTCAAGTCTATGTGCTGCTGCATTTTGGACCATTTGAAGAGTCTTTAGAGACTCGTCAGAGCAGCCTGATAGTATGCAATAAAATGATCCAACCTAGAAGTAAAAAATACTTAAGAGAGTTGTCCTTCAAAATGTTGTATGTGGAAAGGACATGTTCTGATGAATAATTTCCCGTAATATTGATGAAGCATTTACATGTAAACGTGTGTGCGTGCCTGTGAATGTTGGGTGTGAACGTTCACCTCTGTTTGTGTCTAAGATGTAAGATGACACGGCTGACCTTCCTTCTGCAGCCTCTTCTTAGCTCCTCCCAGTGGTTTGATGCTTAGAGAAGAGAAGTCCATTGCTTAAAGTCTGAGGCATCTTGGCATCCTAAAGTTTTACTTGTAGCTAAAGGATTTGTTAGTTCAGTGAAATGTGTTACATCAGTGATTGGCCGAAGCGTTTTCTCAAAACCATTCTGCTGCATCTGAGCCGCCATCAGGTCTGTATGCCTCCTGCACACACACACACACATATAGAGACACACACATATAGAGACACACACACACAGGTTGTTCACCCCCTGTGGTGTTGACAGGACCCCAGGAGAGAGATTCAGTTTGTGTTTGTGGGCTGAGAAGAAGGATTGTAGCAAATGTTTGTCCTTTCTTGCAGGTGGAGTTGCTGATTGAGAATGAAGCAGAGAAGGATTACCTCTACGATGTCCTCCGAATGTATCACCAGTGAGTACAGCCTGTCCCCGAGCAGTGTGGTTTCACAAAAAATCAGTCATTAAAATGAAAGCTGTACACTATTATAGCTACAGGTTAAATGATGCTCAATTGCCAGTGTTACTTGCTTCAAACATTTAACATTTTGGTTTGAAAAGCTCCTATCATGTCACCTTCATATTCCAAAAACTCTGTCAGGTTTTCTGATAACAGCTCTGGGGAGGGGAACGGGCCGGGGCGGGGGCGGGGGGGGGGGGGGGGGGGGCTAAAGGTCTAGGTTTCAATTCATCTTGGTACAGAGGCAGAGCTCTGTGGCCCCACTGGTTAAGCCTCTGATCAGTTTCCACTGCGTTCCGACAAGCCTGGCCAGTTCGCCACAAAAGCTCTTTTTATGTTCATCGTCCAAACAGGCTGAAATGGCTCCTATTAATAATTTAAAGAGGAGGCCAGGTAGACAGATTTTGTACAGCAGCTCTTTATTTTTACTCCTCTAAGTGCTGTTCTGCTCACCTTTTGTCTTAAAGTGAGTTGTGGAAGAACAAGATTGGTTTCTTTTTCCATTAGTTTGAGATAACACAGTTATTTAACTTGTATGTTTTTCAAAGAAAGACATGAAAAGAGAATCTCACATCAACCTTTGTGTGATTTAGATCGACAGCCTTGAGTCGTGTCATTGAAGTCAAGTCAGACTTTGTGTAAAGATCTAAAGTCTAAGGAATGTAGAGTAAAGAAAAGACAGCTTACAAAACCTCAGTAGTAACTTCTTCACCTTTGATTGAGATTAAGGCTTGACTAGCTTAGTACATCACCATGAACCTCTGTCTCAACTGTTTTGTGGGTTATGTTGACACTGCATTTTGACAAGTAAGGACCGTGTACGTTATAGAACAGATAATATCTTGGGTTTTGCTACATTTTGGACACTTTTTAAAATCTCCATTATGACTCCAGCTGTTTAGTAAGAGTGCACGGCTAAGTTGTAGTAGTCTTTTAAAGAAAGGACTTCATCATCTCATGGTTGATTAAAAATCCTGTGACAGTCATTAATGTAATTGCCCTCAAGACTCATTGTCACATTCAAAACCATTTAAGTAAATAAACAAAACATGGCTTTGCGTTCGCTTCAAACATTGGGAGTATATAACTGTATACGTTTCCTCCAGATTTAGATTGATTTATGGTCCTTTGGACTCTGAAGCTCTACATACAGTGCAGTGCTTTTGGGACCAGATGTCCTTGTGCTCTATTAGTCCTTAGGAACAATTTACAGAGAATCCTCAACGATATCCACACACGTGATTACAAAGAAATCTAGAAAGACTCCAGTACATTTAAAGGTGTATTTCTTAGTGTTGTTTTATCAAAGTAGATTTATATTATTTTATTAATATTTATATTTATTTAGTCCATTTTAGTTTTTTGTCTCATTATTTTATGCAGCTGATATCTTTCAGCTGTGTACATTATAATCAACAACTTAAATGCCTTGTTTTTATTTTAGTTCAACTTCACAACATGCCGTGGTTCCCCAACAGAGAACTTTTTCATGTGCTTGAAAAGTTAATTGTGTTGTAGAAAGTTACCTGGTCTAGAAAAGAGGACCTGATCATTTCTCCCCAGAAGGTAGAAAAACTGAAACTTAAAAATCTCCTCTTCCAGGTCGATGGATTTGCAGGTGCTGGTTGGGGACCTGAAGCTGGTCATTAATGAACCAAAGCGCCTGCCGCTGTTTGATGCCATCCGACCTCTTATTCCACTCAAACACCAGGTGGAGTACGACCTGCTCACCCCCAAGAGGTCACGGTGAGTGTACCATACCGTACAAAAAGGAAACGTACTTATATTTAGAATGAAACGTTTACCCATCATATCCCAAAACATCACCCGTGCAATCTTTAATAAAACCATCTGACCCTCTTTCTAAATTCTACGATGCTAATACATCTGTTCTTATCCTGCCTTTTGTCTGCTCTCTCTGCGTGATCATGCAGGAAGCTCAAGGAGGTGCGTTTGGATCGAACACATCGTGATGGGCTGGGTCTGAGTGTCCGAGGGGGGCTGGAGTTTGGCTGTGGTCTCTACATTTCACAGATGGTCAAAGACGGTCAGGCCGCGAACGTCGGCCTTCAGGTTGTTGAATGTGCTGGTTTCCACTTTATTATAGTATAATTCTTATTCCCTCTCTTATTCCATCAACTACTTTTGTGCCTTTTAGTTAAAGTGCCAAACTGCTCTTTGAATATAATAATGTAGGAATACTTTCAGTCATAAAAGTAGTCATTTTAAAGTAGGCCAGGTCACCCCTGTGAATGAGGTCTGGATCTCAGTGGGTTGTTACCTGGTTAAATAAAGGTTAAATAAAAATACTAATACTTTTTGCAATCAGTTACAGAGTGTTCATGTGTATAAACACTGCTTTCTGTGGCTTGGTCTTAGAGGTCATAATACCAGGTTTCACTAGGTGAAGTAATATGACATCATGTCCATAAAGATCATTCATTTTATCACTCAATACAATAAAATCAAAGAAATATCCTTTTCATGAATTAAAAAGGTAATGTCCTGTTTGGAGTTCCTCTGATGAGTTATTTAGATGAGTTGACTATCTGTTTTGCCTCTGAGTCATTGTTTGACATGTAGTGTCACTGACTGACATGTAGTAGTATACAGCTTCATCCTATGTAAGGGTAGTAATGTCTCTGTGATCTGTCCTAAACCTGCAGAAAAACAGTCATCATACAAGGCAAAAATATTATAGGTCAAGGTTGAATCAATATAGAACATGAGCGTGGAGTTGGAAAACCAGGCAAACGAAAAGGTTATCCATTTTATGAAATAGCAAAAGTGGTGAAAAACAACTGTATGCTGTATTCAAATTGTATAGTCTGCTTACACTGAAAACAATGAACACTAATCCTGTCAAACAAAAAGCTTTGATGAAAAAAAAAAAACACTATGTAGTATTTGGAGGCATGTATTTTCCTGTTTATTTAAAGGGGACTATAAATGAAAACATTGTTACAAACTGATTATGAATAACAGATGTGGCTAAATTTCATCCATGTCCCTGATTACGCCTTCTCACATATAAGAGCCAAATTAACGAGTTGAAAACACATTCAATATAGAAAAACAGCAGAAAAGATAACATGTACAGTATAAGCAGGTTTCCATGTGTATATGTATAATAAATGACTATGTTGACATGTATGTAGAATTAACATTTAACAAAGTAATTGTAAAATCCAAACTTAATCTTTTAGGTAAATACCTTTGATGTTGAGTTTTCCGGCTCTTTGATTGGACGTCACTTTAAAGAAGAGATTAATTAATCAGTTACATAAATCACATAAAATCTTACTGATGAAATACGATATTTTCAGACTCTAATGTATTCAATCTATGATTCTGTTTAAGATATTGAAGCCCAAGTTGTCATCACTAATATCTTATCCTGTGTTGATTTATAGGTCGGTGATGAGATTGTGCGCATCAACGGATACTCCATCTCCTCTTGCATCCACGAGGAGGTCATCAGTCTCATCAAGACTAAGAAGATTGTGTCCCTCAAAGTCAAACGTACGTCCAACACAAACTCTTCCTTCAACTGAACAGATCGCTCACAATTTTCATTGATTTGATTCGTTTTCTCTGTTTGTGTTTCTGTTGTGTACAGACGTGGGGATGATCCCAGTGAAAAGGTGAGGGAATTGATAATACTAGTTTCCTCTTGCTCATGTAGTGTTGCTTTGCTTAGATGACCATGGCAATGCATAGTTTATTATCTTCTCTCTTTTTTTCACTCTTCCAGCTCATCAGATGAACCCCTCAAGTGGCAGTTTGTGGACCAGTTTGTGTCTGAGTCAGGGGTGAGAGGCCCGATTTAGTCTTTTCTCTTTGACACCTTCAGTCTCAAAACTTGTGTCACAAAAGCAGATTTCATTTTGTTTTCTCGGTTTCTGTGTGGCCCCAGGAGAAAAAAAGCAGTGTTGCAGGCTTGGCGTCCATTGGAGGAAAAGAAATCAAAGAGAAGAAGGTTTTTCTCAGCCTTGCGGGCACCAAGGGTATGGGCATCAGCATCTCCAGTGGTCCGACGCAGAAACCTGGGATCTACATCAGTAACGTGAAGCCAGGCTCCCTCTCTGCAGAAGTTGGACTGGAGGTGATTTATCAAAATGACTAGAACATGTCATACTCGTAAAAGCCTCACACACCTGCTTCCTGTCAACTCTGTGTGCTTCATCCCTACATGTAGGTCGGGGATCAGATAGTGGAGGTGAACGGGGTGGATTTTACCAATACAGACCACAAAGAGGTGAATATAACTGCTTTAATATTTGCAGAAATGGCATCAGGAGTCCAAAGCTATATTAATATTTTGCAACCAAGGTCCTATGAAGGTGTCTGCTTAAAGGTGTATCCTTACATCGATGGTATTTTTCGTCCTACATTTTACTTACAGAATTTATCCAGCAGAAATGTTATTTTTTCAAAGTTGCTTATGGAGAAAGGAGAGTTTAAATTATTAATCAGAAGTTTGAGATAATTTTACAACTTGGCATATTCTTTACAGAACTTGATCTGCTGTTTTGATAATACGCTTTTTTATACATTATGTTTCCAGGCTGTGAAAGTCCTGAAGAGCAGCAGGAGTCTGACCATTACTGTCCTGACAGGCGCTGTAAGTACAACTCTCAATGGTGTTCTCTTTTTTTTTTTTTGTAAGATTTATTTTGGGGCTTTTTATGCCTTTATTAGAGACACAGGACAGTGGATAGCATCAGAAATCAGGGAGAGAGAGAGAGTGGAGAATGACATGTGGCAAAGGAGCCACAGGTCACATTCAACCCCGGCTGCCCGCTTGAGGACTTAAACCTCTGTACATGGCGCACTAACCACTAGGCCACCGGCGCCCCTTAATTGTGTTATATTGAATCAAACTTAATATTTTAAGAAAAATTCAACTCTATCTCTTTCAGTATCATTAGTGTCAAGTTGTTTCTTACAAAACTTCTCAAACTCTGACTTTTGTTGAATTCACTTCAACTTATCCTGTTACAGCACCGTGTTTAATATACATATAACTCTCAACCCTCCATGTTTTTTTAATTAATCCAAGTACAGGTGACATTTGTGTCACTCTGTTTAAGCATATAAACTACTTACATTCAGGCATATTCCTAGAGATTTACATGTTTCATGCACCTCAATATGTATTTTACTATTCAAATATGAGATATGAGAAAACACACTGTACAGTTAATAAAACAAACTGACTGAAAAAAGTGTCTATAAAGAATTATTGTGTATATTTTGATGAGTATCCCAAAATGAGATGTAGGTAATAAAAAACCTGGAATACCGTTGAAAATCTGCTCCATCACATTAGCACTTATTGGGAAATAAATTTTCCTCAGAAGTGAACACAGTTCAGGGATCATCTGTCCTCCCTTTGCAGTCCTGCACCGCACAGATTTATGTGCCTTATTTTTTTTAGACATCAGAGAACCCAGCCTGTGTCTAAGCTCGGATGTGTGCCAAAGCAATAATCATCATCATCAGTCAAGTCATTGGACAGGTTGTTGGCCGGGGTATTCAGTTCCTGGTGCTGTAATGGAGAGAAGCAGTACCATCTTATTTACTGTTTTCTCTGGGTGCCTGTCTCAGCTGTTCATTTGTGTGTTTGTGAAATCATTTTTTACTTGTGCAGTACATCCACCATTCAAGGTTCTTAAAATTCAAGTCTGGGTTCAGAGATGAAAGAATCACAGCTTTCATGTGATGAATTGATCTCTGATATCAAAGCAGAACTTTGTCGACTGAAATAAATATTCACCACACATCTTGCCTCTTTCCTCCCACATAGACGTAACGTTTTTATTTTTCATTTCTCTCCCCGTTTGGAACGCTGTTTTGGATCCAGATCCCAAAACTCTGAGGACCCCTGCTGTGCACAATGTGTGCCCCTAATTATCTTCTCTGGTGTTTCTCCCTCTGTCAGGGCAGCGATCTGTTTATGACAGATGAGGAGCGTCTAGCAGTGGAGGCCCGCAGGGAGCTGGACCGACAAGAGCTGATGCATCAGAAGAGGGTGGCTTTAGAGACCAACAAAATCCTGAAAGAGCAGCAGGAGAAGGAGCGGCAGTGAGTGTTCATCTCTAAAGGACGTCTTGTGCCAGTTGAAAAGAGAGATGTTTTAGTGTCTTTGTTGTGATGTATGGACACTTCATAGTTTTTAATTTTGAAGTTGAACAACTTGGCTCCTTGGCAGTGCAGGTTCTTCATCAAATTTAGTTCTAAAAGACGTCGTAAGAAATTACAGCTACCTACTCATCAACTCTAGTGATGTCACTGAACATAAGCAAATGTCTCTCAGTTTTGACTGCTAAGGAAATATCCTGATGCACACACAGTATTTGACCCCTTTTAAAATTAGGTTGATTTGATGGTGTAAATGAAGTTACTATTTAAAACTAATGAGAGACATCAGTGATTCTCACACAATGGCTCACAAAAAAACACACACACACACACACACACACACACACTATGGTTAATGTAATCCTTTCCCCATAGTGACCTTCACATTATCAGTGATGAGTTAAGCTTAATTGTAATGAGCAGTTAACATTAGTGTTTACACACACACACACACACACACACACACACACACACACACACACACACACACACATTAACACAGTGAGTGCAGATGTGAGAATGACTCTACTCTCGCATCCTCACCCTTAAATGAATTTCACTCAATTTAAAAAAACTGTCTTAAAGCAAGTGTGTGTCTATGGAAAGACAATTTGTTACAGCTTAACATAAATGACAGCCTGTCGCTTTATTTCCACTTTCGGCTGGAAGGCTCAGATTTTCTGATTATTCTGAGAGAGTAGCTGTGTTTTCAGCTGAAAACGAGCACAAAGTGAACCAGCAACAGGGCCGATCGTTAGCTTGGGGTGCAGCAGTCGATCTAAAACTGACATCAAGTGCTTTGTCTGCTCACAACACACACCATTGACAGAGAAACAGAATACTATTCCAGCATGAACAAAGATTATTTCCCTTTTTCCTGGGAAAATGCTTCACAATCACATCTGCATATATCAATCCATTGAATTTCACTTTTATTACTCCATAGTGACATCACTATATTGATTTTTGTTCAATATTCTAAATGATTTCTTCAAAGGCATTTTAAATTCAAAGGCCACACTCGATTTTCTCTGGGCTTTGATGCCGACAATATCTGGGGATGAAATATGGGACTGCATATCATATGTAGGATTGAGGCTCTCACTAGCGGCTAGAAACTGCAGTTACTGTATAGATAGTACTGTAGCACGTTGTGTTCTGTTTTCTATATTAACCATTTGTTAAACAGGAGACAGATGGAGATCTCTCAGAAAACTGAGGAGGAAGAGAAGCGCTACAAGAAGGAGATGGAGAAGTAAGTAACTCATTTTAAATGTCCCTAAAAAGAGTCCATTTGTTGTGTTTTTTGAGGCATGTTGAAGGAATCTCTCTCCTTGTTTTGTCTTTCTCTGCAGAATCGAGGCTGTGGAGAGGAAGCAGGACAGAGAATGGGAGGAGGACTGGGGAGCCAAAGACAGGCCTAAGAGCCCTAAGAGCCCCCACGGTCGGAAGAGCCCCTCACCTCCCCCCCATGATAAGAAAACCTCGACAAGTCCAAAGTCAAAGAGTTCACGTAAGAACACCTGAATTAAACTTTGTTCTTAAAGTATTTACTTCTCTTCTAAAAACACTTTGTTTTTAGAAGTAACTCCTGCGTGCTTCACCTTGTTTCCTCACACCTCTGCATGCTCTCTTTCTGTCACTTCTGTGTGCTGTGCTGCTGTTTATGGTCTCAACTCTCAAGCTGACGGAGCCAGCTCTTTCACAGAGGAAGACGGGGAGGAAGAGCAGGACGGACAAGTGAGTCTGGAGCCTCAGCTGCCACAGCTGTTGTCGGAGGATGTTCAAACTAACCTGAAAAAGTCCCTTTAAGACAAGTGCTGGATTTCCTTTGACAACCAAAATGAAAAACACAACAGGGAAAGATTTCTGAAATCACACAAGATGCCTTGTTTGCAAACAAAATTCATTGTGACTCCATGGAGCAGGCTTATATGGAATCTTTCGTTTTTCTCCTGGTGTGGTGTGTTGTGGGTATTTAACTGTAGTTTTGAAGTGTTTTTGGAACATTAATAGTGACCTGTGTCCATCTCCGTCCTTAGCATTTGGATGGTTTTATCGATATGAGGGGAAACTGCTGTCAAGCAAGGTAGAGTCTACTCACTGAGTTCTGTGTGGTGTTCATTGTATTAACGGGTCATTATCATGACGGTGTGGCAGTTTGGATGTTTTAATCTTGAGTTTTGCTGTGATTTGAACATTGGTACATAGTCTGGTGTCACTAGCTAGATGTGCATGTCATGCTGTGGGGTGTGAAGCAGATTGGGCCCGTCCCCTGCACTTTTCTGACTAACTGATAACACCTCAGAAAGGAGAGAAGAAGAAGAAAAAGAAGAAAGTGTCCAACACAGACACACTGCAGGAGCTTCGGAAAAACAAGAAGGAGATGGAGTTTGAGTTGAAACTTGCCAAGGAGAAGGAGGAGATGTATGAACGAGAGAAGCAGCTGAAGATCAATCGGCTGGTCCAGGAGGTATGAAGAGAGGAGATTATGATAATTGTGGAGTTGTATGTGAATATGTGTGCTTAGGGCTAACTTGTATCGTTAAAATGCTGCTCGGGCTTTGCCTTTGTACCAGGTTTCCGAGACTGAGAGAGAAGACCTGGAGGAGTCGGAGAAGGTGCAGCACTGGGTGGAGCGTCTTTGTCAGACTAGGATGGAGCAGATTTCATGTGTGGAGAACGAATCCCCAGAGGTAAAGGGAGAAAGCACAGAACTGCTAAAGTTACGTTTTTCCTGCTACGTTCAGTGGACGACCTTCTGTTTATGTCTTCAAAAAGCATATTGACACTTGAAACAGCAGTGAGCTACTGGGTGAAATGATGCGGGGCTGGAGAGTTCAGAAGCACTCTCTGTTCGTTCTTTTTTTGTCACCAATCCAAATTCAGTAAAAGAGGAAGATTACTGCCATTACCAGTTTGTCATTTATTGTATAAATAGAACTTTATTTTCACTTTATATTAACATTTCTTCCCTATCAAACACACTTAAAAGTTACATATGAATGTAAAATGAATTACATTTGTGAATTTATTTAAATGAAAATCTAAAAAGTTCAGACTGACAGAGTGAATGTTGGAGCTATAGTTTTTCTTAACCACTCCAACAAATACCAAACAGTATGACTTATTGAGTTCAGTCCTTCTGATGGTGAACTAATAATGCTAAGTTTTATGATTTCTATTATGAATAAGTATATTAACATTTTCTAATAGCTCCTACACTTAGAATAACATGTTTTGCAGCAAATGCAACCCCCTAGAAAAGACGTCAGCGTAGTAATTGAAGTGGAGATGATTAAAACAACACACTTTTATCTCTTACATATTTTTGTATTAATTTTACATGGAGACTACCACTAAATTAACCAATGAGCCAAATCACAAACATAACACTTTGCATATAGACTGTACTCTTTGTAATATTCTTTACAGAGACAAAACATTTATCCACCAAGGGGCAAGCACTTAACAACAGTGACAAGCAAGTAGATGCTCTAATCAGGCACAAAGCCCCGAACAGAACCAGCCTGATGGTGAACAGCCATCTGCTGCGATACAGAGACAGAAAGAGAGAGATGGATATAGACAAAACAGACAAACAGGTAGACAGACAACAGATAATATAATACAATCTAGGTACAAACAGTTTTCCTCAGGTGACCTTTCCCTGTACTATAATTGTCATCCTGTCAGCTTGGACAAAAGAAGAACCTGGAACAGGACAAAATTCTGCTGGTGGTATTTGGCTGAAATGTTCAAATGGTCAATAACATAATTAACACAGAAGGTGAAACTTTATGTTCTGTGCATTTTCTCATTGTGACTTTAAGCTCTCCCCGCCCCGCTCTCCTGCCTCTGAGCCGAGGGTGAAGCGTTTCCCTGGCGGCCTCCACCTCGCCACCACTGATCTTGATGACATCAACCTGGACGAGGTAGATCAGAGCCTGAGGGGCCCTCTTAAGAGACTTGCCCCCACCCAGCCCAGTACCAGCCAGCCTCCCCCTCCCCTACCTCTCCCTCCACCCTCACCCAAACTGAACCCCACCATACCCAACTACTCCCCTCCTTCCTCTCGGGCAGTGCCACATCAACGACCTCCTTCTCCCCGTGCTGCTGGAAGACCTCCTTCTGCCCCCTCCAACTTGAACAACAAGGGACGCAGGCCTCACCCTCACCCACAGCCCCACCCTCACCATCACCCACAGCCCCACCCTCACCATCACCATCACCACAGCCCCACCATCACCCACAGCCCCACCCTCATGCTTCCAAACCTCCTCGCTCACCGTCATCTCATCTTCCTCCTCCACCTCAGTCTTCTTGGCCTCCATCATCTCCTCAGCCTGCTCCTCGCCCACCTCCTCCCCCACCCCCTCCTCCTCCACCACCTCCTCCTCCCCCGCCTCCACCACCCCCACAACACTCAGAGGAGCGAGTGGGAACCCTAAGCGGGTTTCGACAGCATCATCACTTTCAACACCCTCCCAGTCCTCCAGAGCGCAGGAGTGAGTGGGAGGCGGGTGGATACCTCCCGAGAGGAGGGATTTACTCATCCAACACCAGTGAAATGTCCTACCCATCCAGCCCGAAGGTCAGACATGCTCATGTGAAATTGTTCCTTTTTCTTTTTTTCTTTTTCTTTTGTAATGTGTAGTTGGCAATGATGTTTTTTTCCATTCAGTTGCGTCAGCAGTTGAAATAAAAATGTAGACAGCTGACAGAGATAATACATTTTCAAGGCTGCAGAACTTGATGCCCTGTAATTCACAGGTTTATGTGCATGTGCATGTTCTGTATGTGGATGTTTTATGCATGAGGACAGGGCAATACACTGCATTAGCATGACGGAATTGGATTGTCATTGATTTACAGTTTTTTGGTCTGGCTGTGGGAAATGCATTCAGAGATGCAGTTAATGTTATCGATGTTTGCTCGTAGCTGTGTGAATTGTTTCACTGAGCGGAGTCTGGCTTGCATGGTCTGATGTGCGTAGTGGGAACTAATAATGTGTCTGCTTGAATTAGTTCTGAGAGTTGTAACATTTCCCAGCAGTGACTCCCCCTGAAACCTAGGCCATGCTCTGACGTCTGAGAGACTGGGAGTAAATACTGGACACTGATATTCCTGCAGTGCTCTGTTTATGCCAGGGGGCAGAAAGATTCATTTTATTTTACTGTGGTTTAGGTTTTGAGAAATACTTCCCATGCCAGCCGAATTTCAAGTGCAAGCACTCCCTTGGTAAGTTAAGTTTCCTGTTGTTTGATTTTTTTGCCAAACATTTGAAAATTCATTGAGTTGTTCAGAGACCAATAACGTTATTGACTGCCCAAAATGTAGTTATATTTCAGCAAGTATCAGTGCACAGATCCAAATAATGCCATAGTTTAGTTGTATTGGCACTTTTATTATCTTATGAAGAGAACAAACAACAACAACAGTGTGCTTCTAGCTCAGACTGTGAGTTTAGTTCAAACTAGCAAAAGGTGAACAATCAGTGTTTTGCCACCACTAATATGTACTTTATAAACCTGCTGGTATAGAAAGAACTTGTTATTGGTCAATAGTCAAGGCATCAGAATAGAAAAAGGTTTTGGAACAGCTCTGGAGTCATACTATCCTCACACAAAAGAAGCTCTTGTTCAAAAACATATCATGTGGACATATTTTGTTTAAATATGAACCTATACTCAGATTTTTCATGGAAACATGTTTTTCCCCTATTAGCAACTAGCTCCTAGTCCCCCCAACCAGAGGCGTCAGACCCCCGTCATGTCCAAACCCGTCATGCTGCCCCAGTCCCAGACCCACCGCCCAGATCCACACAGAACTGCACTTCGCTCTGACGGCCTGGTACTGTATGAATCCTGCACACCTCCTTCCAGTACAAAACCTTGTTTCTGCTTAATAAGGTTATAAATCATTCAGACATCTGACACAGAATGCCATCAGGAGGTTAAGGGATTAATCCCTACCTCTTTTGTCTGAGTCCTGCTGAGTCGTCCAGACTGTCCAGCTGTTCAACCAAAAAACAGATTTATAGTTATTAGATTACATAGGAGTCATTTCTAGCTCCTAGCAAAATGCTCTTATGTAACAGATTTATTTTTCAAACTGCATTTACTTTAGAGAAACATTTTGCAGAAACCCTTTTCCTCACATTAACAACACACACTCTTGTGAACTATACAGCACAGACACACACTCCTACCTTCAGCTCCTAAACACCTCCACAGCTGTAGGTTAAACACATTAGTGAGCAGCCCCATGAGTGCAGAAGTTGAAGGATAGAAATCCAAAAATCATTTACTTTCCCTGCAGCACACAACGGTTTTATTAATGTTATGAAACTCTGTTCGAAATGTTGATTTAACAAACTGAATTGGAAATATTGAAGAAAATGACTGCTGATTGAAGTAATGTTTTCTGCCAGGTCTTCTGCACTTTAGCTCCACAGACTGTGGTAAACAATTCTCAGTGGTAATTACAAAGGATTCCGGTCATCGGCCTGGGAAAATGGGTTTAAGGGTTAAAGATAAGTCTTCACAAGGCAGCCATTTTTCTCTGACATCACGTGGGAAGGTCAAATTCTGTTATGTTGTAATACAGTATTGAAAATACAACTGACAATCGATATCAATTAACAACTTTTTAATTGATATGCAACAAAAATTAAAGTTGAAGATGAAAATCTGGAGGGATATGGGGCTGTATTTCAAGATAAAGACAACATATTTGATATAATCCATTAACTGTTGCTAGACAACAGCAAATGTTAGCGTTCAGTCACGTCCTAGCTTTACTGTAACATGTTTAAATGTTAGATATGACCACATTTCCCTTAACTTTTCACTTTTTATTGTCTGTTTATTTGAGGATGTATCAAAAAGCTGTAAAAAAAAAAACGATACATAAGATACCCTGAAACACAACAGTATGAAAAACTAACAGCATTCAAGCTTCCCACCCTGAGCGTGGCATCAGAGGAAATGTCCGTTATGCGAACATGGTCATTACTCAACATTTTTTATTATCAAGAAATCACAGAGAAACTAAAACCTACTGGTTTATTCTTCAAGCATGTATTGTCTATGTAACTTAAAATAGTTGTTTTTTTACGTCTGCTGGACCTCCACTGATGTCCACAAAATACTAACAAGAATCAACCAGCTCACTGTTGCACTAACATATTGCTTCAAGGAAATAAACATGGGCAAGGATATTTATTTGAACCAATCCCACATTCATCTTCATGTTTTTCTAATACCAAGAAGTCAAACTTGTGTTTTTTGACACCTGACTGAAAATAATTAAAACCAAATGTTCTCCTGTTTGAATAATGTTTGGCTCACCTCAGTGTTCTGCACATATACTTATTTTCTAAGCCACACAAGTAACAGCAATCGCTCATTGTTGGAGTCTTCAGTGGAGAAAAAACGAACTTAAAACTTCATGCACAATGAAAAGAAAATATTTTAAAAAATAGAAGTGAGGGTGTTTTTGTTCTGCTTGTTAAACTGTTTCCCTGTCTTCTGTTTCAGCCTCCAGAAATGTTGAAACGGATGGTGCCGTTCAACTCCTCTTTTAAATCAAACACCAAACGACAAGTAATCCATAGCTATCACCCCCCTCTTAATTACTACTCCTGAGTGCCTTTTCTCTGGATTCTCTCTTCTCCTTTCTTGCTTACACATCACGTTTCCTCCTGTTGGCTGGAGCCTGAGTGATGGCTCTTCTGTTGTTTTTTTCATCATGTCCTCTCTCTGGTGGCTTTAAGGTCCAGATGTGAAGCTTATGCATGACTGCATTTTTATTGATTTTTAACAAACAGCACTGTGAACATGTGGTGAGGGAATGCATATCACAGAGTTGTGGTCTCAGTGTTATTATGTTGGTTTTAATGTTCACTGGAAACAGATGTTGTTTTTTATTTACACTTAATGATGTGATTATTTCTGCGTTAGCTGCACTTTGCTTAGAAAAAGGGACCATTACTCTCATTTGATTTATTGTTTCCATTTCACCAAATGCCAGGGTACATTTTATTGTTTGGCTTTCTGTGCAGAACCAACAATATGTGTGACTTCATGTATCATGTCAAATGTTGAGTGTTTGCTCAACAACATGATATGAACACTTATCTGTGTGTGTTTATTTAAATGTCATCCTCGCTAGATAAATGTGATGTCCTTTTGGGATTCTTTGTTTTGTTTCCCTTGAGATTAAATACCTGGGTGTGTGATCCTGTTTATTTTTTGTCCTAACTGAATTAAAATGGGAGGATTAAAATCCACTGTGCTTTCAGTTCATGACCCTGACTGTCTCCATGCTTTCTGTTTATTCAGGGAGGCATTAACTTCATAAAAAAAAAAAAAAGGTTGTCAAAGGAAATCTGGCAAAGCACTTTTAGGTGTCATTCACAGAGATTTTACAAATGTTCTTTTATTCCTTTACATCTTACTTGTAAACTCATAATTCAGAAATGAAGTTTTAACAAGCCACGTGTTGATTCTCTTTCAGGGATTTCAGAAATACGAGGAAGAGTTTGATCCCCACTCCATGGTATTGTATGCATAATCTCTTTGGTAAAACAAAAGTGCTGAAAATGCAACAGATATCTGGCAGTTTAAAATCTGTTTTACAAAGACAGTCTCACACATCTTACAAGTGTTATTAAGTGCTGCTAGTTAGAAATGTAAACATTGTGTCTGAGGAAATGAGGATCAATGAACCAAAACAGCAAATGTTTCTAAAGGTTGCTTAAAGAATGTGTTGACCTTATTCCCAGAGCAGCCATTGAGAGTTCTGTTACATCAAGAGTCGTATTTAATGAATAATACAAACAAAGCCTATAATAACTCAACACAGCTACACTTCAAATGCATTAACTCCCCAAGTTCAGAGGAGAAGATGGGTAGATTTTCTAGTTTCATAATAGCAAATAAAAGCAAACTTCTTGTAGATAGTTAGGTCAAATATATTAAATTATACCCATTAAAATATATTTAAAAACAGTAAATAATTGTATAAAAGCAGTACTCACGTTGTAAGGGGTATAATCCAAGGTTAGAAAAAACCCTGATAATGTTGAATAGTTAGCTGAGGTTCTTGTTTTTGTTTTGTTTGCAGGTTTTTGTTGTTGATGGTGAGCGTTATTCAGAATAGGAAGCTATTCTTTATGTTGACGACTTCATTTACTTTATCTTCTTCAATGCTTTCTTTGATAATAGTTCTCCGCCGACCAGATAGACGGGCGAGATGTGAGACTGCTGAGAATTAAAAAGGTACTGAGTGCATCTTCTCAGTTTATTGATGATTCTTATCAGGTTTAATAGAGATACTTTCTAAAGCATTAATGTTGATGTTTTTGGTTGTTAAGACGGGACAGCTCGATGTTGCTCTGGAGGGAGGAGCAGACTCTCCTTTGGGGAAGCTGGTGGTGTCTTCTGTGTATGAGGGTGGAGCTGCAGATCAGCACGGTCAGTTCATGTATATTATGAAATATCTTAACTTTATAACATCTTTGCTTTCGATCTGTGTCTTTTGCCATTATGATTTCAGTATGTTAAAGGGAATATAAGATATATATGCAACATTACAACACTCAGTTGAGCACAATACAATTCAAATAGCGCTAGAAACTACATCTTACAAAGTCAACATGAAGATAAAACTGCACCTCTCCAATCCATTTTAATCCAGGACCAAATATTAAACCTTGATTAAGGGAAGGTGCTGCATGGTTCATTGGGCTCTAAGATATTGTTCTCAACCAGCTGTTTTGGCAGGATCCCAGACAATTGTTTGCACTGCGAATACATTTAAGTCCCAATGTCCGACAAAGAAAATGATTTTGTAATGTACGCATGTGCAGATTGTGCTCTGAATTGCACGTTATTAATATATTGTTAATGCTGTCTCCATGCACAATATCAGGACACCTCCTTGTGAACACAGTTAAAATACATGTCACATGCTAGTCTTAGTTCCATCTTTATGTTTGAAAATGAACTGTGTCTCATGTGTATGTGTGTAGGTGGCATGGTAGCCGGGGATGAACTCATGGCTGTGAATGGGAAAATCCTGATCGATGCTTCATTGACTGAGGGACAAAACTTTCTGGCTCGAGCCTGGAATAGTGGAGGGGTAGGAGAATGAAATCCTTACACTTTTTAAATAATACACTGCTAGCTGAGCTGTTTTTATTGATTGCACTTAAACTCAATCCAACCTGATTTATAGTTTGTGCTTGTTGTTGTCACACTCTGAAGTGCAGATTCAGTCAGGCTGTGAAGCACAAAATAAAGGTTACTAATGTTTTTCTCTTTAGGACTGGATCGATGTCGTCATTGCTGTTTCCCCTCCGAAAGCATATGAAGATGAAGTGTAAGCATTCATGTGTATTATTCCTGTTTAAATGTGTATCATACATTTTATACTTTAATTGAAATGCACACGTGAGGTGTCATTGTGATAATCCAGGTCTGAATAGTTACAATGTGTGGCTGTGTGTGTGTGTGCATGTGTATGCAGCCCTAAGTCAGCATCAGTCAGTCCTGCTGAGAACAGAAAGGTGTTTGAAGGCAGTGCTACTCTGTACAGACACGGCTACCTGCTTCAGCACTAGTCCTCCCTCTCCTCCTACCTCACCCTTCATTCTGGTAATCCACCTGACCTCCTCCTCTTCCTCACTGCACGTCACAGAGGGGATGTTTGGTGTGCTGTTTGCTTTTGTTTGGCCCCTTTTCTTTTTAAGCACATGTGGCAGTCTCCTGCTATCAATCAGAAGAGAGCATACCAGCAGATTGTATTTGTGATTTCTCTATTGCCCTTTGTGAACAAGAGAGATTTATGGGTAACTGTTTTGGTATTTCCACAAAAGACTAGCGTGACAATATGTAGACACCTTATACAGCATGCAGTTTTCCTTTTACTATTCCTATTCCTTTTACTGTTTGAGGCATCTGCAGCAACACAGCCATGCTATTTGGGTGAAGACTTTTGCAGTTAATGCAATCAGTGACCCAGCACACCATATATCTGCCAACACCCTGACCCACTGAGCTGTTTATAAACACATATGTACATGTTGACCTCTTTGGTATTTTCCTGTTGTGTCAGGTCATGGACGCTCATAGATGCTGCCTGTAACTCCTGCCAGCCTTCAGCAGTTGTTCTGATTGATGTTGTTCAGAGGGACTGTTACATATTCTGACATACTATCACACTTAGTGACACATTGAATGACTCCAGATAGTACTGTAGTGAGGATTCCTTCTCTGCTGCAGAGAAATGTATATTATACTAGGGTTTTATTCATGATAGGGCTGGTTTATTAAACAACTGCGGAAGAAAAACAAGGAATCTAGGGCACAGTTTTGCCCTAGTTGTCTTGTGTTTTTAAAACTAGCCTGCATGTGTGATTGTGTGTAATATGCAGTGACTTCAGCATGCATGGAAAATTGCTTTCCTAAAGCTGCTGCTTTTCCACCTAAAGAAGGATTTTTAGGTCAAGGAACTACTCTTAACTAATTTAAAGGATTCTCCAGCCCATTGTGTTCTGCATTTCCACCAATGTCCTGTGAAGAATTGGCAAATGAGTCTGTTTACATGTGAGTCCTGCATACTGCAAGTACTTGTCCTTTAAGAAATGTTTAGTGATGTGATTCCCACCTCAAAGTCTCTGTATATTCATTAAGTACTCAATCTGCAGGGATTTTTTAGAGGGATCAACTAAAATCCTCAGGATTTAATTCCATCCCCATCCCCTGCTGTGGAGCACTGAGTACGCCCTAAAGATTCTAGTCCCTTTGGGAAAGTTTCTGTGGCAGGTTCAACTCATTTTATTTGGCACTACTGTAAGAGTAGATCCTCTCGTATCGTACATGTTACATTAATATGCGTATCACATACATTGCAAGAATAACATTATTTTTTTCTCTTTTATTCTTTCAGAACATTCTTCTAGACTCATCAACAGCCTGCCAAGAAAACCAGTCTGATAAAGAAGATTTTTTATTGATCCACATTTATGTTCATCACTTGTCATCACCGCCTGTTAACAATGAGCTGAAGATTTTATTTTGTCTGTTTCTTTTGATGTTTTTCCTTAAATTAAACCTTGATGTTCACTCCACGCAGACAACACGCTCTCTTACTGTCTTGTGTTGTTAAAAATGATTCAGTCTTCTGTCCTGTAGTCTTCCTCATCAACATGGTTATTCTCTTTTATGTACACGCAGCCTGACCCTTTCCTCCTTCAGACATGTGTAGACATGCTCAAATTAAAACAGGAAAACTGTAAGCAACATCCACTCTTTAATGTGGCTTTCAGTCCAATAAACCTCTGCTTTCACTCACACACTGGTTATCTGTCTTGAATATAGATTTTCTGCTCCCTCTGCTGCGCTTTCCGCCCCTCAACACTACATTACAGGCAGCTGTTGCAGGGGTACAAAAAAGCAACACTGTGACGACATAAGTAGCATTTCCAGAAAATAAAATCAACATTAGGTGTAGGATTTTGTCCTTTTTCATACATTTATATCAGTTCATATTTCTTCTCCTTGTTTACTTGGTCAAAAAGAGTGCGGAACCAATATATAAGCCATCATGACTTTATGTCCAGTCACATTACAATGTTTCAAAGGTTGATAAAGCATTTTCTGCTCATTCAGATGAAGCTTATATTTAAATAGTTCTTTACCTTCTTGCTTGGGAATTTTCTCATGTTCTTTGTCTGCAGTCTCACAAGTGTTTCTGCATCCGTTTAATCCAAGCATGGAGATCCACACAGTTTCATATTTAACCGACCACAGGGGGCAACAGTGCTCCTTGTTGAATATAACTCAGTGAATAAGAGAGTCCCAACTGTGTTTATCATTCTGCTTTAAATGAATATGAATGTTATTTGCCTTGATCAGATTTATAAGAGTTTATGCTGGTTAAATGAGGTCATCTTTCAGAGGAAACACTGACTCGAGGGACTAGGCCACTCGTCATGTAATGTTACATGTGTTGTTGGCTGTGCAGTATCCCACTTCTCGGTTATATAACCTCTGTGTGCAGTAATCCACTCTGCTTCATGATGGCATACGTGACTGCTGCTACTTTCAGCGTCGTATCGACCCCTGTGTTGTGTTTGATGGAGCGACCCATGCCACACTAACCTACCGACCGAAGGTTCAAGACAGAGACCACAGGTGGCCTTAGCTGGAAGAGGTGCCCCCCTTCTCTCCTCCTCCTCCTTCTCCATCTCCTCCTCCTCCTCCTCCTCGGTCCCCGGGTTCAGGACCGTGGACAGCTCCTTGTCTCCACCCTCAAACCACCGCGTGCGCTCCGGAGGGTCAAACGCGAGTGGGACAGCCAGAGGTGTACAGCATCCTGAACACATGACAGACTATACATTTGGGGACTTAACCTCTCTCATTTTCTCTCGGATGTGAAATCTCTTAGGAGTCAGAGAAAAACCACGGAAGCACGATGATCTCACGATATAAACCGGTAAGTGCTATATGCCTGTGTCACCTGCTGAATCACACAGATCGATACTTTCACTTCGAATATATGCTGCACGGCTCTGTGAGCATTTAAAGAACTTGCACAGCAAAGCAATAAAATCACGATTTATTTCCCAATTACACGCACATAAATATTATTTGCATAATTGTATCTGCTGTTAAAACACAATTTAATGACGCTGTGAGTCATTCTAGGTCAGAGTTTGTCAATGGATCCCAGTGTGTGCTGTAATGTGATCATATATCAATGGGAATCATGCAGGGTTCATTTCTACAAGCAAATTATGGGGGAGTGTGAAATATTGGAGGTGCTGTTACATGGTGGTAACAAACTGCCATTCAGATGAAATGCATTTCATAAAGCAACCCCTCATCCTTCTGTGGATAGGTGAGAGAGAGAGTCAATACACGATTCAATATCCACCTCCTACCCTGTACTTTACTCCTACAGATCCAATCATCACAATACAAGCTGCAGAGAAGTCTCTATTTAGAAACGTGTTAGTGCTATGGTGTGACAAGCTATTTCAAACTAAACCAAAACAAGTTGCTTTTGCATGCTTTTTCCCTTTTTCTAAAGGTCTCTCTGAGAGGCTGCTGCTCCTCCACTCAGCCTCTTTTATTCTGCACTACACTGATGCTTTAACTGTCCCCAGGCGATCCAGTGATGGACCGGGCTAATCTCTGATGTAGGCCACCACGGCACCGTAAGCCGGCCATTTATCCTGGCAGAAAAGATGACAGAAGTACAGACACAATGCAGGAAGAAATCTTTAGTTAAGTCATGATGCTGCCAACATGAGATTCATTCTTATTTAGGCCACTGGGGGAAACCCACCCATAAACATCTGTTTAGTCAATGGCACAGTGATCAGCTGTGGTTTTTGTGTGTGAGCAAACGTCTCCTTGGCTTGATTTATTCAGAGCCCATGTTTTGCCAAAATGTTTACTGTCATCTGTTGTGAGTGTGGTTTTCCATGTTAGCGGATAATGAATGGGAGACAGGAAGTCAGAGGACATGACAGTTGCTGTGAACTCTTCATCCTGGGTGCTGACATGAAAGACCAACTGGAATCTCTTTACTTTCAACTATGCCTGCTGTCTCTGTTCGATACATTTCATTGCCTCAAAAAAGCCTTTTGACCTTTAGAAAATATTCAGAAACGAATTTAGACTCAGGTAGTAAACAGACACTTATATCTGCTCAGTCTGCGTGTTTGCTCACTCTTCAAGAAGTATCTGGCTCTGTTGTTTCAAGCTCCATCAAGATTAGCTCACAAACACATATTGCAGCATAAACACAACCAAAATCATAATTTAAAATACGATCAGTTGTCTTTTTTCCTAACAATTTTCATACATGAAGAGAATTCCCTAAACCTGAAGTCATACAGCAGTTGTCTCCATCAAGAAGTGTTTTTTCATCGAGTCATGAAAGGTGGCTGTCAGGCAATGAGTCTGGTTCTGCTCAAGGTTTCTGCCGGTTGAAGGGAAAATATTTGCCACAGTTGCACAGCTCTTGCTCATTGGTGGATTGTGTGAAGTGTTCACAAATAACTTTTGCTGGAATTTGCCGCTACGTAAATAAAACTAATGTTTTGATGATTGATTGATACAAGTTGATATACGTCTGGGTCTCAGATTAGTTCATTTAACTTCAGACAAAGAACCTAATTTATACAAAACACCAGAACTACTGCATTTATGGTCTTTCCTTTGGTTTTGTGAAACTTGAATGCACCTCAAACTCACATACTTAAGCTGTGGAAACAACAGACAACTGTGTGTGTGTGTGTGTGTGTGTGTGTGTGTGTGTGTGTAAACACTAATGTTAACTGCTCATTACAATTAATCTTAACTCATCACTGATAATGTGAAGGTCACTATGGGGAAAGGATTACATTAACCATAATTCATTTTAACCACTAAGAAAATGCCATGAGTCTGTTGGATTAGTAAAATCTGCTCCCATGTGGCTTTTTGCTGATCCCTCTGAACATGCGAGCTGCCATTGGCTGCAGCGGGAGCTCTCCCTGCTCCCTACAGGACCGGCAAACAATGCATCTATCTGGGGAATATATAAATAATTGATGTCACTATTTTTCATGTGTGCTGCCTAGCTCCATGTTTTATTGCAGATTTAACGTGAAGTTAAGTAACAAATGACTGAGGGGAAGAGTTATGTAACTCCTGCAAATGTTGTGTTAGGATTTAGATTAGAGTGCTTGCTCATGCTTCACACATACCTCTGTATAACGTTATACTGCTCCATCGGCAGCTGTGCTCCCGCCTTCTCTCTTCTTTCTCTTCTCTCTCTCATCTTCATCACTCATTGTCCCTCCTGCTGTCGCCATCTCGCCTTCAGTGGATCAGTCCTTCGAGCTACCCCTACATAGTCTGCTCCCTCTCTTTTCCTCTCCCAAGGTCGTCTTTGAGCTCCCGTTCATAAAGAGACAGGAATAGCAGGTGCACTGCAGAATGCCACCGCTGCTCTCTCTGTATGTGCATGTTTGTGTGTGAATCCGTATGTGTGTGTGTGTGTGTGTGTGTGTATGTGTGTGTATATCTGGGTGTGAGGGACGGTAGCGCATCTTAGTGCATTCCAGTGGAGCTGTGAAGCGCCGTGCGAGAGTGAAGCTTCAGTTTCAGAGGATGACTGAGGATTGCAGGCGGACGGGATGCAGATGTTTCACACCAGCATGGCCGAGGGAGCTGCTTAGACTGCTGGAGTGACTGTTTCTGACCCCCCTTTTTCCTCCTCCTTCCCTCTCTCCCTTCGTCTCCTCTTCTTCACTGGATCCGATATTTGGGAGCCAGAGAAGTGAGCAGGAAGGAGGTCACTTAAGGAAACACCAGGATCTACTGAACTCGCCTACAGCTCCCCCCTTACAAAGACAAAATGCTCTGAGAGTCTTTATTACAAATATCTTTGTCTTTCCCTTTCATCTTCCTGCTCTCCTCCTCCTCCTCCTCCTCCTCCTCCTCTTCCTCTTGCCGGTTCCCTGCAGAGTCCTGGCTCCACCATGTCCTTGGCATTCTGTGGGAACGAGAATAACTCGGCAGCTTACAACGTGGATGGCGGGGTCCTGAACAACGGCTGTTTCCTGGACGCTCTCAACGTAGTGCCACATGTTTTCCTCCTCTTCATCACGTTTCCAATCCTCTTCATTGGTGAGTGTCACTGGGAGGTGACATCCCCAGCTTCTTTGCACAACACATCCTTGCATGGACCATACACACAGCAAACAAATGATGTGTCAGCACAAACACACAAGGATCTGAAGTATTAATAATGGGCTTCTGCATGTACTCTATCTGCCCTTCACAGTTTTTTCTGCTTCTTGTATTGTATTTTCTAGCAAAGAAGCATTGTTTAGTATACATGTTCATTATAGTGTCCATACAATTATTAAAATGCTTGTCAGATTCTACATTTCATTCCCAGACTATAAACACCCTGTGTGTAGGTGTTGACTGTCCCCTAGTCTACAGTGAAATAAATAAAAAAAGAGTCTCCTGATATTAGACTTAAATGAGTTACAAGAATTCTTGCAAGTAAATAAGACTTTCCTGATGAAATGTAGTGTTGGCATTAGGTTTCCCCTTCTTTTCTATCTTCCTGGCCACCTGCCAGTCTATTAGTGTCCCCATCATTGTGTAACAGACCAGATCTGTGTCGCTGAACACTCTGCTCAAACAGTCACACATGGCCTCTTCATCTGCTCTGCCCTGTCAGTGTCTGTGCAGAACATGTGTTTGCATCCAGTTATAAAGCAGTTTATATCTTCATGGTTATGTTAAGCGTTCCCTCTCCATTCATCTGTGACATAATCATATGGGGTCCTTTGTGTCTTGTGTTCTCTGAACATACAACCAATGTGATTGTGTTTAACACAGGGAGGGTAACACCATTAAACAGTAACATTAAACTTTTATGTTTGTCCTCTGATTCATCTCTGTGCTTGCATTCATGCTTGTATGTTTCATAACTTTAAATTGTTTTGTGTTATACTAAATAACTACAGTATATTAGGTCATGGAAGCGAAACAGATCAGTGGATGGCAATGTCAGTCTCTTGTCGTCAGCATGTTGGGGCTTTGTCCAGACTACAAAAATATTATAAACAGTCAGTTAGTATGAGAAGTGGTGGACATTCATAGTGCCCAGAGAATGAATTGTCTTGGTCATCCTCAGACTTTTCCTTGGGCCATATTGAAGTGGACATTTTAGTTTTTTTAGGAGTGGATTGGATGCATTTCCTCTAAATTTTGCACAACATCGATTTCCCTAAGGCCGAATTAAACATTATGTTGACTGTTAAAGTTCTCCTTAGGTGTGATCTTGATTTTAAGTTTTAATTGCAGATTGCATTGATTACTGAGAGATCTGTAAAACTACTGAAACTTTCCAGATTATACCATACTACAGCAAAAGTTGGTTAATCAAAGAATGTTAGAATATTCTTTGAGACAATGACAGCATGTATTGTTTTATAAAGTCGTTAGCATTACTGATGGCTTTTAGTCTTACATAGTCTATGTAATATAATCAGCTAATTCTTATAAATAAGAAAAAAAACACCCAGTTAAAGGCAGTGTGAGCTGTTTTAACCCAGTTAAAGGCAGTGTGTGCAAAGACAAGAGAACCTGGCTGAAAACAGCTATGATGACTGTCTCTCATCTGTCACCCAGAGCTGTGCTGCCGTCACAAACAACTTTGTCGCCAAAGAAATACCTCAGGGTGTGAAAGACTTTCTGTCAACCTTGAGTCACCTGACAAAACCTTTTAGGAGTCCTGTTACTGTACTATGTTCTGCTCTCCATTCTGCCCTGCAGCTGTATAATGTGTTGCTCATGTGCTGGCTCATCACATCAAAACCCGCAGTGTGAGACAATGCTGTGGATACACACAGGCACCACAGGAACCTCAATTAGGCTGCTTGCTTCACATGCAATATGAAAACAGGTTAATTGTTCCTCATTGTAAATAAGATCATTTTCATTATTGATGAGTAGATTGAGTGATATCAATATGGGTCAATAATTGCTTTGGTCAAGTGTGCAATGTGACAAATGTCAATTTCAGTTCCCAGAGCTCAGTTTGATTTTAAAGTCCTTCATTTACTGACCTAAATCTGGAGGGAAAAACAAATGAAAATGTATTCAGTGTCATAAGGCAAATAAGAACAAAAAATCCAAGCATTTGCTCAAAACCTGAGGCAGGTAGACAACACTTGAATACACCAGATAACATTTAGAAACAATCTGAGATGGGACTTGAGCACAGTATGCCACATTATTAAGACCATTTGTGATGTTGATTTGAGTGTGTTTCACACCATCTACCACCATCTACTCAAGAACTGTGCAACAGTTCTTGAGTGGATGGTGTGATTTGTGTGTGTGTGTGTGTGTGTGTGTGTGTGTGTGTGTGTGTGTGTGTGTGTGTGTGTGTGTGTGTGTGTGTGTGTCTGTCACTGCCAGCCTGTGCCAGCACTTTGCAGTGAGATAAACTGTCCAACAGCTAAAGTGTTGACAGCAGAGGAGTCATTAGCATACTCTCATCATTAGGGAAGTGTTTTATGACAGCAGTGGCTCACATTAATGACATAAATTACACTTAGATTATTACACTTGGATTAGTCTGGATTAGTTTCATATTATAGTGTGAGTTGAGATTAAAGGTTGTAGACCAGCAGCCATCAAGCCCCTGTCAATACCCTGTCTCACAAAGCATTGTGAATGTAGTCAAAGTGACAATAACACCTGAACTAAAAATAGATAATAGTCTCTGGCAGGTTCCTAGCTAACCAATCATGTGCGTTTATCTGCTGTAAGTCAGCATGTGTGAGTATGTGAGCAATTTGTCATGACCATTGTTATGTTGAAAGATACAATGGGAGTAAAAAGTGCTTTGTCATTACTGCTTGAGTAAAAATTCCCAATTTCTAATACTCACATTAAGATCCCTGTGCTGGATATTGTATTTATTTTGCTGTATCGTTAAAGTGAATAAGGTATGTTGCTTTAAATAATAATGTCTTCTGTGTAAGGTTGGGGCAGCCAGAGTTCAAAGGTCCACATCCACCACAGCACCTGGCTTCACTTTCCCGGTCACAACCTGCGCTGGCTCCTCACCTTTGTGCTACTCTTCATCCTCGTCTGTGAGATTGCTGAAGGCATCGTCTCTGATGGGTATGTTGGACACCATGAATCACCCAACTTACCAGACACATCATTAAATCAGTCAGGTGTAGGATAAATATTTTTAATAACATCAATGACTGACACCAATGACACGACTCGAGCTATCATGTTTCACGAACAAATAAATATATTTTATTTTAATATTCAATACAGTCTTCTTCGCTGTTGAGTGTCAATGGTTCATCAGGGCACTGCTGAGTCATTATACCAATCAAAAACGATTTTACAACTGAGAGCACAGGTGAAAACAATTAACTGTAATCAAGACTTTATTGCTGTGTGCTCATCAGGGAAATACCTTCTTAACTACTGTGCTGCTGAGGTGGGCTGTAAGGAAGTTTACCAACTGTCTTTACAAGAAAGGCTCAAGACAAACATCATAGACAAACATATACAGCTGGTTAATTAACAGCTTAAGTTTTTAAAGTGATGTTTAGCATTAACATTAAAGCTTTTAAAAAACATTGAACAAAAGCTTTGAGCAACAACAAGTGTAGCTAGCATGCAAAATGTGCTTATCCTTGTGTTAAGGATAATTCTTTACTAAATAAGTATTTGGCTCATTTGTGATAGAGCACCCTTTAAAAAAGTTTAGTCTGAAGCAAGATAAAAGTTGTAGCATCCAACAACTAGCTAACATGCGTTGTTGCTTAAACTTGTAGCTAGGCTATAGTTGTTTTCTCATATATTAGTCCTTTTTTTTTCTGAAATAAAATGACAAACTTGATACATTTTATAGCCCAGTACTGTATGAGACGCACACGCCCACACCCACGCACATGCACATGCACATGCACATGCACACCCACGCACGCACGCACGCACGCACACACGCACACACACACACACACACACACACACACACACACACACACACACACACACACGCACACACACACACACACACACACACACACTGAATTGAAGGAGCAGCTGACTACTGAAGCAAAATTTGCAGTTCTTGTTTGCTGGCTAGTTTTTAGCTGGCTAGCAGTGCCAATGAAATGTGTTTTCTGAAGGCTTTACACACTAAACATTTTTTTGCCATTACATGTTTGCTCTAACTTATCTCCCTCAGGAGGTTAGTGACATGTTGTCCGTCACAGAGATGAGGCTAAAATAAGCTCAGAGAGACACACTTGCAAACATAATAAAGCTCTTTCTGCCTTAATAATCCTATACTTTATTTAATTGATCAATCCTTCTCTCTGCCATAAATCCTGTTGATGTTTATTGTAGAAACAGGGTCAGATAACTACTGCCATAAGACGCTTACTTTGACATGGACAGCACACGAATTCTGTGTGGTTGCTATAAGGTACCAGCAACAATGAACAAAATTAGTAGATAGTAAGCTAAATAACAAAATTAAAGCAAGTATATTGCATGGAAAAGAGGGTAAAGATTATTAGCCTCAGTCTCCTAAAAAGGCATTTCATTGAGGCAGGTAAACAGTAACAGTGCAAACAATGCAAAAGAAAATTAACTGCATACATAAATTGTTTTGAGACTTCTGTCCTCAATGCCTATGAGAGGAGGGAGGTTGATGGAGGCAACTGGTATACAACATATTCTGCAGCCTGGAGGCTTAAGTGATTGTTACTGAAGTGACTGAGAGAGCTCTCCAGTCTCCATCACATGGGCTTGTCTCTTCACTGGTTTTGTACCCTGATTTAAGAGCAGTGCTGAAGAGCACTGGTCTCATTGTTTGTGCCCCTTGTGTATGAATGTGCAATTATGAGTGTGAATGTGGTTTACCCTTGGGGCTTGTCAAACCTAGGTGGGTATTATTTATATTGTACATGTTTATCCCTTCTACACCCAACATGTACTGTGTTTCATGTTGTTATATGCTTCAACTTGTTCAGTATAAATGAGGAAGACTGTTGTGGTTAATGAAGATAAAAAAAGGACGTATATTTTACTCTGCCTCTGTGTTTATGTCACGCTATGATTGCATACTTCAATCTCTTTTTCTCCTCAATTGGTTGTTGTATTGCAGGTTCAGCAAATCCCTCCATCTGCACCTATACATGCCTGCAGGTCTGGCCTTCATGGCTGGCATCACCTCTATTATCTACTATCACAACATCGAGACCTCCAACTTCCCCAAACTGCTAATAGGTACAGTATTATAAATTCAGCTTTAACATAATTGTCTTGGCAGCTCATCTGAAACGCTCTGTTAGGTAGACCAAGGCTTTTTATGACATCGGAAATGGATTTAGTCTTGTGGAAACATTATTGCACATGGATATGTACTTATAAACTATGGGTTAATTAGACTTTGCATTAGAAATCTGGCCAATGTTTAGTTTTAATGGTATATGAATCATGAAAACATTTAAATAGGGTCAATGTAACTGTATGAGTTCAATGGTTCATTATCCTCAGATAAGACTACTAAACAATTCGGAAGGAAAAATTATATTTCAATTGTGCTGCCCTAAGTAGGTATAAATGATCCTTTTTCATCAGGAGAATGAGTTCCAGGGGAAAGATATACACTGTTAAATGTGTTTTCAAGAAGTTAAATTCTTCAACTCTTTATGACCTGTGAGAACTGATACTTAAATAAAATATCCCCATAGCCACCATATTTTATGAGCTTATATTGTTAAATAATAATCAACATTAAAACATGTCCTGTATTTGTAGACAACAACATATGAAAGCTCTTTATATTGATTCATATCTCAGAACATTGACCATGAAATGCACAAATGAACTTAGTTTCACATCAATATATGCTCGGCCCATTTGTTTTTGCCATAAAACTCTCATGTTTTCTCCTTTATTGATCACCCTGTTGCTTCCCTGTGACTGTTCATGGTTTTCCTTTTCCTCATGCTTCATTAACTCCTCTGTGTTGAGCACTGATGCTCATACTCTCCCATTACTGAGCTGCTTTCAGCTTTTAGGTGTTCATATCACCGTCACTCTCTTGAGGGAAGAGGTGGGGCGCTGCTGGCTTCATGGTTGAATGAACAGAAATTAATCATCTAAATTGAGACTCTGACATTGACCTGCATGCTGCACTATTGTCAAAGGGTAGAGGCTCTTCAAAATGAAGATGTAAACACTGTCAGTCTGCTGCAGAGTCTGAGCCCATAATCTTTTTTTCCCTGTTGTCCTTGTACAACCCTATCTCAGGGAGAGAAAAATTAAGGAGTCAAAAAGAACCACAATAATTTACAACAATTAAAACCCCAATAAAGTCATTGAACTGACATGGTATAACTTGAAGGAAAATATCTTGACAACATAAAAGCAATCTTCCTTACTGCTATTTAGTGGATTACAGGTTTTTACCTTGAAAGCTGTTAGAGACACATTGCTGAGGTGTTTCTCTTCTCTCTCTTGTCTGTCTCTCATCTAAAGCAAGATAGGGGAAGAGTGGGTGAGAACGAAAAGAAAAGAAAAAAGATTAAATGAATCCTAAAATGAGAACTGTCAAAACTAAACCCCAATTTGACTGTGACAAAATAGGTCTAGATCTTATACAAATCTTGATGCAATACAAATAATTTAGTATTGGTGAAAACGATTAAACTTGAAGTGAACTACATCTATAATACAATCCAGTTGTAGTCTTGTGCAGTCATTTCCTTTATTCATTTATTTTTTTGTCTGTTTAACCTCTTCAGCCCTGCTAATCTACTGGGTGCTTGCCTTTATCATGAAAATCATCAAGTTTGCCAAGTACACCGAGCATGGCGTCGGCCCCAGACAGCTACGCTACTGCATCACCGGACTGCTCATGCTGCTGTACGGACTCCTGCTCGCTGTTGAGGTCAATGTCATCCTGGGCAGGGTGAGTGAGTGTGTGTGTGTGTGTGTGTGTGTGTGTGTGTGTGTGTGTGTGTGTGTGTGTGTGTGTGTGTGTGTGTACATGGTGCAGCTGTGTGTAGCCATCTGATGTGTTTCCTGTTTTTGTTTCAGTTCCCTCTTTCCTTTGAGTCTAAATCCAAATTTTCGGTGGTCAGTGATCAGTAAAGCTGCTTGGGGTGTAGTGATTATATTAGATGAAGATAAAGCAATTATGCTTCATGTTCATTCAAAGAGAGTGATGGAAGTTAAAATCACATTTGCTAGTCAATAAAAAATATGCACAAGGAAAGCTGTAGCTACCTGCTTTGAATTAGCAAATGTAATAATGCTAGAAACTATGACCATTACTAACAAAAAGGCCCTATCGTACACCCTGTGCCCAGGGGTGTGCTTGTTTTAAAATGAGGTGTGTTCTACGCAAAGCTGATGCGTTCCTATCTTGAGGATGCAGAAAACAACGCATGTCCACTGAGTTTGTTCAACAAGGATGCACAACAGCGCACTTACTTCACAGTTTAATATCAGTGCATTTGCTGACACATTTTACTTAGTTTTTAATAAAATAGAGGGCAGAGAAACAGAAAGCTTTTTTTCCTGTTTCTGTTTCAAAGTACTCCTGACTTGTGCTCGCTTCAGTCCACATTCTGTCTAAATTAGTGCCACCTACAATATAGCCCACAGATATTGATACAGACTGCCAAGTGTCCATTACGCATATTGGAGAATAAAGTCAAGGATTCTCGCAGAAATAATAATTAAAACAATTTTTAATTGATGTTGAGCTAACAAAACATTAGTAAACATAGATCCTGTCCGATCCTGTTGGCGTGTCTGGATATTTATAAAAAGTCTTTCTGATCGTTTCTGATGTCGTGAAAAATAACTTCAATCACCATCAATATATTTCACACAGTGTCCTGTGTGTGTTCTGTGCGTTCAGTGGCACAATGAAAGGAGGGAAGTTAAAAGAGTAGAGTGACTCTACATTCTGTACATAGCAGTGCTTTTAGGGAAATGTTAATGTAAATATGGGAACATGCGCTTAGTCACAAAGTAAAATATCAATTTTACAATGTTCACCTTTATAGTTTAGTAACCTTTAATAGTTGTATTAATTATTGCTAATTCACTCTTACATTAATATGTTGCTCAACTAGATAATCATAAACTTATGTACTGGAAACAAAAAACTAAAATAATTTAACCTGATGATGGAAGTACATAAAAAGTAAATGTTGTATGATATAGTGAATAAGAAATTAACGCCTGTACTTAAAGTTATGGCAATTAACTGCCTGCTTGCCAAAGAATTTCACCAACGAACATCAAATCAAACCTCAGGGTCAGGCTAAATTAGGAGCTGGAGGAAAGTTTTTGTTTGTTTGCATAAACCTGTGGAGGACATGAAGTCTATACAAGATTGACTTTAACTTAATAATTGTGAACACATTTCAGTCGACACCAAAGTGTTGAGATGAGCATTGGTAAAGGTATACCACCAGCAAGGCTAAAAAATATATTTATATATGAATATATCTCTATTTCCTCTTGGAAACCTGAGCACATATAAGGTTAGAGTTGTTCAGGAAGAACACTCGGAAAAAAAGACAATTGTATAAAGACAAAGGACCTTTCCTCTCAGCTTTTAGCCATAGGCTGCCTTCTTGCTCATTCTTTGTTTAATTTTGTGCCACCCTTAATTGGGACCGAAATGTGTTTGACACTATCTTTTAAAAAGGATTTGAGAGCAAAATGAACTTTATATTGTTATCTTATCATTCGGCAGATCATCATGGTCTTTTTTTGATGATTCTCTTTTTGACTTTTTATTTGTTTTGTGATGGAAATCAAAGGCGGATAAATGAAATGAATTGTAAATTATTTTCCACTGTACAAGTGTGTTAGTCTCTGTTTACTTCTGCACTGCGCTCACATGTTGTTGAATCTCCTTGGTGATACGAGACAGCCTGTAATTAATAATGAGAAGAATTGATTTATGTTGCTGCCTCTACAATTAATCCTACGAAGAAGAGCGTGTTCATGTATGCTATCCACTGTTTTAAGTTATCACATACAGCAAGGAGAAAACTCTAATTAAAAATGATGAGTGGATGTTTCTGTTTCATTGTGTGTCTAAACACTGCTTGCATGTTATTTTTCACCCTTTGTGTTACATTAAAATGTAATCACGCTCGTCTTTCTGTCCTTCCGTCTCTCTTAGCGCTACATGTGTTTTGACGACCCAATGGAGGTCAAGCCACCAGAGGACCTCCAAGACCTTGGTGTTCGATTTCTGCAGCCATTCGTGAACTTGTTGTCCAAAGCCACTTACTGGTGGATGAACACCTTCATCACCACCGCTCACAGACGACCCATCGACCTCAAGGTCATCGGCAAACTGCCCATAGCAATGAGAGCCCTCACCAACTATATCAAGCTACGCAGGGCCTTCGAAGACCAGAAGGTTTGTGTACATGCTAACATCTTTAATAATCTCTGTGAAATGTTTGTGAACAGTACATGACTGTTGTCTAATGTTAAATTAATGTAGCTGAGATTATTGTTTAGATTATTATACAGATCATATGAAACCTTGATTTAAGGTCAGGTTAAATAACAAAGCAACTTTCTGCATGCCAACAGTCCTTGATTTTTTTTGCAAATGTACCTTTAGCAAACTAGATAATAGATGTGAATAACACAAAAACCACCATTTCTTTTTAAATGTGATGATTATCCCAAAAGGATCAACATCATTCTTTCCTCACAGACATAAGGAGGTTTTTAATTATTTATGTAAGAGCTTAGAGAGCTTAGAGAGGAGCTTGTTTGGTTCATCATGGCCCAACACTTCACTCGTTGAGCCCTTTTGTTAGTTTTACCCTAACAAATAGTAGGGTAAAATAGTATTTTGTTTGATATTTTGAATTTTTGTCTGTGGGTCAGCCTGACATGTGCATGAAGTGATCTGGGAATCTTGGATTTTTTTTTTGATACAGCTGTTCTCATAAAAGCATTGATCTGGACAGAGGTCAACAGTGTAAACAAAGAGATGTCACATGTGCACATATTCAAGTTTAGCCTGTCACCTCTGTTCTTTTGAGTCTAAAATATACAAGAAAAGTCATCATCAAAATATAAAAGAATCCCTCTGGAGTTAAGATTGAGGGGCCTGTCGTTAGCTTCATTCTTGTTCAGTTTGTAGTCCATACCTTGCTTGGAGTCTGCATGTTCTCGCCAAAAATGTTTGTGTTCCTTCCAGGTGCTCTTTTGATTTTTAGTTAAGCAAAACTTTGAATCGTGATGGACTGCCGTTCTGAGGAGTACCCCTGACCCTTTTTTGTTGCATCATGCTTGGATACTTTTTCAATCAGTATGTTGGAGAGTCTATCAAATTCATTGAAATGCTTCATCAGCTAAATTTTAAGTCTCTTATTCTTCACCATTTCAACTTGCGAAGCAATAAAGGAAAATGGAGGGAAACCTTATGTTATTTGAGTGTGATTTTCCTACTGGTCCTACTGGTATGTCTATTTGTTAAAAAGGACAGGATTATCTGATCTGTATGTTAGAGAATCAAACAGCCTTATGAAACAGCATCTGTCTCTTCTGACTTTTTCCTCCCTTCTCCGGGATCACTGTATACGCCCTGAGGCACTTTTCTTGCAGTCCTATCACTGCGGATAAAACTGAAGCTACGTATGTCCTAGTTACACTTTATTCTTCCATCCTGTTTCTAAACGTCTTTTTTCCTCTCTTTCTGTCCGTCTCAGTTTTGAAGCACATGTCAGGGGTTGTGGATGAATGGCCTCCGCTGCAGGGTCATAGTTTTCCAGAGTTTGAAGGGTCACACAGATTCGTCACTGCTGTGTCCGGTGTGAACATAAAAGCCCACTTCCTTCCGTCAGGAGCGAGGGATTAGAGCGATTGAGAGATCCCAGTGGAGGGATGGGAGGTGGGGTTGGGGGGGCATTTAGAGCAGAGCCTGAAGGCGCCGGGTCATTCCATTTTACTGTGAACGAGGCGACATCCCGACCCCTGCGGGGGTGAAGGCACTGTACTTCATGGGAATCTAGTTTCACTCCTCCTTCCTTCTCATTTGAACCCAAGGTAGACAACAAGGATGTGTGTGTGTGTGGGTGTATTTGTTTGTGTTTGGGTTTGTATATGACGTCCTCAGTGACACATGTCTTGTATGAAAGCTGAGGTTCAGATTGAGCTCAAATGGAAAGACGAATACACATGATAATGGTCACGTCCCTTCTAACAACTCTGAAAAGTCAGCTTTGCACACATACGTTCACACACTCAAAATACACACACATATACACATTCAGAGTCAGTGGAAATGTTCTGAGTGGGTTTTGCTGTACTGTGACAGACCTAGATGTTTTCCTCTGCTAACTGATTCACTGAACAGAGCTGTTGTGTCAGTGTGATCTTATTATATTACAGACATGATAAATAACTTTAAATATACAACGCCAGCCCTTCCTGTCTGCTTAGCTAATCCGTTTAATGCTCAAAGTGATGTTTCATAGTTTAACTTTTTTTTGTCAGCTCAAGTAATCATACATCCTAGATTCTATATGCACTTGCTGTTTAATGCTCACCCATCGCATCACTGTGTTGCTTTTCCTGCAACATTGGACATAATAGACCAACATAACTGACTCCACTGTGGAACTGGCATTTAATCATTTAATCAGCACATCAAGCAGCAGCAGCAGCAGCAGCAGCAGCAGCAGCAGGATGGACAACGTGAAGTTGACCTCATTCTATGGGTTTCTACTGCAGTGTTGAACTGACTCTTGTGAAAATTGTGACAATTCAGCTTTTATCTTCAAGCAATTACTTCTGCTCGCTCTGCTAGATGGCTGCAATGCGAACCCTTGTTTCATTTTCATTTCAGCTGCACGATAACAGCAGCTATTGTCATTAAACAGATTAAACAACTGAAATGCTTAACAGAGAGAAAGTGATTAACATTTGCAATACAGAGTTTAATAATCGGAATCCTTTCAAAAAAATGTATCTGTCAAGTGAAATTGAGATTCCAAAAAGCTGCTTGAATGTATTTAGTCATCATGCTGATATATGTCAACATTTATACCTTCTCCTTGCATTATCTCAGAGGCCCCAGGGCACATTACCCCAGAGCCCAAAGCTGATCTGGCAGGCGTTGAGGAAAGCATTTGGCAAGCCCCTCATCCTCAGCATCACATTTCGCTTCCTGGCCGACCTCCTGGGCTTCGCCGGTCCTCTCTGCATCTCTGGCATCGTCCACCACATCAGCAAGGACAACCGCACAATTCAGCCGCCGGTGAGACGTCAACCATTCTACCACTCACACATGAGGATGATATAATACAACATATCAGACTTTTGTTTCAAGATACTTAATGTTTTTACAACATATCAATATGTCCTGTTATACATGAATAGAGTCACATTTAGTGTAATGACTGGTAATGTAATATTATGATAACTTATATTATTTACATTTTAGAATTTGGTAAACGTCTTTGGAAAATAGATAAAATAAGAAGGAATAAATGACTGATCACGCTTTGGTTTGAGGCAAGAAAAGTTTCTTAATATAACAAGTATTAATGTATGATAAAGTAAAAATGTCTTGCTGTGATCTAAACTCAACTGAATTTATAGCAAATTTCATAATTAAAAATGCTGAACAAACGTGCTTCACAGAGGAACGACAGATGGCAAATAAAAAGAGAAATTGACAGCAAAAGATTAAGTGTTAAAAACTTAGAATAAAAGACTTGAACAAATGCAAATAAAGTATTGGTAGAACATGAAACGTTGCACAGTTGCCATATCACATACCGGTAATTATTTGAAGTTAACTTGTGTATTTAAATGATACTTGAATCATTCAAATCATTGCATTGGTAGCTTTCTCCCAAACTTTTTTTGGGCACACTTTCGACTACCCCTTAATTGAATTTTTTTTATACCCAGCTACATTATTTTTTAACTTCTTACGTAAAACTGAACGTTGTTGGTATTTTTGTTAATTATTATTTATTTCAGTAGGCCTCTTCAATACAGTACTTTGACATTCTTTGACTTTTTTGTCCATCAATGTATCTCTGTATTTAGATTTAAAGTTCATAAAAACAAGAAATACTTATGACTATAAGCAGCAGTAAAAGTAAAGTTAGCAGAAAAATCTTCTACAGGTATTTTGTTATTAATTAACAACAGATTCAATTCGGCCTTACTCCCACTTCAAACTAGTGTGAAGTACAGACTGAAATGTCTCACATGAAATAACCACAGCTGTTGTAACTGTCTATTTTTATTCAAGGCCCTTTGCATTCCTTTGCAGATGTGATACGATACAATACGACACAATACACTTCATATCCTCATGGGGAATTTTGTCATGGGCTCAAGTGCTGCACACATTTAGATGCCTCCACAGAGAAGTACATACAGATGAAAACCACCAAAATATATTGCACATTATCCTTATCGTACAAGATCTGAAACTAAAAAGACAAAAAGATAAAAAATATAAGAATAAACGAACACCATGATGCTATTGTACAACCCATAAAGCCTCAAGGAACATTATTCAGAATTCGAGGTGGGCACAAACCTATTGGGAAATGGCTCAGTTTACAATTGGGGACTTTGCATTGTCTGCCAAACGGTAACTGCTAATACTCAGAGGTGAGGATGTGAGACAGGTCAGTCAAAGTCAAGATTACCGTACCATGCTGACATCCCAAATGGAGCACATAATAATATGTAGACAACCATTGAGGTATAGGCATTGCCTGATACAGGACTTCTAGGGAAAAAAATAACACTTTATGAGGGAAGATTGTGTGTAGAGTAGTAAATTATATGAAAGCATTCGGGTTGGACAGAATTCAGAAACAGACAGCTACAGCAGACACTAAAGAGACATCACTTTGGGGACAATAAAGTCTATTTTATCTTATCACATGACTCCTTTATGCCACTTATAGGTCAAAGTAACAGTTTGATGAGACATTTATGATGTCCTCTCTTCCAGGTGCCCCCTCCCTGATAGTGCATTAATTTAATCTTCATCAAATATTTATGAGACTTATTGTGTGCTGGAGGTGACTCGGTTTCTTAGATTCCACACAGGGCAGACTGCCAAACCAGACACACAGAGAGACGATCCTTCTGTAAGATTAACTCTTCAATTATTTGTTTGAAAGTCACGTCCAAATGAGGCAGCCTCATATCAAAAATTCATTTGCAATGGTAAAAGAAATGTCAAACACTCAAAATAATCTTACTTGAGAGCAACTCAAATTGGATAGAAAACCAATATAGATCTGTTTGTAACAAAGATAGCAGGATGATGTTTCTGAGAACCTGGAGTTTTTTTGTTTGGGATTAGAAAGAAACATAAATATCAAGGATGAGTGGATGTGGAGTCAAGACACATTTGTAATCAATACTTTGTAATTCCCTGAGTAATTGATCTTGACCTGTAGAATTAATTAAACTCTGAGGGAGACACTGTATTACACTCCTATAGCTGATCTAAATGTCCTGTTTGGTTTCCAGCTCACACTCCACATTCCAGCCTTTTGAAACACTCTGAGGCTTATCTTCAGTTTCACGCAGTATTGAAACCTGCTGTGAAATTGAACATTTTAAATGGAGGTGCTTTTGAAGTTATGAACAGGAACTATTTCTGCTGAATTTCAATATGGAAGGAAACTCTCCAAGGCAAGAAGAATCCTGCAGTGTTCAGCCTGTGTGATTGACTCCGCTGTGGTCTGCCTGACTAACAATTATAAACGGCTCGATTCTTCCCTCCCCTCGAACCCGTCTGTGTTTCCAGATGAAGTTACTGGGGATCTATTTCATTTCCTCCAAAGAGTTTCTGGAGAATGCGTATGTGCTGGCTGTGCTGCTCTTCCTCGCCCTGCTCCTGCAGAGGACCTTCCTGCAGGCCTCTTACTATGTGGCCATCGAAACAGGCATCAACCTGCGTGGGGCCATACAGGTATGACCACGACACACGTGACTCTGCAAGACATCAGAGTTTAATGAGGTATCGCTGTTTGAATGTGTTTGTCCTCTCTCTTTAGACAAAAATCTACAACAAGATCATGCGTTTGTGCACCTCAAACATGTCCATGGGCGAGTTGACCGTTGCTCAGATATGCAACCTAGTTGCCATAGATACCAACCAGCTCATGTGGTTCTTCTTCCTCTGTCCTAACCTGTGGGCCATGCCAGTGCAGGTAAGAAACATGTCTGTCTCCTGTATAAAACTTGAAACCAGATTTATGGTTAATGCAAGGAAAGAGTCCCACCATTGATACCTATTTGTTGATGATACAATTTATAGTTCAGGCTCTGATTTAATTCCATGTTAGCAGCACCGCAACATTACCTGAATTTATCATACAGAGTCAAGCTACATTGTTTTTTTTATTTCCTCTAAATTATTTTACTTTATATGTTATTGGGCAGTAAGTAGTGAAGAAGACATTGTTAATTACTGAAATGAAAAACAGTTTATTTGCCTTATACTATATTTATATTTGTATATTTTTCACACTCAAAAAGCTGGCACTAGTTACTCACTGGAGAAAACACAATTAGCCCCCGGGGTCCATTAAAGTTGTTGCAGTCCTCCTGTGTTATCTACAGTATGCTAACTAAAACACAGCACCTCCAGGACCTAATTGCATAGGCTATGCAGAGACTCCATTATCCCCTAACTAACACACAACTATATATTAAATTATAAACTAGGTTTTAATGAAATCTATAGTATGAGTCTCTGTTTCCTTTTTTCTGTTTCGCTGCATTTTTATCATGCTATGACTAATAACAGAGATGTGAAGGCTGAAGTAGAGCTCCAGGTGTTATAACCTCTGTGGGATGTAGAAAGATTCACACACACTCGATTTCAAGCCTGTGACCTTCCTGTTTTGTGATACTGTTCTATAATTGGACCATTTAATTCATGACATACAGCACTGTATAATCAATATTATTTATTACCGTGTCCACGAGTGAGGGGAAAAACACATTGGTAAATTAGAAATATTAAGCCAGGCCATTCTCTTATTTTTGCTGCTTTACTCAAGAGATCCACTTGTCATATTAACACGCTCTTTCTGTCTTCCCTCTGGCCTCTATCCTTGCCTCTATATCAGTTGTTAATCAATTTTGCCTAATATACTTTCTTTTGGTTTATGGACTGTGTTGGCACTTCATTTTATGTTTTAGAAAAGTGACATTTTATCGCTTGAAGCAAAAAGACCTCTCCTGTTTTTTTTAACTTGATTTTATATGCCAAAAACATCAGAGACAATAAATACAAAGGACAAATTCTAGGCCTTCATTCATGTAATATACGGAAAACGTTGTATTTATTTATTATATATAGTTTATAAAATGTCTCCACATTTAGCAAATTTTTCCCCACATACGGAGCTCTGCTGCTCATCCCACAAATGTGTGTTCCTTACAAATATGCCGCCATTTTAAAGGGAAATAAACAGACTTTCCAACGGTATAAGAGTTATTGCCGAGAAGCATTGTTACAACAAAGAAATAATCTACCAAACACAAATTTCCTTATTTTTTTGTGCCAGATTTATATTCCAGACTCAAAAATCTTAAGAGCTATGTTTGGATAATAATGAATATGAATAATCTCTCTTTTCAGGATCTTAACTGTAGAAAGATTGGTGATACCCTCAATGTTTATAAAAAACACCAGAAGACTAAAGTTTTTTACTTAACCTGTAAATTATATCAAGATACTTAAGTTGACTCAAAACCTTTTGTTAGCACCTTAAACTGTATAACTAAAAGGGAACACTTTGGTATGTGACTAATGTTTAATTAAAAACATTCACATCAGCTTCAGTGTTAGATCATTTTAGCCTGATGATATGCTATGCTAAAGATGTGTGCATCACAATTTTTCTTTGCTAAACATATAAGTATTATTAACATGTTAGTTAGCGAACTGTTAAATTTAAAGGCCCTGTGAACCTATTGTAATTTTTGCTCTAATATTGATGGTGGGAGTTGAGTTCTATTTTTGGCACTAAAGATGTATTGTGTTTCATAGAGTGATCTATATTTGGCAGTATTGTTGATTAATTTAAATGAAATAGTACTAGCTTAAACACGCTAACAAGTGCAACTGATGATTTGGCTTGAAAAGGTGTTTCTGATATTTTGTGTGTTAGAAAGCGACCTCAGGAGAAAAAGACTTAAGCAGGAGTTTTGTTTGCAGCTAATGGTTTAAAGGTGATAAAAATGACTTTATTTAATACATTATTTTGTATTATGTCTTATTGTTGCTTAATGATGATCTTAATGCTCTGTTATCTTTATTGTGTAAAGCACTTTGAGTGGCTCGATGTATAAATGGTGCTCTGTTAATTATCTTGCTTTGACTTGCCTTGCAACCACACAGTCCTGAGAAATGATCTAATAAGGTTTTGAACGACCAATTTCTCTTAGACGTTTGTGAATGCTTACCAAGTCCAACGATTCAAATTAAATATCCTGACACTTTACAGGCAAAACAACAGTCTGATTAAATACAGCAGCTAGCATGGCCTTAGACTAAACTAGCGTTTGATATAGAGTAAAAACTGTCGACAGGGATAAACCTCTTAAAGGTCAGTATCAGAGTATTCAGGGAAAAACTCTGTTAGGAATCAGTAGTGATTACTGACAAAACACCATATGTGTGCCAAAACAGAGAGAACAGCGGTACTGAATTCTGCTGTTTGTTGCTTGAAGCTTTTAACAACACACTTAAATCAGGTTTGTTTGATGGGAGAAGATGACACACTCCATGTTGACGGGTACGTGAAGCTCTAAATCACCATCGATTTGCCAGGATACATTAACAGAAAAAACACATATTAGAGGCAGGAAATGTTTGAAGAAGTTTCTTTTTATTGAGTTATTACAAAGGAATTGTTTTACCCATCACCCATCTTGTCCCCGGTGGCACACATTATCCTTTGACAGATGAAGGAGACAGTGTGACAGAGTGTGAAATGTCACATCCATCGCCATCTGGTTGTGTGTGTCAGGGGGATATCAGTAAGATGCCAAAGATGGTGGGAGGTCTGGAAAGGAGCCAGTGACATGTGGAAGCATGACTCATGTCTATTGTAAAGATGTGGTGAAAGAAAGAGAGACCCTGTATTAGAAGGAGAAAAATGAGCTTCATTATTTTACTTAAAAATGCTCAAGTGGAGTATCGTCTATTTCAATTTCAGTACCTTGTAGGACTATGCTGCGTGTGTGTATGAATGTCAATGAGTGAATCCAGCGAAAAATGTAGGTATCTTCAAAGGCTTTTTCTTGTATTCAAAGGCCCCCTCTCTTCATAACAGATATCAGAGATGAGCATTTTAAGCTTTTCATACCTACATTGTATATATTTGCATGTACAGTATGCTCCCCCACCTTGCTCAAGGTCTCTGCTTTCCACAAACTGATGTGCTTTGAATATTCAGTTTTACTCTTGTCTGTGGGAGTTCTGTGTAACTGAAGACTGCCTCTTTGGAAATGTTTCACATTTGTCTCCATTACAATAATATCTTCCTTTCTCTCTGACTTTCTTTGACTTTCAGATAATTGTGGGAGTGATCATGCTCTACTACCTCCTGGGAATCAGTGCCTTGATTGGAGCGACCATCATCGCTGTGTTAGCTCCTGTACAATACTTTGTGGCCACCAAGCTGTCCCAAACACAAAAGACCACCCTGGTGATTATTGTTACTGACCTTTTTTAAAGAGATATAATATTTTTTGTGCCTGGTGCATGCTACCCCTTTATAGATGTTGTTCACAACGATTTAATTATAACTTCAAAGATACTGCCCTACAACTGTGGCGTCAGTGGTGGCTTGTTATAGCAAATTGAGTAAGGAAGAAGTGCCAGAGGGTCTTGATTGTATACTTCTCTTCCTCAAACATTGCAGTGCATAGACAGAAAACTGTGCAGAAGAGCAAAGAGTGCAAAAGTTTTTAATTTTAATTTTACATTTTTAATCCATGTTGAACTTTTTTCTACGCACTGAGGAAAGTACACTTTTTGGCAATATATAAGAAAGAAATAATTAGAATGCAGACTCTGGTAAGAGTCATTTTTCTGTGAGTGGGTACCCTGTACGCTGAATTTACCAAACCCCTATGGACGGCAATGTCTTTTGCTCTGGTCAATCCATAGGTACACAATTTAGACACATTACACATATTGATGTTCTCTAGAGAAAAAAGCTTTTTTCCCTGTACTGACAAATGAAATGTTGCACTTGATTTTCAGAGTGAGATTTTTATTAGATGGATACCATGACATTCAATATGTGTGTGCACTCAAGTGATCTGTTGACTTTTTCTCGAGCAATTTCTTGAGGTCAAAACCTCAATTTGTCCGGTTAACAGCATTCAGTATCACAGCCCATGATCTGCCGGCTTTGCTTCAGACTCTTGGCTTTGCTGACAGAAGCCAAGAGTCTGAAACCTATTTTAGCACATCACAGTTTTTACCTATGCAGTTCCTGGTTAGAAAGAATCTATTTATATGTCACCATAAAATGTAAACAGTGTTTTCCATGTGAAAGTGCTCTGAGCTTCTTAACTTAACCGAGTCATTTCAGGCTTCTCTCTCGCTCAGACACACACACACATACAGGCCTTTATAATACAGGCTCTATATTCAGTTAAACAAGTCCCAAGAAAAGATAATACTTTATGTAAAGGTGATGATAGCTTTTGTGTCATCCTATGGCTGCACCTCTTAGAGTTTATCTGTCCTTGATGCGCTGTAGTTGTCTGTTGTCTTGTAATCAAAGTCCCATGCTCTACTTTTAGGAATACTCCAGTGAACGCTTAAAGAAGACCAATGAGCTGCTACGGGGCATCAAGCTGCTGAAGCTGTATGCCTGGGAGAACATCTTCTGTGACAGTGTAGAGGAGATGAGGGGCAAAGAGCTCACCAGCCTGCAGGCATTTGCGCTCTACTCATCTTTATCCAGTAAGGAGCTGTTTCCTCTGCACACACTCAACTCTCCCTGACATTTAAACTTCATGTTTTTCTTCCGTTAACATTCACGGGGAGTCAAAAGGTTTATACTGCATTCTCTAAGATAAATAATGGCTGTAGCCTTCATGGCTCCAGTCAATGCAAAAGACCAATATTCAATCTAACATCAACCATTTCAGCTTTAAGAATAGTGGACAATCATAGTTTCCTTCCTTGAGTAATGGAAATGAAAATGACATGAACATAGCACACATCAAGATTGATTCCACAGAAGCCAGTTCATTTCATGGCAATTTAAGCTAACACCACAAGAGATAGTGAGAAGTCACTTCAGAAAATGGGCAAAGAGCAGAGGATGACAACCAATTTCTTCAAAAGACTCAAACACAGGATGTTGTGATTACATCTTCATCAGCCCACCCAAACAATTAATTTATAACTTTGTTTTATAGATTTTGCAAAGTGCCTTAAGTTAAAACAACATTTTAAATGGAACAAAAAAGATGTTTAATTTTATCAAGTAATCATCCAATCAAAGAGAAACAAAAAAAACTCACTGGTTTAAATCTGAAAAGCGCTTTAATATCCTTCTCTGTTCTCTCTTTTCCTTTTCTATTTCCAGTTTTCATGAATGCAGCTATTCCCATTGCAGCAGTTTTGACGGTGAGTTTAAACTCTTGCTCTACCTTTAAGTCACCAAAGTGTAAATGAATCTTTATGTCCTGTACAGACCCATGGGTAAAAAAAAGCAAAGACAGGGCCTGGCTTTCTGACTATCACATTTTATTGAGATTTCACGAGAACAAAGTGGATGGACTCTGGCAGTACCACACTAAATTCTGCCTTTATTTTTTAGAAGTCCTTCATGGATGTAGACCTGAGCGTTGCAGACGGATACCATGGAGAGAGACCATTTTAAACGACAGACTGCTGTATAAAATAATTTTTTTTGCTGACAGCTAGAGAATGACGTGTGTTTCCTTAAATGCCCTGAATAAATCATGAGTTATTATCTGCCAGTCACAAGTTCTTCATTCACAGGATCTAAATCCATGCTCTCCAGAGTAACACAGCCACCCTGTTCTTTCCTCTCTTCTTACAGACATTTGTGGTTCACGTGTATATCTCAGATGACGCTGATCTATCCCCAGCTGTGGCCTTTGCCTCTCTGTCCCTCTTCCACATCCTGGTCACCCCCCTCTTCCTGCTCTCCAGTGTGGTGCGCTCCACTGTCAAGGCTCTAGTTAGGTAAGAAACAAAACAAAAAACTATTTCAGAATGGATCACTGATTTATTATCTGTATGCTGATTTTGTATTAATGGTTTCTTACTCTATTGTTAAACTAGCAAACATAGGTTTGTCTGTAAATGACAAACTGAAACACAGAAACACTGCAGTCAGCGTAAGGGTGAAAAACAACTAAAGCAGATGAAACACTTGACCTTTTCCTGCAGTAGATGGATCAACTGCTGGATTGTTTGATCAACATTTGTTCAAGTAACAACATCTCTATTTCCCTGTTGTATTTGTACTCGTGTCTCTGACATAAACACTGCCTATTTAATTGACCAGTTCACAATGACTTTTACAAGATCTCTGTTGTGATTATTCTTCTGCAGAGTTTCAGAGCTCGACCACTACACTTCTAGTGCTGCAGAAATCATACATTTCCAATCCTGCTTTGCTTCTGAAATTGGATAGTTTATTAAACTTACTACTGCAAACAATGTCTTCATACTCTTCAATCTTTAATCTTTAACTTCAAATCTTAAAATGTGCGTTAAAATACAAGCACCAAGTTATGCTACATGCATTAGATTTAATAGACAGATTTTCACAAACACAACATACTGTTGGCATTTCATTTTAACTTCAATATTAAAGTTCAAAATATGTTAGTGGTTAACTTGAGAAAAAATAAATCCTAATCTAGTGTCAATGAATTCACTTGACTGATTCTAATGTTGTTTTATGCATTTGTCATAAAGTCCATGAAGCAGAAGTCTTCTCTTTAACAATCTAAGGGTTGTTAGGTCTTGTCAGTTTAAATCCAATCATCTCTGGCTTCACCTCTTAAAAAAAGATCACACAGGGCGGAGGTGATGAAACTGCTGCAGGATAACAACATCACACATATTCCACACATGGTTTGAAGGGGGCCAGTGTTTACAGCTGTGCTGATATAAGCACCTTATTTTAACAAGAGAGGCTTTCTTTCATGCATGCAGAAGCTGCCTGTGATCCTCTGAGGTGTCTATTTTTGGACTGACTGGTCTGACACACTTTGTCAGACACCACGAGAAAACAACTCTCACAGTGTGGATTCAGCACATCAGTTTATCCTCACTAAAGGTTTTTTGTTACAAAAGAGAATAATCTAACAAAACTGTAAACGCAGAGTCATTGTGCCACTTTTTTTCCATTCTTTCTGCAGACTGAAACCCTTTAATGTTTTTCATTTCATGATGCTCTTGCGATGATCCACTTACTCATGCTGATGTCACTGTTGCAGCATATTTACACACAGGGTTGTTATCTGTACTTCTCTACTACTGGTTTAATGTCTTTATTCATGACACATGTAGAGACATAAATAAGTAAACTGAAGGGAATTTATCCCAGTTGAGAACATTTCCCAACTTTTGGACATTTTGTTTTTAGATTTAGGTAGCTGTATAGGGGAAGCATTGGTTTACATCACTTCCTTTTACTGAACGGTCAACATGAAGCTATTATCTCTTAAAAAATGTAAGCTCATATTCTGCAACTCTATTTGAAGCTCGATGTTCATTCAGTGATCAGAGGATTTGTCAGTGTATGAATTCATAGGTTATACACATTTCATTGTATTTTTCATCTTAAGTGGCTTGATGTTTTTGTTTTTAATTTGCAGTGTTCAGAAGCTCAGCGAGTTTTTCTCAAGTGACGAGATTGGAGATGAACAGGAGCCCAGAGCGACGTTAACCTCTGGATCCAGCAATCACAACCAAAATAAATATCAGGCTGTGGTGAGTTTAGTGTTTTCTCCTTGAAAAGCAGGACATTGTTTCGTTCCTACGGTTTCTACTGCCGGTTTGTCCAGGCTGTCTGACTCTGCTCTGAATGTTGTTGTCTTTCTCCTCCTGGTCCTTGTCTTCGGTTAATATCACCACTCACTCCTCTGTCCTCTGTGCCTGATGTTATACAACCCTCCTCCAGTCATCCTCTAAACATTTCCCTTCGTCCTCATCCTCCTCTTTATTCCAACACCTCCAGCCCCTGAAGGTGGTGAACCGGAAGCGCCCCCCGAAGGATGACTGGACTAACTACAGCTCACAGGGGGAACATGAGGGCAATGGGCTCCACCAGGACGTGGACCAAGACACCTGTATCAAGGTGAGAGGGATACTTTTGTAACTAGATGTAGTTTAATTTGCCTGGATTAGTTGAAAAATTATCATTAAATGTCAGATTTTTTCTAGATGCATGACTGAGTTTACGAGAGACAAAAATCATCGAATAAGTTGTTTGTGTTGTGCTGTGCTGTCGCTGCATTTAAAAAGATATTGATCGCTAAAAGCCTCTTGAGATGCATTATCTTTAGAAAACTCAAGAATATTGAGGAAAAAAATATAAAGCCATCACCACAGTGTCAGAACTTTTATAAGAAAAACATACATTTTCAAATATGATACATATATAAATTGTCCATTTTGACCTTCATAAACATGACAGAAAGAGATAGAAGAAACATTGAGGGAGGAGAGAAATAAAGGAGACAATGAGAGAGAACGAGAGGCAGAGAGAGAGTGAGATGCAAGCAGTAGGGGGCTAAGAACCTGGGATGCTGCATTGAGGACTGTAGCCTCTGTATATAGAGCAACATTCTCCAACCACCGAACTGTTTAAGTGAACGATGTATCAACTGCAGGACAGTAATAAGAAAAAAGTCTTCCTCTAGTAATCATGTATACGTATGATGTTGATTAAGTATAACAATGAGATGACTTTTGACTGTACCCAATACAGGTCTTGCTAACAAATCATCAGTTTTAGATAACACTGCTATTCCTGTAATGACCTTCTTTCTCAATATGTGCACAATGAAATGATTATATTCGGTGACTTCAACCTTGATTGGTTGTGTGACTCTTTTAAAGACCTAAAGATATGTAAACAATTATTATTGAAAACAAAGGCAAACCACCCTTTTATTTGACAGCATCTTTATGCTGTAATGTGCACCAAGCTGTGACTGTTTAGAATTAATCCTTAATTAATCACATCACTGCATGAACACGGTACAGAATGTAATAGAGACCAGTGATCACTATAACAAAACACTGAAGATGAATTTGAAGGCTCGTCTGCACACTGGAATTTTCAAAATTGCATTTATTTGCCTACAAGGGACACTATTAACATTTGTTGTTAATATTGAGGATGTTGGTGATTGGATTTCAATGAAATGAAAAAAATGATATCTCCAGCTCTGTAGAATTTCTTTCAGCTGTGATTTGTTTGATCAATTAAATCTGTGAGTCATTTATCTTGGCTGCAGATGAAAAGCAGCACGTTTCCTCCTTCCCCTGCATAAAGTGATTAAAAATGTAATCACATTTACTTCATATTGCCTCACTGCCACTCTGCTTATTATACATAGATGACATGTTTACTGACTGACTTCATCTGTTTTGAACCTCTGGATGAATTAAAATTTTCTCTTCAGATAACTAGCGGTTATTTCACTTGGACGGACGGACCAGCGACACTTTCTAATGTAGACATAAAGATTCCTTTTGGTGAGTAGCAAACAGTCTAATGTACAATCTCACCTCTTCCGTTTTCTTTCTATTGAGTTTCCTACCTCATATCATACTGTGTCGTTGTCTCTCTCTCTGGTGAAACCTCTCAGGTAAGATGACCATGATCGTGGGGCAGGTGGGTTGTGGGAAGTCGTCTCTGTTACTGGCAGCGCTGGGAGAGATGCAGAGAGTATCAGGAACCGTCAGCTGGAACAGGTTAGTATGAAATTAACTGTTCTCTAATTTAATCAGTGTTTAATTATGAATGGATTAGATACTACTCGTCTCAACATCCAGAGAGACGTACTGTTAGTGAAACATTTTTAGATTCAATTAGTGCTTCACGATTGAGGGGTTTCCTTCCAACATGGAAGATTTCCTCAACATCACAGTATACACGTACAGTATAGCATTCTTAAAATGCAATACAATCCAGAGGGGAAAGGTTAACTTGAGTAGAAACTGGCCCCTCTGGTCAAAACTCATCTATAAAACCTCCCTGGTAATTAGTCTGTCAGAGACGGTTGGGTGCTCTTGTTTATGTTTCAGCCATTAATTCTACATCCCTGACAGGGTGAGGTAATAAGCTTCAAACTCAGACCTCTCGCTCTGACAGGACCATATATCATAATTGAATTAGTAGATCAATGAAATAGAGCTGAGATTGCAGCTTTTATTTTTATGGCATATACAGTATGGAGGGTCCTTTAATACACCACTGACCCAAAATGAGTCACATAGATGGGGGAACATCCCATCACAGTTGTTCTTGTTGCGGGCCACCAACCAACATTTCAGATGACTCCTCCACAACGCCTTGCTCATACTAACTGAATCTCAGTTTCTTATAACAAGGCAAAGAAAAGAGTTTCTATTTTTTTGTCCTCTGAAGAGGCCGTAGGATGAGGCCAAAATTAATAGGAAAGGGTTTAACACTCAAAATAGTTAAATCAGTGGTAGCTTCCCCATTTTTTTTATAGTAGAAGAAGGATATGATCTTATTACTACCTATTGAACGGAATCCTCTGCACTGAATGAATATAATAAGACACATAATTAGTACAGAACAACACCAAAATGCTCATTCAATTAGATTTCAATTAATTAGTGTCTCTTGAATATTAATGTCATAGTTGTGCTTTGTTGGATGTTATGTGTGAATGGTTTAGCACAAATTGTACTGATTATTTATATGGATTGCTGCACTTTGTTTGCTCTAATGGGCTTGTGTTTGGGTTTTAAGACAGCAGAAAACAAGAGCTAGGGCTCTTTGCTTGCACTTATTGTCTGTTTTCATTTGTTTTATTAACCTCTGGAGTCTTTCTGATCCTGCTGCAAAAAGTCTGGCAAATATACAATTATAAGTTTCAGCAAAAGTAGAGTGTGGATCAAGAAATCAGAGTACATTTGAAAAAGCTCAGCTGAAACTGAATCCTGATGTCCCACCTGGCGCATTCTTGGAATGACCTTCATGTCACAATATCTCTTCTGCCACAACAGTATTGGTCCTTGTTTTTGACAAAGTTATGTTGCCCTCTACTCGATGTGCTCTCTACTCAAACACTCAAACAAACACCCTCACACAGTTACTCCTCAGATAATAGATTGGGCTGTGCACCGTGCCAGGTGCAGAACCCTCTCACTAAAGTGTGCTGTCATTGAGTCATTGATCTCCTGAGATATTCAGACACATTCAGATGAGTTTAAACTTTTCCAGCTTGAGTTTGTGTGTCTGCTTTTTGATGTTCAGACCACAAACAATTCTGAACAGTATCTGTGACCGCTGACCTCAGAACAGAACCCAGCAGATAAAAAACACTGCTATAATAAAGGAAAGAACAGAAAGAAAAGGGCAGCGTTTTTCTGGTGGGAGCAATTAACATGCCTTATCAGAGTGCTTGTCAGATTTAAAAAGACAAGCTTGTTGACATGTCTGTTGGTAATTGGTGGCTTTGAGAATAAGCTGTTACACATCAGTGGACAGAAGGATGTCCTTTGCCTGAGTTTACACTGCTGTGTGTTTGTTTTACTTCGTCATTAGGTCTCCATTTTGATGAAGTAGCTCTTATCTTAGTCGTCTTAAACATTAAAAAGTTAATTTTTAACCTTTGGTGACATCATGTGACCTCTGCTTCCAAACAGAGAATTACATTAAGTCTTCAGAAAAATTCAGGAGCTCTCGTAAACATTTGCTCTTGCAGATGGGTCTGGATTCAAAAGTGCCCCTGATTTGGAACAAAGTGACTATCGTATGACAATGGTTTAGCTTTTTATTCAACTCTATAAACAGACATCTGCATATCAGTGCTGCAGACTTGAGGACAGAGACATTACGTCACTCCAACCTAATTCTTATGTCTCAAGTTGCCAGTCTTACTGTAAACAATAATGGTTATATGGCAGAGTTGAAATCATTGACATTAACAAGACAAGCGAGTATAGATACCCTTTAACAGAATTCACCTCCATCACACAGTTGCCATTTTCTTATAACATCCTATTCAGGGTGGGAATCTCAAATGCTGTTATAATGCCAAACTGCTGTGTCCCAAGTCACAACAAATATAGTATGTATAAATATAGAACGATGAAATAATTGTTTCTCTTTTCGTCATGATCCAAACAGTCATAGACAATGAAGTGGGGCCAAATAGGGGCCAGGCAGTAATTGAGTTCAGACATTATGGTTAAATTAACTACCAGAGAACAGCTAAAGTTGGTATCTAACCACAATGTGAGAAATTGATGTCATTGCTATCAAACTGATATGAGCTATGGTGAGGTAAAGTAGGCTTAATGCTAACATTAGCTTTTTTCCAATGTTAGCATTCAGCTCAATCCTTGTAAAAATGATCGTAGCTACAATTGTAAGCCTTTCCCATCATATCGTATAACACTGTTAGTCAGGAACTGTTAGTAATTGCTGACTCATATGTTAGCTGTTGTTTTAACTTATTTATTACAAATATAATTTCACCCTGACATTTTGTGGCTGAGACTTTTTTGGTAGAGAATTTTCATCATCTATTGTCATGTCTTTTTCTGTTCAATTGAAAATACACATTTGTCAGATTCTTGCACCCGTGTTTATGTTGTAAATTAAATAAATGTTTGTTGACTAAAGGTGAAGCATCATCAGTCATTATCAGGCGTGAACATGCTCCATTTCTTTCCAACTTAATTAAAGGTTTTAGTCAAGCACGTTTAAGTTGATTAAATGAAGAAGAAAAGAAGCTGTAGAGTGGTCCTCTCCGAGCTTTGTTGTTGTACTTGAGGTTCCTGCTGCTGGTAGAAACAGTTTTTTACAACTTCCATTCCAATATGACCTTGCCTACGTTTTAATTAATGTGTAGTAGCCCATGGTGGTTCAGTCTGAGATAAACTCTTCAGCCAGCAGCTTCAACCTGATTACACTTTATATATAACCACGGGAGGAAGACAACCAGCAGTCCATTCAGGCCTCCGTGTCGTTCAAGTGTCATTGGGTGAAAATGTCTTTCTCTGAAGGAGAATACTGAGTAAAATCAAACCTTACATACAAGAATGTCTTTTTATTACAATTTTAAAGAAATCATTTTGCTTTTGTGTTTTAAGTTCTAATTTGAGCTTAACACCTCATAAATAGACTTGCTGAGACTTTTGACTTCTTACTTTACACACTCAGTCACAGTGGGAGCTTCTTGAGTTACGGTCACCAGTTCACCTCCTAACAGCTGCTCTCTGCTGTGATGGCTGGGTTTAATGGCTTCAGTAAACTGGTGTAAATGAGCCCTGGCTCTCTGGCTGTACCCACATGTGATCAGAGTCACCTTCTCAGGACGACACTGAGAGCAGTCAGTCTTTCCAACCTAAAAATACACTTCTGCCTCTACTGAGCATGAGCAAAGCCTCAAACATGAATTTTAGAGTTGCAACTCTAAAACTCTCAAAACTCAAACATAAACTCTAAACTAAACTATATTTATGTTTGTGATAAAAAAAAAGGTCTGTTTGAGGCTTTCAATTATTCAAAATATGGATACATGAATTTAAACTTTAATTTGACATATTGCAGAATAGTTTGATGCACTTAACCTAATATGTCTTTTTTTTCAGCCTGCCAAACCTGGAGTCCGAGGGAGATGAAAGGTAAGTGTTCAGAGTAAAGACGGAGAAACCGAAACATAAATTTAAATGATAGATTAAAGAATAAATTCAAACTTCAATGAAGAAAAAAGACATGCCTCAAAGCACCAAAACTTTCAGATTATTTTAAGTAATTTCACATTACAAACATGCTGTTGTAGTGTATTTTGAAAAGAAGATTGAAATATGACTCAGCAGTTAAACTTAAACCAAAGAAAACACTGAAAATCCCTCGTATAAATAAAGCTCTGTTGGCAGTTAATAATTATCACATGCTTAAATAATTCTCAGAGGTATCTTACAGAAACATACACACACAGGGCCTCCATATCACCAAGCATCAGGTAACGTTGTATCAAACTATCATTTGACGGCTGCTGTCTGTCACTGATGCTCCAGTTTCTGAAAGAAGGTGACATATTTAGCTCAGTGTATTTATTGGGAGCATAATACATTGTTTGTGTATGTCTCACCTCACCACACAATGTCCTATAATCATTTCAATGAAACTTAATGTTTTACATGAATTATCCTTTGGAGAGTAAAGAAAGAGTTGTGGTTTCTTTAGTTTTCTCACAATAAAAGTGCTAATAAATAGATATGAGGGTACAGGGTGTTGAGATGGAGAAACCATTATCTATGTGAATTAATTTTCCTTCACCTTGAGGCTAGTAGGCTATACTCTTTATTTCAAATTCCACAATTATATGGAATTATATATTTTTTCCACATTAATACATATCCTGCGTTTAACAAAGCACTCAGTACTCAGCACTCAGTAACACTGAGAGAAGACCCTTAAGATGCACTCTAAGTGGACCATCTTTGTAGCATTGTTCTTTCCCTGTGGCAGACCCAGTCAGTAACCTCTACACCCTAAGAACAGCAGGGGGTGGTTGAGAAAAGCCGTAGGATGTCATTTATGAAAAGATCCCCAGCCTATTATTTTTTCTTGGTGATTTACCTAAATATCAGACAGCCATGAAGGTGATTCAATGTTAAAACCTTTTGTGAGAAACCTCTCTCTTTTCTCCTTTACTTCTCGTAGTGACGCCTTACTCTCAGCCTAAGGATCAGATCATCTGAGTTATGATCAGAGCTAATGATAGATTTGTTCATGTAGGGCAGTGTCTGGCCTGTTTGTGATTGGTTAGCAGAGCAGTCACTTACAGTAATAGCCAACATTAAGAAGAGTTTGTGAATTAATGTTATTTTGAAGGTTTTTTGTAAGCTAATGTTTTCTTATTTTCTTTGCAGCCCCACAGACAGAGATACAGAAGGTGATGGAGACATCAGGTGAGCTCTGATAACAGTGTGATACACACCGGGTGGTCTCCATGGAGACACTGCCACATTATTATTATCAACCAAGCAGAACAGCAATTGTCATGACTATCTACAATTCCACTGAAGATAATAGAGAACAAGATATTCCCTCTGCCCACTTATGTACCTCTGACCAACAGCATCATATTGACTTGACAAACACACCTCAGTCTTAGTGATACCTGGAGCAGGACTTTATGGACTGCTCTATTTGTTAAGCATCATCAGCTTCAGTTTGGTCAGGAGATTATACTTTGCGTGTGCTAATAAGAATAATTTGTTAAGATGAAAAATCTTAATATAGAGAACCGATTATTGATTATTTTTTCACTACTGCATGTGTTGTATGCCCTCTGTTAGGAAGAGAGGCGCTGTGGCCTACGCTTCCCAGAAGCCCTGGCTGCTGAATGCGACGATGGTGGAGAATATCACCTTTGAGATGCCCATGATAAAACCCAGGTAAGACCTCCTCACACTGTACTCTGCTGATTGTACCGTGGTTATATCTGTTGAGACTGAGTTTCTTCATGGCCCTCGATCACTCAAATGGGGGAGCATCCAAGAGAAAAAAAGAAACAACTCTGAGTATTCACTCAGGATCTCAAACTAAAGCCTCAAATCACCAAGAGGTTAAATAAAATTCCTAAAAAAAATGTTACAACACAAACTAAGTAGTTTATCCTCTTTAAAGGTGGGAATATTCATTATTATTTAAATTATTGAACTTTACATGTAAAATGTTTGTTTTATTCTCAGTCTGTTAATAGTTGATATTTTTTGGATGTGCTCTACTTTAAAGAAATCTATGTATGTACAACATTTTCATCAGTAATCACTGTGTAAGCTGTCTCCCCTTCATAATTATTGAAGTTTGGTTAAAGGCCTCACTGCTGTCACTGTGACATCCATAATGAGCCATAGAAAGCTAGCTCTCAGAGACATTCGAGCTGTTAAGTAAAACAGAATAATCAATATGTTTTCAGGACAAGATTTTCGGCCTAAATAATGACAATGTTATTCCTTCTCCCTGAGGCCAGTGAAGTTAATTAGATGTGCTGATGCGTGATTAAAAAAAGCCAGTCTGTGTCTTTCCAAATAAAATGTTTTGACAACTTGAGCCAGAATCGCTCTGTTGAAGATGTGAAGCTATTTTTCTCGCTTATAAAGTGCAGAATATCTGCAGTTTTATCCCACACCAGAAATGAAAAAGCTGACATTTATTTCAATCATTTTTTTAATGGGGTGCATTATGCATTCATGACAGCATCTTACACTTTACACGTATGATTCAAATGAGTGTGTCTATATTATAAGCCGATGGAATACTAAAGAGCACATAACCTCTGTCTGTTTAATATTGGCAACTGTCCTCTGTCTTCATCTGTATTCTCTTTGTGTTTGTGTGTGACAGATACAAAGCTGTCATAGACGCCTGCTCTCTTCAGCCAGACATCGACATCCTTCCAGAGGGGGACCAGACACAGATCGGGGAGCGGGTCAGTATCCGAGCCAAATGTATTATTTTCTTTTTATTCCTCTGTGGCCTTTTGTTTTCCAGATCTTTTAACAACTCTGACTGTGTTTCACTGTGCTGCACAATAATTTGTCATCATTACTGTTCGGCGAGGATTTGATGTTTGACCTTGTTTAGCCAGAGCACTGTCATGTTGGATTTATTCATGCAGCAGTAATGAGGGAAATAAACCGTGATCTCTTTTGGGCCGACTGCCACACGCATTTACTGATATAATATTGTTGTTCATTTGTAGCTGTAGTAAAACTTTGAAGTAAACATTTTCCTCACAAGTTTTTTTTCTTGCCCTCTGGTGCAGGGAGTCATCCTGTCAGGTGGACAGAAACAAAGGATCAGTGTAGCCAGAGCGCTGTACCAGCAGACCAGCCTGGTGTTTCTGGTGAGTCTGCTCGCCCGCACACATGCACACACGCACACAGTCCATCAGTTTTCTGTGTTTCTGAAGCTTAGACTTCGGATGGGATTCTATTTTTGATGCTGCCTATTTTTGATGCCGCCTACATGACAGAAATAGAAACAAATTCCAGATTGGAGACAGTTCCTGATGGAGTGTACTGCCTCTATCTTAAAATTTAGATTTATCTAAAAATAAGTTGTCACATGAAATGTAAAAAAATGTGAGCACATAGGTTCATTCATTAAACTCCTGGAGTTTTTTATGATGTAAAATGATAAGTTTTAGCAGATTTGCTTGAAAAATGAATGAAACAATCCAACAAGTTAAATAATAACTGTTGTTTTTTAATCTTATGTCAATTAACTTATCAATTAATGGAATAATTGTTTGCAGAACTATTTCCATCCTGTTCTGGAAAAAAGCAAAACACAGAAATATTGATTAAAGTTATGGATCATCATCAGGGTCATTTGGATACGTTTTATTTTATGCACACCTCTGATGCATTACATCAGCTGTTGTTGAGACAAACCTTTTTATATTTCATTGAAAGGATAACTAGCTTGCTTTTTAACTAGAAAGTGTTAATGAACATATGTTTACTTCAAACAAAGACCACTGACCTTATATTGACAATATCATGGGATTTATCAAGATAAAAGATCATTTCTTATTTAATTTTAAGATACAAACATGGTTTTCTGTCAAAGATTAAATAAAATGTATTTTACATGAAAGATTTCTGTATTTGTGTTTGAGATTTCATCAGTTTGAAATGGGTTTGGCTTAGCTGGAAAAAGACTGATGTATTTCTGTGCACCAAATAGAGTTGCTGACGTTGATCTAATCAGTCATTCACATTGATGAAAACAAGTTTATATGAATTCAACTCTTAAAAATACTTCAAAAATACTTATTTCCTGACTTTAAATTTGGTTGCTGATTATTTAGTTATGGTGATGTAATTGCTAATGAGAAGTTCTGTCAAACTTACTCAAAGTTGAGTTTTTCTTTCCCTGCCCCTGCATTTACAGTTGATGTTTTTTTTTCAATCTTTAATGCATTTTTTTAGGATGACCCGTTCTCTGCTTTAGACATCCACCTGAGTGATCATCTGATGCAGGAAGGCATCCTCAAGCTGCTGAGGGAGGAGAAGAGGACGGTGGTACTGGTCACACACAAACTACAGTATCTACCACACGCAGACTGGGTAAGACCTGTCTGTGTGTGTGTGTGTGTGTGTGTGTGTGTGTGTGTGTGTGTGTGTGTGTGTGTGTGTGTGTGTGTGTGTGTGTGTGTGTGTGTGTGTGTGTGCGCGCGCGCGTGCGTGCGTGTGCGTGTGTGTGTGTTTGTTTTGTCTAAGTGTGTTTATGTATGTGTGTGTGTGTGTGTGTGTGTGTGTGTGTGTTATGTTTGTGTATGTGTGTGTGTGTGTGTGTGTGTGCGTGTGTGTGTGTGTGTGTGTGTGTGTGTGTGTGTGTGTGTGTGTGTGTGTGTGTGTGTTTGTTAACAGATGTATTTACATCTTAACCAGCTTAATAAAATGTCGAGGTAAAGTCCTGTATACTTTTTAAAAGTCAAAGTAATTGCAACAGTAGTAAGTGCTTCTGCTGAATAATTCATGAAACATTGAATGGTTTTATTGGGATGTAAAAGGTTTATCTCATTAAGATTTCGAAGCACATTAAGATTGATTTTCAGTGTTCGCTAATACATTGTGTTCTCTGCTTCTGTATGTTTGTGTTTGTGCGTGTTTGTGTACGTGTTTGTTAGATCATAGCCATGAAAGATGGCACCATCCAGACTGAGGGGACTCTGAAGGACATCCAGAACTCTGAGCCTGAACTCTTCGAGCAGTGGAAGACACTGATGCACAGACAGGACAAGGATTTTGAGAAGGTGATGAATTACTTTATGGTGCTCTTATATATTTAAATGACTCATCCCACCTTCCACAATCCCTGTTTATGTTTATTAAAAATGTGATAACCTGGATGTTAGCTTCTTGGGAGATTAAGATGTTTATCCTACTCTGTCCTGCAGGAGACAGTGGCAGCGAGTATGACCGATCTGGAAAGAAAAAATCTGCGAAGGGCAATGTACTCCAGAGAGGCTGTCAGGACTGAAGATGACGAGGAAGGTGAGAGGTCAAAAGACAGTAAAAGTATTATTGCATGTGAGGATGATGCAGCCAGTGAATAATGATTTATACCAGTTAGTAATGTGTATTTGTGTTAACAATTAAAGAGTTAAAGTATCATTGCCCTTTTCTTCACATTTTCTGAGGAGCAGATTCAGTTTGATAAAACAGTTTTTTTGTTAACACCTGCTGAAATGTTTGCAAACCCATGAAAGACTACAGATTCTTTGTATTTCATTCTTGCATTTTATTCTTTATCTGTAAATCAAACATTACAAAGGTGTTAACAACTCCAGACCTTCTTATCTCTGGTTCTTTTGAGATTTTCTCAGCGACCAGCACCACCTTCTTTTATCAGCTCCCTGCTCTAGCTTATCAAATAATCTGATCCTTTGTGTGTCTCTGCTGAACATATGGCTGTAGTTCACGCTGCTCTAAGGTGCCCTGGCTGTACTCTTTATCTGTCTTCTGTGTTGTCTCCCATGTGCTGGTGGCACCTCTGCGTGGACTTGTGCTATGGCTCCAGCACCAGCTGCTGCACTCATGTTCGATCCAGCAGGTGTGATCAGAAAGCATGGACTGAAAAGAACAGACAAAACCAAGTCTGTGGCATTGTGACGCTGCAACAAAAATCAGCTGCTGTGTCAGCTTTTACCTCCATCTTAGAATCTCATCATCCATTTTCCTTCTCTCACTTTCACCCAAACATTGTCACTCCTGCTCCTCTTAACCCTTTCAAAGTTGGCATGATTGCATTCAGGTCGGTATTAGGAGTAGTCTGTTTAGCCCTGCCAGTCTTTCTTTCACTTTCTATTCTTCTCCTCTCTCCTGCTCTCCTCTCTGCCTCGACCTCATCTGATCCTTACTGACTCCCACATGCAGCCGCATGCTTTAAAGACTGCTGTATGATGTGATGAGATATATTTACATCAGGGTAGGCGAGGAGGCAGGACGTCATTAACATTAGCTTCTCAACCCCAAACAGGGTATCATGGCTTCACTGTTATTTTGGGAAAACATGCCAATCATGTGAATGAGCATCTGCTTGGTGTTTAAGAATGTAAGTTGTGAGACTTTAGCTTGTAGCATGCCATTTTCTTGTCTCTTGCTCTTTGCCAGGAGTGGTTCCTCAGACAGACAGTGAATCTGAGACTTGTGTCAGAAAAAGAGGGTAAGAGAGGGATAAGTGGGATGATTAAATATCAAGGAGGTAGCGTCGGAAATGTCTGAGGGCATGAGCAATAAGTCACAGAAGAGAAAAATAAATCTTCAACTGCGCATATTATTGTCCCTCAGGTTAAATGAGAGTTTTACCAAAACATCAACTAAACCCTGACCCTTTAATATATGACTCGTCTCTGTCTGACATCAGAAGAATCCGTGGAGAGTGACGATGATGACAACCTGTCTCAGGTGATGCGTCAGCGTGCAACCATCCCCTGGCGCTCCTGTGGAACCTACCTTTCCTCTGCTGGGCTCCTGCTGCTCACCCTGCTTCTCCTGTCGCAGCTCCTCAAACACTCACTCATGGTCGCCATTGACTACTGGCTGGCACACTGGACTTCTCGCGTCATCACGGCCAAGATCGAGGCCACAGCTCGAAACTGTACTGTTGTTCAGGTGAGACTGAACATGATAGTGTGTTAATTCACATAAAAGGTTGTTATCAGGTCTTTCCCATCTCATTGTTTCTGCCTCACAGTTGGGATACATTTATCATTAAAGGTATTTTTTAAGAAAATGCTACCAGTATTCTCTGGGTACAGCTTCTCACTGCGCATTTACTGCCTGTCTGTGATTGTCTGTGATAGTAAACTAATATATTAAAGGTTTTTGACTAGTTGTTTGACAAAACAAGCAACAATGAAAATTTCACTTTTTTTCAACCTTTAGGAGACATAAGGATGAATTGATTTATCCAGAAATGTTAACTACAGATATCAGTGATTCTAGTCACATCCACATTTTAAACAAACTCATGTATACAGAAAAGAACAGGCTGTGTGAAATTATGTAACAGATCTCTTACTGAATCTTCTGTGAATCTCAGCTCAGTGGCGCTGACCTAAAACACAATCACAGACGCTGCCAGCTCCAGATGGAGTGTTTGCTTACACACCCTGCAGAAACTGCAGTACAGACTCATCTGCATTAGAGAAAGGGGATTTCAGATGGAGTCTGTGTGACCAAGTGTATGAGCACTTCATAAAAGTATACATGTATGTATATATGTGTTTAACATGTGCAGCCCGGCCTGACATTATCCTGTTAGAGATGGCTGAGAGAAAGTGCTGCTGACATGGAAGATACAGAGGTTTCATTAATTAGAAACAATGGCTGCAGAAATATTATAAATCTATATCTTTTAAGCTTTCAATACACACTTGATAACATTTAAAGGTGGTTTGAGCCAAATAAAAAACATATCCTGATTAGAAACAACAGATTTAAGTGTTTAGAGGGAAAGACTAGTTGTCGAGATGTAAACTTTAACCCTTTATTTAGCTGTTATATCTCTCTAAAAAGATACCTATCTTTTGAGATAAAGACAGGTAAGATAATCTCTCAATAATCACTCAGACATGCTCAGGAAGACAATAAAAGGTTATACTGCATTGTTAACGCTTTCAGGCCACAGCAGCTGTTACATGATTGTCATGTTCCTGGACCAAAGAAGGCTATTAATAGTTAGTGTGTGGTGTTGTGTGTGTGTATGTGTGTGTGTGTTTTGTTTAGCCTGTGAGTGTCCGACCTTTGAACTAAAATGACAGGTCACATTTCACACAGTCATGCAGGGCTTAAGTCAGTTGGGTCTGACAGCAGGTTAAATTGTCCTTCTGTTATATTCAGACAGTCCTCTCATCTCCTTTTCACCTTTATCTTTTACCGTCTGCCACACTCACACTGAGGTACAGTCTAATGCAGAAGTAGTGTTGTACTCTGTGTTTGGCTGAGCTTCAGAGTCTATTTTCTGCTTTATCTAATCTACACTATGCTTTAAGCCATGTGAGGATGCTCAGAAGTTCTGTACTGATGTTGGACACAGTCCTTCATATCACTGACAGCCTTCTCTCTGCAGGCTGCTCTGTGCAGGCTGCTCTGTGCAGTGTATTCAAATCTCCTTTTCACCTTTATCTTTTACCGTCTCCTACACTCACACTGAGTGTACAGTCTAATGCAGAAGTAGTGTTGTACTCTGTGTTTGGCTGAGCTTCAGAGTCTATTTTCTGCTTTATCTAATCTACACTATGCTTTAAGCCATGTGAGGATGCTCAGAAGTTCTGTACTGATGTTGGACACAGTCCTTCATATCACTGACAGCCTTCTCTCTGCAGGCTGCTCTGTGCAGGCTGCTCTGTGCAGTGTATTCAAATACCATCTAAATTGAGATGGTCCATATTATTTGTACAGTAACTGTATGTTTTTTACATTTCTTACAACACAATTAAATTGTGGGAAATTAAATCACAAAATAAGTAGGAGGCAAACTGAGCAGAAAACAGGAGAGAGCTTTTAGAGCCCTACAGGATCCTGTCACGTTTAAGGGAATCAATTTTTAACCCGCCTAATTAGGCTTATAATTACAGTGAAAGCAAACTGAGTGACAGGGAGGCCCCTGCTCTCCCTTTCTCTCAAACATACACAACAGTTCAAGTCTTTAATCAGCATGTGCCTCTCGTTCTGTGCAGGACTGCGGTTTCAGTCATTCGTGGTATCTGCTTGTGTTCAGCGGGCTCTGCTGCCTCTGTCTGGCCACCTCCGTTGCTGTGGAGTGGACTGGCCTAAAAGTGGCCAAGGAGCTCCACCACAACCTGCTCAACAAGATCATCCTGGCTCCTATGAGGTGAGATGTGTCAGAGATGTGTCAGAGATGTGTCAGAGATGTGCGTGCGTGCGTGTGCGTGTGCGTGTGCGTGTGTGTGTGTGTGTGTGTGTTAAAAGGATCATTTAAAAGAGGAAACAGAGTTAAAAGCCATTTTTCGCCCCATTACTCAGAGCACCATCTGCTCTCCATTACACATAACCTAGGAGACTTCACTTCCATAAGACCGCTCACATGCTCATAACAAACCTACATGTACTGTAAACACACTCACACACACACAGCTGGATAATTGATTACATTACACATGAGAGAGTTTAGACAAAACCAGCTGTTTGAGAAGATTCTTGATAAATATTGTTTTTTTTGTCAGTACTGGAAAATTTAAAATGACTTTTTGGGGAATTTGGATTAAGATTATTTTGTAAAAAATGAAAAAGAAATTATGAAAAAGAAATATGTTATCTTTCTGAAGACACAGATTCACTGATATGCACTGCTTTCCACCCTGCAGGCTTTTTGAGACGACTCCTCTTGGCAGCATCCTCAACAGATTCTCCACAGACACTAACACCATCGACCAGCACATCCCCACCACCCTGGAGTGCCTCTCTCGCTCCACCCTGCTGTGTGTCTCTGCTCTGGGCGTCATCTCATACGTGACCCCTGTCTTTCTCTTCGCCCTCCTGCCGTTGGCCGTCACCTGCTACTTCGTACAGAAATATTTCCGTGTGGCCTCGAGGTGAGTCAGACGGAACAGGTATCAGGTGTGAAGTTGTTTAACGTTCTATAACTACTCACATGTAAAATAGGGTGAGTTTTGAAGAGGCTCATTAATGACTCCACACAGATCTATTCCACTTCTCCCGATGAAAATTACATTTTAAATAATTTCATCATATCCACTTTCCTTCCTCCAGCTATTGTGGAGAAGGCTTTGAAGTTAATTGGGGGAGTCTTTATCTGAATGACTGAATTGAATACTGATGTCTCTCTATGAGATTTATGAGACCATCTTAGAAGACTGGTTATATCTATATTGCCATTTTTAACGCCTGTACAGTCAGACGATGATTAACATTTGTTTGACATTTTCCACTTTAAAGACTTGATTAGTGATACACTAAGTTAGAAAGCATGATGATTTTTGTGTGTGTCAAAAACACTACTCACACATGAACAGGACCAAATCAGCAAAAAGACAAAAGGTACTGCTTGTATACAACTGAACAGGTCATCACAGGTGCTTTAAAATGACATGCAGAGGGGGGCGCTGGTGGTGCAGTGGCGCAGTGGTTAGTGCACACGCTCCATGTATGGAGGCTATAGTCTTCCAAGCGGGCGGCCCAGGTTTGAATCAGGCCTGTAGCTCCTTTCCCGCATGTCTTTCCCCACTCTCTCTCTCTCTCCCTGATTTCTGACTCTATTCACTGTCCTATCTCTCCATTAAAGGCACAAAACGCCCAAAAATAAATACTTAAAAAAACAAAAAAAAAAAAAAATGACATATGACAGAGAATAAATATGTCAATGAAACAAGATCTAATCAAACACTTAATAAATAAAATAAATAAAACAAGTACAAGTTGAATAAGAGTCCTCAATTACAGTCAAAGGATTCTACATGAGGGATCAGTGCTCCTGTGCTAATTTTAGCCATGAAATGAAAACAGGCTATAATGCATAAATCTATAGTCAATGTCTGTCAGTTATGAAAATAACATGTAACAAGTACAAACACATTTCATTTGACCATGTCCTTCTGTTTAACTACATTAACGACTTTGTACAAGGCTGATACAATGTGACTAGGGATATCAAAGTCTGAAGTACTCAGGAAAACACAATTTGGTGAAGTTTAAAAATGATAAAGGAAGTAAATACTGCTTCTTTTATGGATTTCAAACTCTTATCTTCATATAACCACATTATCTACCTAAATCTGTGACCTTTGACCCTTGTTTGATATTTGGCTCTTTCCTGTGTCCTGTGTGTTTTCATCAGGGACCTGCACCAGCTTGAGGACAGCACCCAGCTCCCTCTACTCTCCCACTTCTCTGAGACAGTGGAGGGTCTCACCACTATAAGAGCCCTCAGGTAAGTATTACCAAGAGGTCCATCATCCTAACTGAATGTGCAGTAATGAAAGAGGGTTATTCTACAATATTTTACAAGATATATAAGGTCACAGTTCTTCTCCACTCAAACATGTGCTTATGTGCTTTTTTCTTGGTATTATCATTTCCATAAACTGTAGAGTGTAAATTCACTTGTGTTTGTTTTCCTTTTTTGACTTTTTCTTATCTATTCCTCGAGCCAACATCTTTAATGCAATGTCCTTGTTTGCTTTGGATTGAAATGATCCAGTAAGGTCGCAGATAAGCAGCAGAGTGCAGGCAGGTGGACTCTCGGGACACAGAAGCACATTTAAAAATGAGTCATGTCTTTTGCTTTGGCAGGTACGAGCCGAGGTTCAGACAAAGGCTCCTGCAGTTCACTGATGCCAACAACATCGCCACGCTCTTCCTCACAGCAGCAAACCGCTGGCTGGAGGTCCGCATGGTAAAGATCTGTTTACTGTTTAATTCTTCAGCCTTCATATCGGCCATGTTTGTCAGACAGAAGCTGTTTCAGTGCTTTGTTGCTGGGTAACTGCTCCCCCTGTTGGGATCATAAAAAACTGAATGTTTTATGGACTCACCACTGATATGATATTCTCATGTTGTGTTTTTTATGAAACAATGCATGCCTGCTGCTCACAGCTCATTTAGCTTTCATGTTTGGGTCAGGGGAAAACACTCAGATCATTATGGATTCATGCTCAAAGAAAACATGCAGGGCTTTCATGCAGAGTCCTGTGCTAAATGAATCCTCAATAATAAATCTATTTTAATTTGTTTACTCATCCAGAGCTGCATTACGTCCTCTTTGTACATCTGACATTGTCTCTCTGCAGGAGTACATCGGAGCCTGTGTGGTGCTGGTAGCAGCTGTGGCCTCCATCACAAACTGTCTCTACAACCAGCTGTCTACCGGTCTGGTGGGGCTGGGACTGACCTACGCACTCATGGTGAGACGTGTGAATGTGTGTGTGTGTGTGTGTGTGTGTGTGTGTGTGTGTGTGTGTGTGTGTGTGTTTTACTCGTGTTTACCTGAAGTCTTTAAGAACACATAGGTGTTTCTTTAACAATATTTAAATGTCACATTGTACTTCAAATAAATGTGTATTTTAGAATCAAGAGTTATTCTTAATTTAAACATGTTTATGAATGTTTATACAAATTATAAATTGTTCGAGTTATAAATTGATTCCTTGATTATATTGAATAAACAACTTATTTCAAAATCCACAGAAATACCAACTGACACAAACAATATTTAAAAATCGCAACATTTTTATGTTTTTTTAAAGATGAAGGAATCCATAAACTTAGAGACATTTTAATAATACAACTGATTAACATATTTTCAAAGTTTGGTTGTATTCAATTCAAATTGCTGTACATTGAGATTCTTTGCAACTCTTCATCCACAAAACAAAAAATCTCCCAGATCGTTTGTTACATCGGAAAATCATCACCAAGCTGTTTCTCCTAAAAAGTTCTGTTGAATGAAGGATTTCAAAGGACTCTGATGACACACGCTGCAATGAACAGTGTCAGGATTAATGATTACAGAAAATGTATATTTGATGAAATCAAATTAATTCTTCTCTGAACTCTATTGTCCCCAAAATGCATCATTGATTTATGTATGAGAGAACTCATTACTCCAGTGTGAGCCTTTAGTGACATTTACCCTCCTCCTCCTCTTTCATGTTTCAGGTATCAAACTACATGAACTGGATGGTGCGTAACCTGGCAGACATGGAGGTGCAGCTCGGATCAGTCAAAAGGATTAATGGTCTGCTTAAAACTCAACCGGAGAACTATGAGGGGCTGCTCAGTGAGTCACACTACTGTACAAATTGAAACCTTTTTCAGCAGACAGCAGCCGTACAAAGCACATCACACAAACTGTCTTTCTGAGGCTGAAAGTTTGGGGATTTTTTCACTATTCCTGAACACCCATCACAATTTACTCATGTGTGCTATCAAAGTGCTAATGTTTGTTTGTGTCTCAGCTGTGTCTCAGGTCCCTGACGGCTGGCCCCGACAGGGAGAGATCCAGATCCAGAATCTGAGTGTCCGGTACGACGCTACGCTGAAGCCTGTGCTCAAAAATGTCAACGCACACATCAGCCCTGGGCAGAAGGTAAGCAGACTGAGGAAACAAGGAGTAAATGCAGGGAAATATGAAACATCAATGACTGAACGTTGGTGACAGTGAAGAATCAGGCTGGTTTGTTTTCAGGTGGGAATCTGTGGCAGGACGGGCAGCGGCAAATCCTCGTTCTCCTTGGCCTTCTTCCGCATGGTGGACATGTTCGAGGGTACATTAAAAAAACAGTTGTATTAAACAACTGAATATGCACTTAATTTAAAGACATATTCAGATACAACAGCAAAGAAAGGTGTATTAATTGATTTATAATATTTTATTTTAATTTTGCACTTAATGTGTTCTATGTGTGGTTTGTTTTTGTATTTTTTATTTCATAGGGAGGATTGTAATCGATGACATCGACATTGCCAAGCTGCCACTGCAGACCCTGAGATCTCGACTGTCCATCATCCTGCAGGATCCCTTTCTGTTTAGCGGGACCATCCGGTATGATGACCTTCAATAGATCATCCTCACTAGAGCATCAGTTTTAGCAGCAGGGCGTCTCATCACAGGGGTGTAGACTCAAAGCATTTCCAGTAACACAAACACATTGGCACATCAAAGACACTTATCTGAAGCTGAGTGGAGCTGAGGGTGAGAAGATAAGGGTGAATCTCCTCTGCAGAGATTTAATTTTAGACCTATGACAAACTATGTAGTGGAGAGGAATAGATTTGATTGAAGCTTTGTGATGCTGTCAAACTTCAGTTTGAGATATTTCAGTCTTATCATATGAATTTTATATTTAGTGTAAGATGTATGACAGTTTGGAGCTGACTATCAGTAGGGTTTGGAGATTTCTCAATGAGGCCTCAGCTGCAGGACAGAGCAGAGGGAGATCAGGACTCTCCTGATGGATAAAAAAAGTGCCGTCAATTAAAAAGATGTCACATATTAATTTAGTGCTGCAGCTCAAGTTGACTGTTTGCACTGGTGTAAAGGTTTTACTCCATTCAGTGAAATATTCATTATGCAGTCAAAGCATCACTGCTTCAAATAGTGTTTAATGAAGTGAAGGCAAATTGAAGGTTTTAGTTTGAGGAGAAGTAATGGAGCTAATAAAGTCCTCTTAATGTGTATTTACATGTTTTTTGGTGTCTCTGTGGGTCTGGTTAGGTTCAACCTGGACCCAGAGATGAAGGCTACAGATGAGATGCTCTGGGAGGCTCTGGACATCGCTCAACTCAAACAGGTTGTTAAATGTCTTCCAGGAGGCCTCGGTGAGAAAATCAGTTTTAATTAGATTTTGTTTTGTGTGTTTGTGTGTGTGTATGTCTTTGTGTACATTTCAATGCCACATTTGGTGCTGCTCCTGATTGTGACGAGAGAAAAACAATCTTAATAAATATTGGACAGCACCTAATGTTTTGCAGAAATTCACAAGAAGCCATGTGATCATTTAGTTCTGTTTCTATCTATTTATATTATAATTCTCAGGTCAAAATTTAAATTTGCCCAACACAGATAACAATGACTTAATCACATACCAAACTTTGGGCAAAACTAAAGTCTACCTCCATTTATAAAACATCTTTGTTATAGAGGAGCACTTTTTTTTGTTTATGACCCAGAGTAAATCATGTTCACGTAACTTCAGTTCTGCTAAACATCATTTATCTCTAGTTTAATTAACATGTAAACCATTACATCTTCTTAACATTAGCATGTGAGCATGCTGATTGTTAAAACTGACACACTTGTGCTCTCCAGTAATGCACACTATTATTCAGTTTAACTCCATTACAGTATACAGTTCACACTGTCATTGTTATTTCAGTACAATCATTGTTGATTATAAGTGGTAACACATCTGTGCAATAAACCCTACAACTCCTCCATTTGTTCCTAGTGATCTTCACATCTGTTAGCTGCTGTCATGTCTCTAGACAAAGATCAGCTCACTGTCTCAGAATACAGGAGCAGGAATGTGTGCAGCCATCATGGACAGTATCAAAGGCACCTTATTGTCAGCTGACTTCTGACACAGGAGCGATGCAGACTCTTCTGTGTCAGATATTGGCTGTGAGCCGAGTGACTCTTCAACCCTCAAACATGATGAATGTTTGGTATGTCTATGTAAGGGGGGGGGGGGGCTCCTCTCTGCAGGGTCTTACTTTAGCTTCTGCTGCTCTGTGATTTATCTCTCAGTAATTTTAGTCTCAGATGTCCTCTGTACTTCGGTACTTGTTAACTTCTCTGGTGGAACTACAAACTGCTGATGAGAGACATGCCTTCACTTTTCTTGTGTGACACTGATACTGATAGTTTGTGTGTGTGTGTGTGTGTGTGTGTGTGTGTGTGTGTCTGACATGTTAGGCCTGAAGCCTCTCACTGAATTTCCCTCGGGATCAATAAAGTATTTATCTATCTATCTATCTTCTTTAGCTTACATTCACTTGAGCTAAGAGTTCAATAAGATATTGATCAGCGGCCACTTTATTTTGCACTTTAATTTAATTAAAGCAACTTGTCAGAGTAGAGTTTTATGTTGCATACAAAGCAGAACAGTTCACTGCAGTGAATCAGGAAGTCTTTTACTGCTGTGATGGGGAGGTTTCTAAAAAAAGATGTACAGATATTGAATTTATCTTCATCCTACAGTATACTTGTTCATTACTAAACAGCAATCATTTATTTAAAAAATAGATATTTTTTATTCTTTGTGATAAAAAGACGTGTTGAAAACAGCTGATCTTTGAGTGTAACTTTATGGGAGGCAAATAAATAAAGTAACATCCAATGATACTTATATTATATATTTATTTGTTAGTATTTTGAAATTCAGCCCTCATCCTCTATCACCATATAAAACTTGTCATGTGGTTAAAACCTCTCTCTCCTACCTTGTGTCCTGTCTGTCTTGATGTATTTTAATGGTTAACAGGTTGTACTTATATGGCCCTTTTCAGTACCTTAGGGAGAAATGTGGGACCCAAAGTCTTGTCCAAGAACATTTCAACATGACACAGTTTTCTGAAAGAGGACAGCTGACTGAACGACTGAGCCACAGCTGCCTAAGAGTCCAATAAAGATGACAATAGCTAAAATAATCAAAGTCTAATGAATGCCATGATGGTGAACTTTTGTGAGAAGGAAATCACAATTTCCATGCAAAATGATCATGGTGGTTTCCGTTTAACTTTTAAGTCCAGACTTTGTAGGGACTATAAGTAAATGTTTTTCAAAGTTTAATTCAATGACATATTCAGCTTCTATTTTCAGGATGATTCACTTCATTCATTTTTTGAAGTATCATTTTACGACTCTGCTTATATATATGGTTTATGTTTTGTTTCCCTTCAGATGCCATGGTGACAGAGGGAGGAGAAAACTTCAGTCAGGGTCAGAGACAGCTCTTCTGTCTGGCCAGAGCCTTCGTCAGGAAGAGCAGCATCCTCATCATGGACGAAGCCACAGCATCTATCGACATGGCAACGGTGAGTGCGCAGCAGTGCTGTGAGTAGGTGCAGTAGCGATAGGGAGGATCATACATGATCGATAAATAGAATTTGGTTTTCAGTCAATTTTAATGATCCTTCTTTATAGGATTGTTCATGGTGACCTTTCAGCTTTAGAAATAAGAGGAGGATAAGAAGAAAGCCAGAGTGTAGGAGAGAACAAAGAAAGAAGTGGAAGGAAAATAGCCAGAATTAGCCAGATGGGAGTCTTTGTTAGCAAATTGCTGCTTCTTACTTAAGACCCTCAGGTCAAACATCAGTCACAAAGGGCCACATCTCTACCATACAATAACGCAGCTGCACTGCCCTCAGGGAAGCACAGTGGAGCGTCTAATCAGGGCCACTGAGACAAAGAAGAAGAGAGGCGACAGTTTGGAAAATAAGCTTTAAGGAAGTGTTTTTGTTCCAGCATTAAAGGGCGCTGTATTTTAATTTTTCCTCTTCATTACTTTTATTGTTGACCTTGATTCTGGAAACTATTAAACCCTCCTATCTCTCTCTCTCTCTCTCTCTCCCTCTGTCCTTACAGGAGAGCATCCTGCAGAAAGTGGTGATGACTGCATTTGCTGACCGAACAGTGGTTATTATAGCAGTGAGTCTCTCCCCCACACTGGGCCAGTGCAGTATGCATTTACAGGGATGTGTGTCGCTCCCCCATTTCCCCCTTAAGAGTGCTGCCATTCATCGAAAAAAAAAGGATGAGGTAGAAAAGTAGGAGGGGAGCCTTCACTATGAGTGGGCATTTTGCTGAACCAGAACCTTGTATTTCCCCTCTTACTCCAACATCACAGTTGGTCTCATCTGTTTAGAAATGATTGAGCAAAGCGTTTGTGTGATAAAGCATTCGATGTAAGTCTGGTCAAAGTTACGCAACTTTGTGTGATGCCTTTCTCCGTGTTTTTCCACTCTGCTGTGCAGCATCGCGTCCACACCATCCTGAATGCTGACCTGGTGATTGTGATGAAGCGGGGGATCATCCTGGAGTACGACAGACCCCAGGCCCTGCTGGACAAGGAGGACAGTGTCTTCACCTCCTTTGTGCGAGCAGACAAGTAGCACAAGAGGAGAGATAAAGAAATATTTAAGACATTCAAAGTGCAATTGTCTCATGGAATATATTCCTCGTATTTTTTAACCATGTTGTATTATATTTGTACATAAATAGTAGATTCTTTGTTAATAAAACATAAATTATCATTGATTTGTCTGTTATTTGGAGTTGTTTTGGAAATAAGACTGAGAATAATAGTTGAAAAAAAGAAGTCATGTTAATGTAAGAGGCACAGGGAGGGGATGTCACAGGGAGAGGCCAGGACTGACATCTGATATAAGAAAGTTACATGGATGCCAGCAGAGGCCAGAGGCCTGTACATAAAGGCTTTGAATTTCGGCTATGGTTCTATATGAAAACCTGAATCTTGTTTCTGTGGCCCACTTTCCATTCATGTAAGGTTAACACACATAGCCTGAGGATAATTAACTGAGTGCCCTATATTTAACCCTTTACATATTCAGGGTATGAACTACCAGTGGTATTGAGACTGCACTCTTCACAGATTTTACTGCGTAATGTAAGATCCCTCTATTTAGCGCCCTCATCGAGACTCACAGCACAGAGGTGGGGGAGGGAAGGACTGCCTCTCCCCCTCACAGAGGCTCCATCTCACGTTACCGAGCTATAGTCAAGTGGAAGATTCAGCACGGAGCCAAATGCGCAACTAACGCCTGCCTGCTCATTCAGGTGATAAAACTCCGCTCAGAGACCCACTACGCTCCCGCGTTAACATTTGACATCTGACTTAGTTTCCTTTGCGCTCGAGGCCGCGGGGAGTGAGCATCAGAAGGTCGGTTCACGATGAGACAGGACGGAGGGGCACAGCTATGCCCGGCTTGTCTTTGTCGTGAGTGACGGCGGCAGCTGCGTGCTGGAAGAAGATTCCCCTCATGGGACTTCGTGGTTTAGAAGCGCCTGATACGGAGGCGACGCGAGGAGCGCGCATAGCTCCAGAAACCGTGCGAGAATAAGACGCTACTTCTTTCGCCCTGAAGGTGCCTCGGTGCCTCCCCGGTCGGCAACGAGAGGGGAAAAACATTTCCATTTCAGCCTGGCAGAGACGAACCGGTGCCATCCGAGCCAAAGAGCTGTGGTAGCGTAGTATGGGAGCGCTATGTTGTCCAGGAAAGGACTCATTCCTGATGACTACCTGCTGACACGCCTGGCTGAAGATGTCCAGCAGCCAAAGTTCAAGGCTAAAGCGGGGAAAGCTCGCTTTGTCTCCAAGAATGGCACCTGCAATGTGGCGCACACAAACATTCGAGAGCAGGGCCGCTTCTTGCAGGACGTATTCACCACCCTGGTGGATCTCAAATGGCTCCACACGCTCATCATCTTCACCATGTCCTTCCTGTGCAGCTGGCTTCTCTTCGGGATGGTCTGGTGGCTCATCGCCTTTGCGCACGGTGACCTCTACCAGAGAGGAGACGACTTTGTCCCGTGCGTAACGGACATTCACTCTTTTTCCTCCGCCTTCCTTTTCTCTATAGAGGTCCAGGTGACCATAGGTTTCGGCGGCCGAATGGTCACAGAGGAGTGCGTCTCCGCTATCATCATCCTCATCATACAGAACATCGTTGGACTCGTCATCAACGCCATCATGCTCGGCTGCATCTTCATGAAAACGGCGCAGGCCAACCGGCGCGCGGAGACCCTTATTTTCAGCAAACACGCGGTGGTCTCTATCCGAAACAACAAGCTGTGCTTCATGATCCGCATTGGGGACCTGAGGAAGAGCATGATTATCAGCGCCACCGTGCGGATGCAGGTGGTCAGAAGATCCACCACGGAGGAGGGCGAGGTGGTGCCTCTGGACCAGATCGACATCCACATGGATAACCCGGTGGGAACCAACGGGGTCTTCCTTGTGTCCCCTCTCATCATCTGTCACGTGATTGACAAAGAAAGCCCTTTGTACGAGCTATCCGCCACTGACCTGCTGCAAGAGGACATCGAGGTGATCGTGGTGCTGGAGGGGGTGGTAGAGACCACGGGCATCACCACGCAGGCTCGGACTTCGTATGTGGGGGAGGAGATCCTGTGGGGGCAACGCTTTGTGCCCACCGTGTCCGCAGAGGACGGCATGTACGCGGTTGACTACTCCAAGTTCGGTAACACGGTGAAGGTGCCCACACCGTGCTGCAGCGCCAAGAAACTGGACGAAGGAGGAGGCATCGCTCAGTTTAAAGTGAACGAGGGCGTCACCTTGCGGTCGTCTCTGAGAAAGCGGCGCGGTGGAGCGGTGGTGCGAAGGTCAAAGATGGACAGTCATTGAAAGTGCTGGCCTTCGTGAATAATCTCAAAAGTTTGACAGTAATAAATTATAGAGTGCTATTTATTTTTTAACAAAATAATATGTCATGCGCACAACAAGCTTCTTAACTCAGGGTCAGATCGCACTGATTGGTTTTTTTTTGGATGATTTTTTATAGACAGGAATGAATGAATGCATGTATCTAACAACAATAAAGGAGAATGATTCATGTCAGGTGTGTTTTAGATGGATTTAAAGGGACAACAACATCACAAAGACAGGGGACTCATAAGCAGAGCCTGACTTACTCAAGTTCTCAGGCACACATTCATTTTAGAAATCATCATAAAATCTAATAATTATCCAGCCAATGAATATTAATAGAATCACCTCAGTTCAGTTATTGAAGGATATCCAGACATTTTTTCAGATGCCAGATGCACTTAAAAAGACATCATTTGGGCATTTCGAGCTGACAACAATATCAACTCATACATTATGACCAAATCTTAAATAAAATAAAATGCTAGTATCTCACATGATTTAATCTCCAATCACACAATCCTACATTTCCCACAATGCACTTTTAATCACATTTTATTTGACCCCTTCCTTATGTCAAGTTTTCAAAACAGATTTTCTTCTGTTAGAGCTGTAGTCAATAAACTCACACACGATGACATCACTATGACATCATCAGGATCGTTTGAGAGTTCAGAGGTATTACAGAGAATCCAGACAACACGTTCACAGGCTGGAGACTAAAGTTCCCCTTTTAAATAAGGATCATTGTTATAAGGCTGCACGACACACTTGTGTTTTTCCTCCTGAATATTTTGCACAAAATTCAGACAAAACACACAGAGGCAGGTTGGCATTTCTCTCTTTTATTAGATTATAATCCGCAGAGCTTAAAATATTAAATTGCTTTTAACTTAGTTAATAATTAAAATACATAAAAACGAGAGCCAGAACTGAACAACCCTGCAAAAAAAAAAGAATTAAAATAAATAAAAAATGAGAATTATAAACCCAATCCTCCTCCGTACAGAGGCTATGTCTGACAGAACCCGCTTGTGATTCTTTGTACAGTAAAGTCCAAGCAGACTGTGCATTTTCTATACATGTGTAATGATACCATTATTGTTGTTATTTCTCAACTAATTTTCCTCTGATAATCTTTTTAAAAGCAAATTTGAAGGGACAGTTCATCACAAAAAGAGATAGAAGTGGAGATTTTTGCACTGGGAGTACTGGTGACTGTTCAACAGCAAAGCAGCTCCACCCAATCTCCTCTCACCCCCTCCTCTCTGCCTCCCTCTTTCCCTCTCTGGGCCTGCAGACATTACCTCATGTCTTTGTCCTTCTGTGGGTGTAGCTGGTGGTGTTGGTAGTTTCAGGGGTCGCTGCTGTGCTCAGATTCAGCTTCACGCTGACACCAGTCTGTCTCGAAGTATCCACTCTGATCAGATTTAACATCTAGCAAACAATCTTTATATTCTCTTCTCTGTCTCCCTGTTTCTGTGGAGATTTCCTCTTGCTTGCTGCCCTCTACAGGTTGGCTTTGGGACATGTTTGTTAGAGGAACATCGGGTGATTCTGTGACAAAACTGAAGTGAAACACGGCCTGTCATAGGAAGGACAGAGCGGGTGATGGAGGGGACAGAGAATGAAAAGAAGAGAGGAACTTCTCCCCGGCAGCAGTGACGTATTCTCTCAGGTCCTGAGTAGGAAGCGCTTTAATCATCCCCCACATAAACAACCCAAACAGTGATTGGCTAGTATCGCCCCATCAGGCAGTAACGTAGCTCCCTACTGGCCAGCGCAGTGGCCATTCTCCTGCAGGACGAGCCTGCAGGCAAGCAGAGATGCCTCTTCTCCACACATCAACAACACTGTACAATAGTAGGTCGAAGCAAAGCAGAGCCCCCCTCCTCTACTGTATGATACAGAGGATGGAGGGAAGTGAGGAGCCCTCCGCCCCAACAACAAAAAATAAAACTGAATAAAACTCCAACAAAATAAAAGTGAAATAAAACCAAAAATAAAACATACACATACTTTTTTGTTCCTAGTTTAAATTGCAGAGAAGATGGGAGGGATTTGCCCCTGGGAGGAAAGCTCACGCAATTCCTGCTGGCGTGACAAACCCCTCCCCGCCACCCCAAACCCCGGAAAACCCTCCCCCCTTCCTTCCGGCTGGTTGGTTGGTGTTGTAGCGAAATATAAGGGAAGTGGAAGGTCTGTAAGTCCTGCTGGCACTGAGGACAGGGGCCAGGCTGTCTTTCCTTCTCTCCTCTATCTTATCTTCTATCATCCCCGGGGCTGCTGTCTCGCCGCCGCCCCTCCGCTCATCTCTCTGTCACATGGTTTTGTGCAGAGGGGGAGGGTGCTGAGGCAGGGGCAGAGGGGGCTGGGGTGGGAGCTGGCGGCGGGGCCGGGGTGCAGAGGACTTCGGACAGGTCGTCCATGATACAGGTCTCCTTTGGGTCGACCAGGTTGAATTCCCTTACGAAAACGATGAAATGTGCATACAGAGTGTTCAAGTGGCCCTGCAGGTCCAGAGCCACCGTCTCTTTAAAGTGCGCCCAGTAGAGGTGAGCCAGCACGTGGAATAGGTACCGGCAGATCTTTTTTACCAATGACTCGAACGAGTTGGGGAACTCTTTGCCTGGAAAGGAGAAAAAGGAATACAAAAGCAGACTGAATTAGGCACCAGGATAAAACTAAATATGAGTCCACTACAAAGCTTTTTATATTATAGTATTATTATTATCATTATTATAATATTATATTATTTACATGTGGATCTAAACATCTCTCTCTTTTTCTTTTTTCTGCCGTAGACAATTTAAATTTAAAACTGTTAAATGAATCACAACATATGAATCTTATTTCTAGACTTAATACATTCATTTTTTACCAACTAAAGTATTGATCTATAACCTTAACAGTTATTTAGAAAAACAATAGTGATTTGAGGCCCTAAATAATATCCCTATACCTATTGTTGAACAAAAACTGCTGTAATTGCGTGTGTTTAACAGCAGGGGGCAGCAGTACAACATCTGTAGCTCTGCATTGAGAGCAGGCCTGCAAGCAGAGATAAGACGTACCATATTTTGTAGGAAAGATTTCCTCGTCTGTGACCAGTTTCTGACAAAGACTCATTACGAAGTCGACGTATTGTGGAGCAGTGCATTTTGTCTTCTTCCCCCTCTCGTCATACCAGTAGTATATTCTAGAAATGAGAAAGACAAAAGAAACATTAGGATGGTTATGCACATAGATGTTGCAAAATAACAGCAGGATATTAATACACAAACTTGAGACACTGTTTAATTAATCAAAGTTGTTTGTTTTAAGGAATATGGTGCTGTTCAAAAAACTAAAATGAATTAGTCCTCGTCTTCTCAGAAAGAGAAACAAGATGCAGGTGACTTATGCAACATAATTGTCTTATTAGACACCTGGATCTGTTTCCTCATTGAGGGAAAAACCTAGACCTCTGATGACGTCCCACTTACTGGCTGACTCTGATTCGTCAGAGATAATAATAACTGTGTCATGTGTTGGAATGCAACACTTCCTTATTCAGACATCATGTCTTCATACTTTTTGTCAAGCAGACTTTGTTTTCCTGGTTTGAAAATATTCCCTGCTGTCTCATTCATTGAAGGGACACTGAACCTGGTGAGACAATCCCAAGAGAAAAGTTGAGCCAACTGACCAAAGAGCTGTAAAGGTTGATGAATAAGCCGATGAAAGGATGGAAAGAAAAGTGCATAAAGGTGGAAGTGTGAGGATTTGTAATGTCAGTCTGGCCCACACTGCTGAGGAATGAAAAGCATCCACATATCTGAACCCTTCAGGACCAGGACCAGACTCTGATAATACCCTTACTCACACAGGACCAGACTGAGCAGTGTGTGTGCGGGAGTGACTGAGTAAACTAGATACAAGCCTTCTTCAATCCTACATGAAGACATCAAACTGATGCCATATGCAGAACTAAATACAGCTAAAGACGACTGTTCATGGACACAAGCGTTGGGGCTTGATAGTATTTTAGTCTTTAAAAATGTTTTAAAGATTAAGTTTCAGTTGTTTTTGTTTAATTTAAAAACTTGATTTTTGTTTGATTTTTTTGGGGAACAGGATGCATTCAGATCACTTTGTAACATATGAAATGTTTAAAAAGTGTTTGTTTTTTTCCATTCATTAATCATTTATAACTTCTTCTTTCCTCTTTAGCCTCTGCAGTATTTTAAGTCTCCTTTAAGAGGTGATAGGGCTGGTTGTTGGTTCTGCCAGTCCAGTGGTTATGAAATGACATCATGGCAGGAACAGTGAGACTGTACAGTGTGGTGACAAACAATATGTTGCTTTTGATTCTGTGTACTAGAATACAGATTTCGCAGGACAGGTTACATGTTTGTAACACTCTATACGAGTACTAAAGAAAGTTTTGACAAAGCATTATAAATCTTATTATAAACTCAATCCAGGATGGAAGCAGCTAAAGCTAGTGAGTGAGCACATTACCACACACCTCCCTCTCTCTCCACCCACCCGCACAAAATGAGTCTAAATAGCTACCAAATGGTTCTGTTCCTCATAGCTCATGGAAACATTTTTTTTTCCAAAAATAGTGCTGAGCTCTGCCTCTGGGCAGGGGCACTGACGCTGCTCTGACTGTGTCTCAGTCAGTCTTTTACCACAGAAGGGGCGCGGGTGCCAGCTCCTCCACATGCAGGGAAGGGTGGGGTCTCGGGTGTCAGGCAGAGGAGATATGATCATAAATGGTGAGGCTCATCTTTGAAACAAGACGTTGAATCTTCAGCGGAGATGAACTACAACACTTTATGAAGACATTTGAAAAGTCAATAGACAGAGCTAAGAAAAACACGATCGGCTCTGCTCTCTCCTCTCTTCACACACCTCGGCTGATGCACTTCTTTTTCTCACGGTGCAGGTTTTTAGCAGGAGCTCAAGGTGACATTAGTGGAAAAATCCTCTGTTGACTGAGAGATCAACTCATGACGTGTTTGTCTCTCACGACAAATCTGTCATATGTGTGTCATTCCAAACAGGTAGTGTTGTCTCTCGTATTTTTGTACGAGGAGAATGCGTGGGTGAGACAGCAGGTGATGTGTGTGTAGTGAGTGTTGTTGTTTTCTAAAAGAGTGGGGGATCAGGTTTTTCCAGCCT